CCCTTGTAGAATATGCTCTAGAGTTTAGATCATTGGCAGTAGAAGTGAAATGGAACGAACAAGCTTTTATGGATGTTTTCTTGAATGGGTTGTCTGATGAAATTTTAGATGAAATTGCCACAAGAGAACTTCCGGAAAATGTAGAGGATTTAATATCCTTCATTTCCAGAATAGATGAACGCATGAGACAGAGGCAGAACACTCGGAAAAGAGTTACTAGACTTCCTGTAAGACTCGCTCCCTCATTTCAGAACCCTGACTCCTATAATCCTACTCCACCAGAACCTATGCAAATAGGTAATACTCGCTTATCTGAGGCTGAGAGACAGTACAGGAGAAGGGAGGGTCTCTGTTTATACTGCGGGCTGAGAGGTCACTTACGTCTTAGTTGCCCTAATCGTCCGGGAAACGCTTGCACCTAAGTTCCCTTAGAGGACGGGCCTTGGGTGTTTCATTACTGTCCTCTATGCATAATAAAAAAGACCATAGGCTTCTGATTCCTATCTCTCTAGCTTGGGAAAAGGGGTTTATTTCTACGATGGCATTATTAGATTCTGGAGCAGCAGAAAGCTTTATAGACCAAACTTTCGCTAATAAGCATTGTATCCCATTCCAATTGAGAGATACACCCTTGGCCGTTGAGGCCATAGATAGTAGACCTTTATCTGAACCAGTAATATTCCATGAGACCGAACCCGTTAAGCTTACTGTTGGTATTTTCCACGAAGAGTTGATTTCCCTTCTGTTAATTTCCTCCCCGGCAATCCCAGTGGTTCTAGGATATTCTTGGCTCAAGAGACACAACCCTCAGATTGACTGGGAGGGTGGAGAAATCGTTTCTTGGGGTATGGGTTGTAGGGAAGAATGTCTGCAGAGAGTTACTTCTGTTTGCCCCGTAAACTCTTATGCTAACACTTCCCAATCCACAGACGTTCAGATACCATTACAATATCTAGACCTCAAATCTGTATTTGACAAGGGTAAGGCGGATACTTTACCTCCCCACCGGTCTTATGACTGTTCTATTAAACTTTTCCCTGGTACTATGCCTCGCAGGGGTACGGTATACCCTCTATCCACCAAGGAAAACTTAGTTTTAGAGGAATATATCAAGGAGAATTTAGACAAGGGATTTATTAGAAAGTCTTCTTCTCCGGCGGGGGCAGGTTTCTTTTTTGTAGAAAAGAAAGACGGTACCTTACGTCCTTGTATAGACTATCGGGGATTGAACAAAATTACTATCAGAAATGCTTACCCTATTCCTTTGATTACTGAACTCTTTGACAGACTAAAGGGGTCGAGTATTTTTACTAAACTTGACTTAAGGGGAGCATATAACTTAGTGCAAATTAAACAAGGAGATGAATGGATGACAGCATTTAATACCCGTTACGGGCATTATGAGTATACCGTAATGCCGTTTGGGCTTTGTAACGCCCCGGCCGTCTTCCAAGACTTGATCAATGAAGTTCTTAGAGAATTCCAACATGAATGTGTAATTGTATATTTGGATGATATATTAATCCATTCTAGAGACATTAATTCACATCATAGACAGGTCAGAAAGGTATTACAGAAACTTTTACAACATGGATTGTATTGTAAATTGGAAAAATGTAGCTTTGACCAGTCTCAGGTAACTTTCTTAGGTTACGTAATTTCCAAAGACGGGTTTATGATGGACCCGACCAAACTAAAAGCGATTTTAGATTGGCCTTTACCTAAGGGACTCAAAGCCATACAAAGATTTCTTGGATTTTCTAATTATTACAGACGTTTTATTAAAGGGTACTCCTCTGTTATCGCTCCTATCACTAATATGACCAAACAAGGAGCCGATACCAAAACCTGGTCTACTGAGGCTTTATCTGCTTTCGAAACGCTCAAACAGTCTTTTGCCTCAGCACCTGTATTAGTTCATCCTGATACCTCTCTACCCTTTTTACTTGAAGTTGATGCGTCTGAAACAGGGATAGGCGCAGTGTTGTCCCAAAGACAAAGTTTAGATAAGCCGCTGCACCCTTGCGGTTTTTTTTCCAAGAAACTATCACACACTGAAAGGAGATATGACATTGGTGATAGAGAACTTTTAGCTATCATTATGGCATTAAAGGAATGGAGACATTTGTTAGAGGGCACCGTCCTCCCAGTTACTATCTTGACTGACCACAAAAATTTATCGTATATGGGGGAGGCCAAAAGATTATCTGCCAGGCAGGCACGTTGGTCTATGTTCCTTACACACTTTAATTATGTGCTTACTTACAGGCCTGGTTCTAAGAACACTAAGGCAGACGCTTTGTCACGTCAGCACGAACCTACCACCTCTACAGAGGATACTTTGTTCCCTATTATTCCTGAAGTCAATATTATCGCCAACACCAATGTCAAAATACACTCTCCATTGCTCGCTGATATTCAGAGCGAACAATCTCTTGCTCCCGAACGTACTCCTGTGGGCCGCTTGTTCGTGTCTCCCAAATTCCAAGTGGACATTATTCGCTGTTTCCACGATAGCAAGATCGCTGGTCACCCCAGCATCCACAAAACCTACTGCCTGATCTCCAAAGACTTCTGGTGGCCCGGTTTACGTAGGGATGTGGAAGACTTTGTCAAGGCTTGCAATGTTTGTGTCAGGAATAAACTTCCGCGGGATCTCCCTTGTGGTTTATTGCAGCCCTTAGTCGTTCCCAACAAACCTTGGGCTTGTTTGGCTATGGATTTTATTGTTGATCTACCAGCTTCCAATAGGCATACAGTTATCCTCACGGTCCTTGACAGGTTTACTAAAATGGCTCATTTCGTTCCCTTGCCTAAACTTCCGTCCTCTCCCGAACTGGCCGTGATATTTGCTAGAGAAATTTTCCGTTTACATGGTATTCCCAATGTGATTGTGTCAGACAGGGGTTCCCAATTTATTTCCCGTTTTTGGAGATCCTTCTGTTCACAGTTGGGCATCAAACTGAATTTTTCTTCGGCCTATCATCCCCAATCTAACGGAGCAGCCGAACGCACTAACCAAAAAATTGAGCAATATCTACGTTGTTTTGTTTCTGAACACCAAGATGACTGGGTCGGTCTGATTCCTTGGGCGGAGTTTGCTCACAACAACCTTGTTTGTGGTTCCACTCGTAATAGCCCCTTTTTCTTGAACTATGGCTTTAACCCTACTGTTCTTCCGTCGGTGTCTCCTTCCCAGGGTATACCGTCGGTTGATATTCATATAGCCAACCTGAGAAAGTTGTGGGATCAGACTCGACAAATTCTTGAACGTAGTTCCGCGGTGTTTAAGTCACATGCTGATAGGCGTAGACGTCCTGCTCCTATTTTTTCTCCGGGGGATAGGGTCTGGTTGTGTACCAGACACATTCGCCTGAAAGTTCCTTCCTTGAAGTTTGCTCCTCGTTACATTGGTCCTTACAGGGTACTGAGGAGGATCAACCCGGTTTCTTATTTGCTGGATCTACCTCCTACTCTACGCATCCCTAACTCTTTTCATGTGTCGTTATTGAAACCTCTTGTTTGTAACAGATTTTCCTCCCGCTCTGCTCCTCCATCCTCGGTCCGTGTGGATGGTCAGGAGGAATATATCATCAAGTCCATCCTTGATTCTCGTATTTCTAGGGGGAAGCTGCAATACCTCATAGACTGGAAAGGTTATGGTCCTGAAGAGAGGTCTTGGGTTCCTGGTATAGGCGTGCATGCTCCTCGTCTTCTTCGGGCCTTCCACGTTCGTTTTCCTTCTAAGCCAGGTCCCATCCGCCCGGTGGGCGTTTCTAGAAGGGGGGGTACTGTCAGGGTACCTGTTGGTGATGTATCCAGGGAGGACATCCTCTCTGCTTAGGGGCTCCCTTCCCTTAGCATTTCGGCATATTCCGGCCGTTTTCGCGCCGGCCGCGCTAGCTCCTCCCTCTTTTATGACGCGACGGCTAGCGTCGACGTCATGACGTCGGCATTTGCATAAAGTGCCGGGAACCGCTATTCCGGACCTTTTGGGGGCGTGGTCTCTATTTAGGTACAGGGTATTTAAAGGAAACCTTTACTACTGCTCATTGCCCTGTCGTGGTTCTAGCTTGCTAGTCACTCAGCGCGTTCTTTATCTTGTGTTTCCGGTTTTGACCCTTGCTTGTCTTTTGTCCTGTTGTCCTCTCCTCTCCTTTGACTCGGCTTGTATCTCGCTTACCTGTCCTCCGGCTCCCTTGACCTCGGCTTACCTTTTGACTATTCTTGCTTGTCCTTACGTTAGTCCGGCCATTCTAAGGTCCGGTATACGTACCTCCTTCTGTGCGCACTCTGCGTATTGGATCCCTGTCAGTTTCCTGACAACGAGCAGGCGCTAATGCGCATGCGCAGTGAGTGCTGGTCGCGCATTAGGCTCTCCTCATAGGAGAGCACTGAACCAATGCTTTCCTATGGGGAAATAGCTGACGCCCAAAAGTCTGTTTACATCCATTAAGCGCCTCCAGTGGCTGTCTGGTAGACAGTCACTGGAGGCAGACTTAGTGCTGCAATGTAAACATTGCAGTTTCTCTGGCAATAGGCAATAAGGGACACTGCACCCAGACCACATAAATGAGCTGAAGTGGTCTGGGTGCCTATAGAGTCCCTTTAATCATCCATTTTAATAAGTGATATTCTATACTTTAGGGGATTTCGATTAGAATCTATCTAATCTAGAATTATAAATAAATAAGTAGTTGCTGTTAGAATGTACAAATATCTTTCGTAGGAAATTCTCCCCAGTTTCATTTCTGGGGGTGAACTTGTGAATTTCAGAATGCCTGAATTAGACATTTCTATTTATTGTATTGTGCATTCTACCCTATGTGTGTAAAAAGAAGGGAAACGATTCTACACTTTAAATGTGAAATTACAGAGGGAGGTTTGAAACCCATAAAGTATTTGTGTCTGTTCCATCTCGCTCCATCCTTCAAATCTGCTGCAGGAAAATTAGAAAGAAATATGCGTTGGGAGTTGTGCAATTAGGCTTTCCTCTATGCCTAGTAAGTAATTGCTGCGCGCATCTCCTGGCTGCAGCCCATGCTGAGTTTATGTTCTGCTCTCAGTTTGATGTTTTTCCTCCATCGCTTATCCCTGAAGCGATCATCTGCTGTTGAAGAGCCCCATATTATAGCGCAGGTTCTCCTGCACCCCAGGAATGAGAAATTAACACAGAATTGTACTGAAAGATTAAGGAACAGTAGGAGGTTCTTGTGAAAAATATTTTTTTCTGTATTAACCATGTGAAATCATCACAACCTTCAGCTGGCTCTCCAGAAAGACTATACTATAACAATATAGCATAGAATAAAGGAAAATAATAACAGTGTCGCTGTAAATATGGGAAGACAGCATATATTAGTTCAAGGACAGCAGTATATATTAGGTTAGGGCAGGAAGAAGAGATTAGGTCAGGGCAAGAGGAGCATATCGGGTCAGAGCAGGCACCATAGAAGATTAGATCAGGGCAGGTAGTAGAAATTGTGTCAACATGCATCAGCATAAACCGTCCTTACTGAATTATCTCCAAGCTCACTCAGCTATAGGTGTTTCACCTCCAACTTGCTTGTCTAAGCAAAGACCTAAAACCCCTACAACGATCAGTAAAGTGTTTGGAGCGTAGACATATCTCAAACCTGGAGAAAATGACTGATCAGATGATAGTGGTTGCATGGATCATGAGCTGTGCTGAAAAGATACACAATCTGATCTGGAAACATAAAATGAATATATTAAATAAACAGAGCACGCATCTGGATTTGTACTGTAGTAGAAAAGCAAAGTGGCTCTTGTTTTGCAATAATTTCAAGGTTTGTGATATGGAGCAGGTTTTGCCTGTAATCCCCGCACTAGTTGTTAAATGGATGTTGTAAAAAGCTGGAACACTTCACACGGGTAGGTGTAGGTAATAGATCATGATGTGTCTTTCTCAGAAGAGCTCTTTACAATATGCATTCGGCTTCTAGCTACTTTGCCGCAGCTCAGCAGTCAAAGTAAACGCTGGTGCAGTGGTTAACTCACCTCATCTCTTCCGACAGGCTTCTAATTGATTTAATCTAGAGCCAATAATTAGTGTGAGAAAGGGGATGCTGGAGGGAAGGATCTGGCCATTGTTTGGGAAAATGAGACATAATGTATTTGTGGGTCGAATGCTTCACCCCAGTGATTACTTAACATGCAACACTGGAGTTTCCAATATTAAACGCCTGAGCTTCAGAACCCCATAGCTATCATTACATCATACTGATGGCAACTTGAATATTAAATAAATAAATCTGTTAAATGGGCAGCATGGCCCTAAAAGAAAGTTCAAAGTAAAGGGGATGTTCCATGCACTTGTTTGCTGAAATTCTTACAGAAAATCCTAGATCTAGTGGGTGATAAAGTCTCACGCACTCCAATGCAGAACCAAAGGACTGTTTTTCAAGATGTTTGTGCATATAATGTTAGAGATCAAACTTATCAAAACTCCAAAGCAGACACATGGCAGTAAAGGCTGCTTTAGGACTTCCTGTTCCAGACAAAAGAGAAGCTTCGGAATCTGCAGGACTTTTTGCTTTTTTGAAATGACAACTGAATCTGCTCGTGAGCAGTCAAAGTATTGAACAGTGCAGAGGAAGGAAAGCACGACTCACTGCATGTGCCAGGTGCCGTCTGATCACACGTCAAAACATTCATTGCCAAGTGGCAGGGAATATGGAAGAGGAACACACCATTATGGACACGATCTAGTTTCCATATACTGACACCACAGAAAATAATAATTTCTTTAACCCAGGCAGGAAGAGGATCAAAGGGTTGGAACTGCCAACTAACCAAAATAAATTATTCTTTCTCAATACCTATGTTTGAGTATTTCTGGAACCAGCACACAAAACAAATAAAATGTGCTACACACACACACACACACACACACACACACACACATATATTTTGGCATCTTATCTACTGGACTATATATATAGGTTATAGTGGGGGGGAAAGTTTGATTGAAAACCCCTTCCACCTGAAGTCTGTGGATAGTGAATACAATGTTAAACAAAAATCTGCACACCAGTCAAGCCATAAGACTTGCTTTTCCCACAGAAATCACAAATCTGCAGTGATGTTACTACTGCAAAGGATTCTGGTCATATGCAAATTATTTTAACAAAGAATCAATTTTTGCCTCATTCCATTTTAAACATGGATTTCTTTGAGTCTGTGTTTGCTGCATATAACAGTTTTGAAACAACTTAGGAAATGATGCAAAGCCAGTAAACCACTCATGGACAGCTGTTTCAATGTTAATGCAAATCATCAGCATGAGGACTATATATATATATTATATATACACACACACACAGCTCAATGTTTGGCCCAAGCTATTTAGCATGGCGAGTAGAAGAAATTCACCCCAGAGTTGGAATTTAAAGCCATGCATTTACAAAGTTACATGCTAGCATCACGGCTGCTTTCTAGAAAATGCACGGACAGGAAAAGGAATAGTTTCTGTTCCATACATCTTATATTTTCTATGTTTTATTCAATTCTGTACATTCCAAAGAAGTGATAGTTCCCCTTTAAAATCCAGGTTTCATTTTGCCTGAGGTATTCCTAACAGCACAAGAAATAGTATGCTTCGATCCTTCACAAACTAAAACACTACTGAGTTTTGTCATCTGTTACAACTGGAGAAAAACCTGGTGCTGTGCTTCTCTGTATAGGCCAAAGATTCTCTTTGAAATAGAAGCCTTTATTCGAACCCACGGAAAAACCTAGAATATTGGTGGAAGGCGTCTGATTTCACCTCAATACTTCCTGCTGACTGAACCTCACTTTTAACATAGTCATCTGCATGCATGAACATCACTTCTGATTACTCACCAGCCTTGGGCTCCACAGTGCTGTTTGATCCTGAATCTATGAATACAAATCTCCCGCCCTCAAAGTCTCTGGAGTAGTCCGACAGGTACAGCAATGAAGTGTAATCAAATGATCCATATGTCACCTGGAGGCAGAAAGGAACAGTTTAAGCTGTACGTCTCATTTCAGATGACTTGCAATGAATTACGATGCTCAAGCCTGTGTATTACGCTCTGGCCTTTAGTCTACACTTGGCAAGAGATAAAGGGAAGAGCAAGGGCTGGCCGTTTGATGCCTGAGTAAAGAAGGCTACAGGAAAAATAATGATTTTCTTTTACTCCTTACTCGGGGAGGGGAATTAATTTATAACCTTCAAGCAGAGAAAGAGAGAAACATTCACATAAGAAGTTAATTTATAAAATAAGCATACATAAAGAAAGCCGGGAACAAGTCACAAAATGGTCGTTCTTTACTTAGAACATCTATCGGTACATGACCAGCTTTAAAATCAGTCTTAACATCCACTCTGACCTCCCCACTTTTAGACTCTTAAATCCCATCCAAATCCACCATCTAAGATGATTCCCAACTCTGGTCTTCTGCATATCATGTATATTTACACAGTGAGAACCCCAAAATGCCAAGGGGCTCTCAGACTAGCACTCCCTGTCCACATGTTGAGATTCTGACACTAAACCACCTGCTCTCGCCTCCATATTGTTTACATTCGCTGATGGCATGATCGAAATGCTAAAAACCACAGACTGCGAGATCTTTTTCTATTTAGGACCCCTGGTTGGCAGGCGCTGTCTAACATCCAAATCTTACAATCAGTTTGTTTAACCCTATTCCATAGTAACCTATGTATTTGCAAGGTTTGTTTCCTATCCATCAAATATAAGAATCAACCAGTGCTCCGGTCAATCCCTTTGCCCCTCATAATGTCACTCCCCACCCCGTATTGTACAGGAGCCTGCTCACTAGTACAATGTAAAAAAACTGGGCAGAATGTAGAGGAGGCTATGAGCCGATCTCAATAGCAGCCTGAAATGTTCTTTAAAGGGACACTATAGTCACCAAAACAAATTTAGCTAAATGAAGCAGTTTTGGTGTATAGATCATGCCCCGGCAGCCTCACTGCTCAATTCACTGTCACTTAGGAGTTAAATCACTTTGTTTATGAACCCTAGTCACACTTCCTGTAAAGAGCCATCTAAAGTTTATCCTTTCTTTATGGCAAGTTCTGTTTAATTTAGATTTTCTTATCCCCTGCTATGTTAACAGCTTGTTAGACCCTGCAAGAGCCTCTTGTATGTGATTTAAAGTTCAATTTACAGAGAAAGACATACAATTGTTTAAGGTAAATTACATCTGATTGGGAGTGAAAGTAGTTTTTTTTTTTCATGCAGGCTCTGTCAATCATAGCCAGGGGAGGTGTGGCAAGGGCTGCATAAACAGAAACAAAGTGATTTAACTCCTAAATGACAGTGAATTGAGCAGTAACACCTGAGATGCATGATATATGCACTAAAACTGCTTCATTAAGCTAAAGGTGTTTAGGTGACTATAGTGTTCCTTTAATACCTGGCTTTAGACAGGTCACCGTATTTACTACAGGTGGAATTATTCCCAAATCGACATTTTAACATGCTGGATTGCTATGAGTTACCCAGAATTCAAGCAAGTTCTGTACACGTATTAAACATGTTATTATAATATTGACAATTTTTGAAAATGATTTGTCCTTTCATGCTCTTCATTCTGTAAAGAGCACAGTTGTCTGCAATCCCTTCCATTTTAATGTATTATTTAGATATAGCATTAAAACAAATTATGGCAAAAACACTTTTTAAGGATGCTAAAGCTACCGTACTTGCACAGTACGTGTTGGAAGCAGGCAGATTGCTCTCTCAACATGAAGAGGTTCTGCCACTCAGGAGCCTCTCATTATAATCTATGGGGTCTGATCTGATCTCAAAAACACACGTCAAATCAAACATTGTTTTGTCATTTATTCTTGCATTATGTATACAAACTGTTTTTTTTTTTTAATTGTATTATTTTTTTTCTCCGAAAGAATTTTGTAATGAATAATAAATGGATCATTCATTTTTATTCTCAAGTGGTGAATGCTCCCCACATATCACTCTAAGTGAAGACTTGCCTGATTTAATCCACTGAAACAGTGGTGAGAGGGTTAACCCTGGTCAAGTGCCAGTGTTAATCATGTTTTGCTATGGCAGGGTGAGGCTTTGGAGGTACAGATAAAGAGAAGGTTTGTAAGAGCAGCTATCTCAGGCAATCTGAAGAGTCATCTGCCAGATGTGAGCACTTCAGGAAATTACAGCGCTATCTAGCCAGTGGATAAAATGCACAGCAATCGCAAGGATCAATGACTAATTACGGCTTTAAACTATTAAAGACACATGTAGCAAGAGATGACATCTGACATATTTATCTCTAGATGCAGAGATACACACCAGGCATCCGTCTAAGTACATTGTGCTATTAGATTTATGAAATGATATTAAAGGGACAGCGGTTAGCTACACACATTACATGTTGTAGCGGAGAGCTGGTATTACACAGCAGATCTCCACTTTAGATCCCAGGGAGGTTCAGGAACAAGCAATTATAAATCCATAGGGTAAAGTATCCAGCAGGCAAAGTACCACAGCAGTATCCCAACAGCAATCCCAATAACTGGACGACACACAGTATCAGGAGCAGAACTAAAGATTTATTCAGACAGTGGCCTTATAAAGCCTGCTCCCATGCAAGGGAGGGATTTCCATTAATTTGTACAGTGGCCAATCCTGCTCTGGTAACCTCCCACACATCTCCTCCCCTCAGCCTGCATCATAATCCCCTTATCCAAGACACCAATTCCCCCCGTTTCTGGATGTACCCCTAAACCTAGGGGTACCACTTTAAATTATACATCCCCTGGTAGCCCTGATCTGGGTGAACAACATATCCAAAAATCACCCAGATCAGACCAGGGGTTCGGGAAATTTATGGAGGGAATAAAATGACCGACTGCACTGGAAAGAACAGCCGAATGGGGTTCCATGCGATGGGGCCCTGCGGTCTGTCCTGGAGTAAGGGAACAAACTGCACGAAAGCCTCCAGCTACAGAGACTAGGGAGGGTTCGCCTGAATCTCCTCGTTCGGTTGTTTCTATCTACCGAATGAGGGGCCGTTCGGTAGTTTGGAACCGAACAGCTTTTGGAGGTCTCAGCGGTGTTCGCCTTGTCGAGTGTCCGATTTGAGTTCCAGACACTCGACGGCAAAACACTGCTGTTCAGGAGTTTTAAAATGGCCGCCGCCATGTGTTCGTTTCCCGAATGGCGGCCACCCCCGAGAACAAAGGACAATGTTGAAACGGGTAATTGAGGGCACACTTCACAAAGGGGAGGTCTGACTGTTCGGTAGTTTCATTCGACCAAACTAAGGGAAGGAAACTACCGAACAATCAAACGAATACAATACATTTAACACACATAACTTTGCCATTTACACAAATGCATTCAAAACATATGTAATTCTCAGGACAGCCCAGTGCCATCCGCTACACGTGTTAATGCATTACATAGAAAATACATTACAGAACAAACAAAATTTAAAAAAACAGACTGTCGTCAAATTTTTCACGCGTCTGTTTTTCTACAAGTTTATTACATTTAATGGAAAGTATTTATTTATTTTTTAAATGTACATTTATTTTTTGACATTTTTTTAAAAGTCGCCTTGTTAACCTTACGGTTATCTGACCAACTGGTGCTCAACCCAATGTGCCTGCTGCTGAAGTTTCAAACAGAGCAATTACTGCAGCCATGTAGCCATGTTGGGTCAGACTTTATGGTTATCTGACCAACTGGTGCTCAACCCAATGTGCCTGCTGCTGCAGTTTCACACAGAGCAATTACTGCAGCAGGCAAGTTAGCTTGAGCAGCAGTTGGTCAGATAACCGTAAAGTCTGACTCAAAAAGGCTGCTCAGCCAGATAGAAAGGTATAGAAAAAAAATATACATCCATTAAATATCATACATTTTCATTAAATGTAAACTTCATTTATTTATTTTTAAGAGAGAAAAATGTACGATTGTTATCTTTTAAAGAAAGAAAACAAAACAAAAACATATACCCTTTATTGTATTGCAGTCTTGAGTGTCCCTTTAAGGACATTTGCAGTAACGGTAGATGCAAATATGCACATATTAGCATTCTCTCTCAGTCCATAGAACTGCTACATTTAGGGAGTGATTTTAACAATACACATTTGTATACATTCAATATCCCAGGATCCCAAAATACACCACTCTAGTATAAATTGGTCTGATTCCACTAAATAGCAATAGAAAGAAGAAAAGAGACAACCGGTTTGTACATCATTATTATTAAATCTCTTTCTACAGTCACGTCTGTAATAACAGATCAGATAGACTGATTCATACGATTATTTAATAGCATCATTCCTTTATAAAGATCCAGAATGCTTTGTAATTCTCTACTGTGGAGATATTGTGATACAAATTTACACAGATGAAGATGAAAACTCATTTTGTCACCCCTTCCTATCTACATAGAGAAAGATGAACTGCTATTCAAATCTTACTCTACCATCTAGGCAGGGAGACTTCAGTCGATCAAACTCTATATGGTAAAAAAAGAAATAGCATGTCCTTCAGTTTGAAATGATGTGCATGTGCTTCTCTCTTTAAGGAATTCACTCTCAATGTTCGGATTTGGTTTAAAAAAATAAATGTTTTATCAGGGCCTTAAAGGAAAATTCTCCCCCTCCCGCCCGGCTCTGGGAAGAGGAAAGGGGTTAAAACTTACCTTTTTCCAGCGCTGGGCGGGAAGCTCTCCTCCTCCGTTCCTCCCATTTGGCTGAATGCGCATGGACGCTTGCGTGCTCTCACTGTGAAAATCACAGAGGAATTGGAGGAAGGATTAACCCATTTGTAAACATAGCAGTTTCTCTGAAACTGCTATGTTTATAAAAAAATGGGTTAACCCTAGCTGGACCAGGCACCCAGACCACTTCATTAAGCTGAAGTGGTCTGGGTGCCTAGAGTGGTCCTTTAATATAGTGGTTCTAGTGCAAAGAGGCTGTCCTTGCAACCTCATCTAAAGACCTTCCTGCAGTCCTGCAATTGTTGCAAGAGGACGTTCAGCATCTTTACTCTCTGCATTGAGACCCTAAACGCTCCCCATAGAGTTGCATTGAGTTAATGCATCTCTATGAGGAGATGCTGATTGATGGAGGAATGAGATTTCCGCGCATGCACAGGAGACTAGTAATGATGATTTCAGCAGTGGTGGAGCAGTGGCTGCAGTGAGGCCACTGTGGCAAGGGTAGAAAGGTATGTCAAACTTTACTTGAATTTATCTGGTTCCAATATAATCTAGAAAGGCAGAGAGGCACTCTAAAATTCGAAATCCCTGCTTGTTATTCAACTAAGGACCAAATAACTCACCTGATGTGTCAAATTATTGCTATCTATAGCAAACTAGTAGATGTAATTAACAAACAACAAAAAATGTATATACAGGAACACATGGTGATGATGGTCCTGTTCAAACAAGCTTAGATTATGTAAAAAGATTTGCCCAATTCCTGGTCTGTATTGGGTTAAGTTTCCATCTGATGTTGCTGTTGAAGGAGTGGGATTCTGTACGGGGCAACATACAGTACGGCGTACAGAATATAAATATAAAAGATGTTGTTTCTATCTGTACCAATACATAAGGACCAAGGGAGATAGTTCATGGTAATATTTACTTGTTACCCAGCTCTCAAAGAGATTAAAAATAAACTAAATATGTGAGATTAATGTATGCATTTATGGTGATCTCTAACGCAATTATCTTGAACTCTTGGGTTATACAATGGGATTAATCAAGCAGGTGAGCTATTCACGCATCAATTGCTTTATAACAAAGCAAGACCTTGCTTGTCTCGATTCTCCTCTAAGAGCAGTAAATCCTAGATAAAGCATACTATGTGTCACATGACATCTACCCCATCCATAATCACACACCTTGTATGCAAACTCTGTGTACACTAAGAATGCTCGTTCACCCACACATACTGTAAGCCACGAATGGCTGATCTTTTGTACTCCAGTTGGGGGTGGCCAAAGTTACATCAATTAATGAATTAATCTTCAGTCCATCTGTTCCATGTTACAGACATTCCATAAACTTTGGGTCTTTTTTCCTCAATTAGCCTCAAATGTTGTAACAAACTTTCCAGTTATTGAGGATATTTTTTTTAAACCATGCAAAAGCAAATTCAACTATGGAATGGAATGTAAATATATAAAATATGTGTGATACACACTGATCAGCCACAACATTAAAACTACCTGCCTAATATTGTGTAGTTCCCTCTTATGCTGCCAAAACAGCTCTGATGCGTTGAGGCATGGACTCCACAAGACCTCTAAAGGTGTCCTGTGGTATCCGGCACCAAGACCTTAGCAGCAGATGCCACAAATTGCGAGGTGGGGCCTCCATGGATTAGATTTTTTTGTTCCAGCACATCCTACAGATGCTCAGTCGGATTGAGAACCAAGGAATTTGAAGGCCAAGGCAACACCTTGAACTTTTTGTCATTTTCCTCAAACCATTCCTGAACACTTTTGCAGTGTGGCAGGGTGCATTATACTGCTGAAAGAAGTCAATGCCGTCAGGGAATAGACATGTGCAATTCGTTTCGGTCCGAATTGCCGAAGTTCAGAATTTCGGAAGTGCCGAACTGAACCGAATTGCCGAAGTCCCGAATCGCCAAATTTCCGAAGTGCTTTGAATTTCTGAAAAGTGGCAAAACAGGAGAGAGAGGTTAGGGTAGGGTTAGGGTAAGGGGTAGAGTCAGGGTAAGGGTTAGGGGTGAAGGGGTGAAGGTTAGGGTAAGGGTTAGGGGTAGAGATAGGGTTAGGGTTAGGAAATTGCGAAGTCTTGAATTCCCAAAGTGGCGAAGTCCCGAATTTCGGAAGAGATGCAGTCCCGAATTCCCAAATTTCGGAAGTGCTGAATTTGCGGAGGAACCGAACTGAAATCCAGAATTTTGGAAGTGCCGAACCAAACCAAATTTTTTGTCCATGCACATCCCTATCAGGGAACACCATTGCCATGAAAGGTTGTATGTGATCTGCAACAATCTCTAGGTAGTAATATCCACATGAATGCCAGGACCCAAGGTTTCCTAGCAGAATACTGCCCAGAGCATAACACTGCCTCCGCTGGTCTGAATTCTTCCCATAGTGCATCCTGCTGCAATTTCTTCTCCAGGTAAACAACACACACGCCCAACCATTCACCTTATCTAACAGAAAACATGATACATCAGACTAGACATCCTTCTTCCATTGCTCCATGGCCCAGTTCTGGTGCTCATGTCCCCACTGAACGCGCTTTCAGGGATGGGCACTCTTACTGGTCTGCTGCTATGCAGCCCCATCAGAAGCAAAATGCAATGCACTTTCTATCACGGCCAGTATTGGGTTTTTCAGCAATTTGAGCTACAGTATCTCTTCTGTGCTACCTAGCCTTCGTTCCCCACGTGCATCTATCAGCTTTGGGCGCTAGTGATCCTGACACTGGTTCACCAGTTGTTCTACCTTGCTCCACTTTTGGTTGGTACTAACCACTGCATTCCGGGAACACCTCACAATATTTGCTGTTTTGGAGATACTCTGACCCAGTCGTCTAGCCATCACTATTTGGCCCTTGTCAAAGCCAAGTAGGTAATTATGCTTGCCCATTTTTCCTGCTTCCAACACAGAAAATTTAAGAACTGACTGTTCACTTGCTGCTCAACATATACCTCCCCTTGACAGGTGTCATTGTAAACATATAATCAATTTTATTCACGCCACCTGTCAGTGGTTTCAATGTTCTGGCTGATCAGTGTACACAGGATACCAAATTATAGAGCTATCTTATAAGCAGCCTTTACAGAGATACAATCTTGGGCACCTTAGATTAAAGTTTTGACATTAATGTCTTGTGCTTGATGGCTTGGCTGGTTTGACCAGTAAATAATGATTAGTTGGCCTCTCATCCACTTCTGAAAAGAGGCAGCCAGGTTGAAACTGATCGATTGTCTAATCTTATGGGTCACTAGGCAAGGATTGCTGTGAAAATTATTTGATTTTCATTTGTGGGATGTTAAAAGCCTTATTTTCCTTTGCTTGGAAGTAAATGGGACCAAAACCTGCTGCCACAGTCCATAACCTGGGTCAAAGCATTATATCGCTCTAAGGATGGGAAGGGCAACCTTTGACAAACATGCTAGTAGGTCTTTTAGCTCAGAGAGGGTTAGCCTTACAGTTGTCAGGTAATTCTATTTCAAGTTAAGGGTTCTTATACGTCAATTGATGTAGAACTATGACATTGTCCTAGCAAACGCTTTGATTGCTGTGATCCCTAGAGAATGGTTCTACAGTCAGTAACATTACCACACATGGATATCCGCCTCTGTGAGCCAAACCATTATAGCAGAACCGGTGATCTAGAAAACAATTTCTGTTTTACTTTTCTGTTTAACCCTTTTTGCGTGGGGCTGTTTAAATTGAGTCAATTATTTCAAGAAGGATAATTAAATGTAAATACAGATTAGCGTTAACCTATTGAGAGGTTTAAGCGAAGCATTATCAGGACTTACTGAGAACTTGTTTAACAGGACAATCAGGAGAATTTGCCATATATGGATAGACAATGCTAGAAATAGCCAAGCTGATTTTAAATCCAGCCTAGACGTGCTTCTTCAAAGTAAACAGATAAAGATGGTTTTTAAAATTGCGTGAAAAGACAATCAGCAAATTAAATAACAGTCTGCCCCCATCACCAAGGTACATGTAGTACAATATTTGAAGACATGGCTTTTGACCATCGCTGCTGTAACAAATAATATGATTCTTAAAATGTATTTTTATAACATTTTTCCATATTGTTCCATTTCTCTGCATCTGTTTGGGCAAATGTCTGGGACAGCTCGGAGAGCCTCTAATAGCCTGCTTTAGAAAAATATCAGGTCAAAAATGTATTTGATTTTGTGCGCAAAGCAATCCGATCAAGTTCTCCTCCATGCACTGACAGTGGATTTTACTTTGAATTTATGTCTTCTTTCTAAAAGATGTTATGCCATCAAAAACAAATCCTACTACTTTAGAACATTGTACAATGACAGCTCAGATAACAGAGCAATGGTGTCCGATAGGGGCCAGGAAAGCCCGCGACTGGAATGACAGAAGATAAGGAAATCTGAGCTCACCTTAGCTGCTGTAGCACTGCCTGGAAGCTAGGGTAAGATGCAGGTTTAGTCTTTATATTCCCTGAACCCGGCATGCAGAAACAGCAATAAGTGCATTTTTGGATGTGACTGTACATAGTGCACACTGCTCCCCAAAAAATACCAAACATGCTGCTGCAGCTATCTGTACATGGTACGGAGAGACGTGTCTCATAATAGGGGATTAGTTAGCTTCCAACACTTCTATATCCATGGTTTTTATATTAAGGTATTATTAGTGAGTCTGTTTCAAGAAACAAAAGTGAAAAGTCTTGGTAATATGTTGTGTTGAAATGTTTTTCATATTATTCACATTTGCATGCAAATTACCTGTCTGAGGTGTTTGAATGTACCTGATCCAAGCATGCACCTGGTCACCCGCTAATCTGCTGATCTTTCAATCTTTAATACAGGTTTTAAAACTAGTGTAGGACGGAGTGGAGAGAGAGGGACGGATAGATGCATAGAAGGAATGTTTTTGCATTTACATTGCTATTTACAAAGCACCAGCATAATCCATAGCCTTGTAAAATGGTCAAAATACACGATCGACTTACAGGAACAAGGGATGGTGCTCATAGGAGCTTACAATTTCAAGAAAATTACACAAATTACACAGATAATAGTTCATTTTCATCAAAGAATAAAAATGGATTGGTATGTGTATTGACAGCACAGTCTGTGAGCAGTATATGTCTTGAATAGGGGAAGAGAGGCAATAAAAAGGGTGAAGTGGCAAGGGAAAGAAGTTACATTTTCAGCGTTTTCTTTAGTAATTTCCCCTTGAGTCAATAAGAAGGGGTAAATCAAACTAACTGGGCTAGAGAAAGCTTTAAAACTTGTTCTAAAGAAGTCTTAAAGGTGGATTTGGAGGTGAGGATAGAGAGGAAAGGTGTTTCCATTTCAGACAACTTAATATTATTAAAGTTGCAACAAGGTTCCCAAGATGTAGGTGGCTGAGGAGTATGGATCAGATCCATAACCCCAGCAGGAGAAGTGCCTTGACTGGCTTAGCTCCGTGGCTCTCCGAAGCACTCTTTTGGGCAGAGGGCATGCGATGACTGAGGACAGGCTAATTCAGGAGCCCAAACAAGGCCATGCAACCTCCTAAGTTTCTAACTGCAATCTTTCTTTTTTTTTTCTATTAAAAAAAAATCATTATTTAGTCCTTCAGGCTCTGTCTGATCTTGGCTACCTTGGCCACATAGGAAAATATACAAACATTTTCTGGAAATATCTGACGTAAAAAAAAAAAAAATTTGAATATTGTCAAATGCCCAGTGCTGCTTTTTTCTTTATTACTCTCGCTGGATCCTGGCAGCAAAGCAAACACTGTCTGTGTCTGGAACAAACAGACCTCAATGTCACGAAGAATTGTCTGATTGGCCGCGGTTTCTGGATTCAAACTAAAATCATTAAAGCAGATGCTGCCTGCTTGGAGGACACTCATTATAGAAATTGGCAAAACATTCCGGGCACGAGGCAACGCCAACCTTTGAGCCTCTCAAATAGACTGGACTGCGGGTGAGGCAGCACGAAAGTAATTTAGTGGAACTGATCTAGCTTGTATGTGGAACAAACATTAAAAAAAAACATATTGTGCCAACAAGGGCTGCTAACAGATCTGAACTTACAAAATTGAGCCCTGCGCTCAAACTCCCACTAATCCTGAACGACAGCAATGATTATTATAGAACACATCAGCCCCAATACATACAATAAAAACCAAAGAAAAAAAGCTACTTGCGTTTTATCCCAAATCCCTATGCGCAATTAAAGGACCACTATAGTGCCAGGAAAACATACTCGTTTTCCTGGCACTATAGTGCCCTGAGGGTGCCCCCACCCTCAGGGACCCCCTCCCGTCCGGCTCTGGAAAGGGGAAAGGGGTTAAAACTTACCTTTTTCCAGCGCTGGGAGGGGAGCTCTCTTCCACCGATCCTCCTCTTCTCCGCCCCGTCGGCTGAATGCGCACACGCGGCAAGAGCCGCATTCATAATGCTTTCCTATGGACGCTGGCGTGATCTCACTGTGAAAATCACAGTGAGAAGCACGCAAGCGCCTCTAGTGGCTGTCAATGAGACAGCCGCTAGAGGAAATAGGGGAAGGCTTAACCCATTCATAAACATAGCAGTTTCTCTGAAACTGCTATGTTTATGAAAAAATGGGTTAACCCTAGCTGGACCAGGCACCCAGACCACTTCATTAAGCTGAAGTGGTCTGGGTGCCTAGAGTGGTCCTTTAAATCTGACATGAACAGATTTAATGATTTCCCTAATGGAAAGCTTTGGATTGGCTGAAATCGACAACGAGGCGGGACAGGGCGGACCAAACACTGGCTTGGCCAATCAGCACCTCCTCGTAGAGATGCATTAAATCTATAGTTCAGCAAGCACCTCTAGCAGCCATCTGAGGAATTTTCTCTGAAAAGGCAGGGTTTACATAAAAAGGCCCGCAGGGAATGATTATATTCACCAGAACAACTACATTAGGCTGTAGTTGTTCAGGTGACTATAGTGTGGTAAAAGGTAAAAACCCTAATAAGACAGAGAGGGGTATTTTTCTAAACTTCTACACACTTATTAACCCTTAATAGGGAACACGTGGGGTGGGAGGCAGCACTGTAACATGGCTGTGTAATACAAAAGCAAATACAAACATACACAATTAAGCACTAAATTCAAACTCCCATTACTCCTGGACGACATCAGCTCAAACTCCCATTACTCCTGGACGACATCAGCTCAAACTGCCATTATTCCTGGGCGGCAGCAATGATTATAGTACACATCATCTCAAACTCCCATTACTCCTGGGCGGCAGCAATGATTATAGTACACATCAGCTCAAACTCCCATTACTCCTGGGTGACAGCAATGATTATAGTACACATCATCTCAAACTCCCATTACTCCTGGGCGGCAGCAATGATTATAGTACACATCAGCTCAAACTCCCATTACTCCTGGGCGACAACAGCTCAAACTCCCATTATTCCTGGGCGGCAGCAATGATTATAGTACACATCAGCTCAAACTCCCATTACTCCTGGGCGACAACAGCTCAAACTCCCATTATTCCTGGGCGGCAGCAATGATTATAGCACACATCAGCTCAAACTCCCATTACTCCTGGGCGGCAGCAATGATTATAGTACACATCAGCTCAAACTCCCATTACTCCTGGGCGACAACAATGATTATAGTACACATCAGCTCAAACTCCCATTACTCCTGGGCGACAACAATGATTATAGTACACATCAGCTCAAACTCCCATTACTCCTGGGCGGCAGCAATGATTATAGTACACATCAGCTCAAACTCCCATTACTCCTGGGCGGCAGCAATGATTATAGTACACATCATCTCAAACTCCCATTACTCCTGGGCGACAGCAATCATTATAGTACACATCAGCTCAAACTCCCATTACTCCTGGGCGACAGCAATGATTATAGTACACATCATCTCAAACTCCCATTACTCCTGGGCGGCAGCAATGATTATAGCACACATCAGCTCAAACTCCCATTACTCCTGGGCGACAGCAATCATTATAGTACACATCAGCTCAAACTCCCATTATTCCTAGGCAGCAGCTAACAGATCTGGCCCTAATATAAAGAAAAAAATAGGTGCAAGAATAGGTGCAAGAAACTGTGAACCAATACATACTAAAGAGCCACTTGTGTCTATATGCTCCCCTATATACCCAACAGAATTGCAGACAGCACATTTGAAACAATATACAGTTAAACATGTATATAACACTGTGTTGTAACCCTTTTCATATATCTGCAAAAACGACATATACCCAAAATACTAAAAAATAAATATTAAAAAAACATATTGTAATCTGGTTATACAGTAAATAAATGTGTATTAATTAAATCTGACCCTAGTCTGGTGTCCTCCTTCATGTCATGCAAAAATCACACCCTCGGAAGATACCATTCATATATACACTAGCCAAACTGCTAATATCTTCATTACATTTACATCCAGTATTCAGACCCATAATGCCATGTTCCGGATCATAGAATGGAATGCAAGATTGGCATTCTAAGAGTGCATGCAAAGCTAAGTACATATGAGAGTACAAGTAAGTATGCCATTTGAACTATACATCTAATTTTGTAAACATTGTGTAAAGGTTACATCTAAATCATACAACTAGATCTGTGACAGTCCCTCCACAGGTCATATATAAGACAACAGTCTGTAGCGGCACCCGTTCTGCCAAATGAGACATGGGTGAAATATTCTCAGGATTAAAAAAATGTGATCTTTTTCAAAGTACAATTTCCAGTTTCTAATAGTTTGGAAATATTAGTAAACTAAGATTTTGTAGGAATTTTTCAGCAAAGGCAGCAGTATACATACAAATATAAGGAGTGGGCAGGTAGTAAGGCCCCTATGGCAATCCCAACACCAGGACATGATACCCATACATCACAGATACCTGCTCTGCTACCTTAATAACACACGTGACCTGTATCTGCACTTTACAGCAGCGATCTGGCTGCTGGGGATATTTCTGTGATATTAACAGGCTCAGCTATTTATTATAATCATTTTCATAACTAAGAAACCTGAGGAAGCTGTGCTTTCCCCAATGCCATTCACTTGTTATATCAATGAATTCTTGATGTCTGTCATCTCCATCTCCTTGAAGTCTCTGGAGGGACAGAATTAAATAGAAAAAAAAAAATCAACAACAAAAGAAAGCAAGGAATATCCAAATCCTAAGAATTTATTTGCTGACACAGAGAAAGCAAGGTCTTTTGGGATTCTTTAGCGCTTTACGGGTCCTCCCCAGGGGCTTTCTGCAGTTATTAGAGCTGCAAACGGAGCTGGGGCTTAGTCAAACAGACAAAACGCTTTGCTCCTCACAGTAAGCAGCTATTTACTGCTTTGCTGATAAATGCACAAATTCTTTTATTTAAATCCGCTCCAACCTGTGTCTCTGCAAATGATTAATTAACCTGGTTTCAAGTACTTGATGTAGCATCTTTAAGGTTAAGCCAGTTTTTCATAATAGTAACTATTACATTGTTTTAAGTTTTAACTTTGTACCATAATTGAGATAAACCCACAATGACCACTGAAAGTTGTTTAGATTGTTCCCTCTTCAACAAAATGCAAAATCCTTGAATGGGATGCTGGGTAACACAACATTGCAAGTTTCCCCTCTACAATCCCTAATAGGATAATTTTTTACATAATATTTATAAGATAAAAAATAGAATCAGTTTCGCAATCCATTGCTCATTATCTATTTTAATCTGTATAACTATTTTAAAATAGGTGCAGTACTCAAGGATGATGGTTTTTACAAGACATAGAAGGGTCACTCTTAGCACCATAACAACATTGCATTATTATAAAGGTTATGGCAAAGAGCAGGGGTAGGCAACCTTCGGCACTCCTAGTGTTGTGAACTACATCTCTCAAAATGCTCTTACACCCATAATGCTGACAAAGGATCATGGGAGGTGTAGTCCAAAACATCTGGAGTAACGAAGTTTGCCTACACCTGATATAGAGAGTACCCTGCCCCCCTTCTCCCTACTGCAATATTTGCAAAAAATGTTGCTGCTATAAGACGCACACTTCATAGGAGGAATTTTACTTGCTGTCCAAGAACCTACTGCTTGTATTGTGTGATAAGTGGAACTGCGTCTGGGACCGTAATTATTTATTCCTCGCTGTACAGGGGGTTTATGGGAAAAAGATAGAAACCAGAATGAGAGACTCCTCATGGGTGGAGCTATTTCCTGTTTTTGAAGGGGTCTACCAACTTAAGCATTTGCTTAAGTCTATATTTAACGTATTATCTAGAAGACAAAGGAAATGAAAAATAACTTGTCAATTTCTGCATATTGTATCCCTTTAAATATCCATCAGAAAGGTTTTATGGCAGTTAATTTAGAATATATTATTACAAATTCTTCCATAGATGTTTTATTGGAAAAAGTGATGTAAAGCCAACATGTACAACAGCAGTAGTTTTCCGTAAATAAATGAAAACATCATGTCTAATTAGGACGGAGTAAGCTAAAATAACAAGCAAGTTCCGGAGTACTTTGGGATCACAGTGATTAAATTGAAGTTCGATATAAAGCCACTTTAGAAGATTGTAATGCAGAGGCTATAACTTTGACTTCAAACAGCTACAGCAGGTCTCCAGCATACCAAATACAAGACAATGCAAACTGACAAATACACCTTAACAATAAAGCTGGCACCAAGGCTGATTGTCAAAAACTAAAAAAGTGAATATAAGCTAGTCATTAGCACTTGGGGACGCTTTGTCATTGGGTCCTCTTAATATACGTATAACTTTACATGATGGATGTTCTCTATCTTTTTTTCTGCAAAAATTCCTTAATTTGGTGAATTTCTTTTTTGCATTTTGTTTTGAAGACTACTTTCTCTTTCACAATAAGGAAACTGAAGTGCACATGGTATAGAAAGTTAAATAGAAGAATTATTTTACTCATTATGGGTTGTGAATATCGAGACATTCATTTCAATAGGAGCAAGAGACTGTCGAGGGTCCCAGTAACTCCTCTTTTAAATTGCTGCACAGAGGAGAGAATATCAACCAGAAAAAAACACGAAGTCGACAATAAGAGAACAACTTTGATTCCTTAATATTCACTTCTTCCTACAGCTCTTGGTATCTGAATTCTCTAATATGCAGGGCTTATTGCAGCAGCAAACAATTTGTGCTTTTTAATACATAAGCAGTTTATAATTTATTTAAGAAGCTTCTCCTTTTAAAGGGACACTGTAACGTGCAAAACTTGTTGCAGCTATAAGATGTGTTCCCCTGGCTCTCACACTTCATAGGAGGAATTACTTGCTGTCCAAGATCTGTGCTACTTATAGCGTCTGCAGCCCCCTGGTACCATTCTTCCATTCTGCATTAAATTATTTTTAATGTTTTAATAGTAAAAGAGACTACTCAGTAGTCCGTCCCTCTGTGCTGCTTGGGATAATGTGGAAGTATTAGGATGAAACTTGTTTAACATTGAATGGAGGTACCGCACCATGACTCCAGGCACGATAACCAACTTAAGATGAAGTGGTTATAGTGCCTGGAGTGTCCCTTTAATTTATTATTATTTCTAAACCTCTAATGTCTTTCTAAGTGAAATACCATACACAGGTTTATTCCATTTTCTTACAGCCTTCAGAGTTCAAGCAATATTGCTGTGGCTGAGTGACCCAGCACTCCTTCTGATCCTTTAAATCTTACCGGCATTGACTACCAACATGCCCGTCCTTAAATGTGCCAGTGTTGGTTGATTCATCTTAGAGGTTAAACTGGCCTGGATGCGGCTCCTCCACTGTGAGGTTATGGCAAGTGACAGTTAATTAGGGTGAAGCGGGTGATACGAAATGTTCCCGCATTTTGTTTCTACACATTAAGAATGACCCCACAGCAGACAGGGGGCAATACGCATTGAGATTACAGGTTCCACTCACCTTTAAACATCTTCACTTTGACAGTCAGCTAACCAGAAAAATCAACAGTAAAACATTCCTGACCTCTATTAGGGGCATCTCCGTGTCAGTGACAGCCAGACAGGGTGACAAAAGGAATTAGTGATTGATTATTGTGTATAGAACTTCCATTCACAACTGGGGTGAAAAGGGAGCACTTTCTGCCCCTCCATTACTGAATACATTGCTAGAACACTAGCCGTTCCGACTCTTTAGAGAAATTTCAATTATTTCTCCCAAAAGGAAAGCAGAAGCAGTAACGCCCCACAGACGCCTACAAACACAGAATATGAAATCGGGCAGCTTCCTCTTCTCCCGTCTAATTGGCCTTATTTCTATACAGCCGTGCCAAAATTGTAAAATAATTCAAAGTGGAGTGTCGCCGCTGACATTCACACTGCCACAGCAGCCCATAATATCCACTGTGGCTTACACAATGTCAATCAACATGTTCAGGATGAATATTATACACAAGAAAAGTTACAGGCAGTTAAAAGGTATCGGAAAACCCTCCGCTTTAGGAGCTGTAAATACGACAGAGCCTTGTTTGAACAAATGTCAAATCTGTCACCGTTCTGACACAGTACATGGTGATTACATTGCAGCTAAGGGTTCTGGGTAAAGCACTGGGAACTGGGGATTTTGATGGGACTAACATCATCAGGGTTATTCACTACAGTGAGAATTCAAAGAATTTCAAACTTAAGGTGAAAACAGTCGGCTATGCTTTGAGTTTAGCTACTGTGGCCTTAAAACTTTAAATTGACTTTGAGTTCTCATTTATTAAATAAGACTGTAAGTAACCTTGAATAGGGAAAGGTTGGTGGTGTGCGTGAGACACTAGGGAACGGCTTTCTTGGAGGACAGGCTATTAAGCACTATGTTAATCAAATCCTGCCTTTACACACTCATTTTAAAGCAAAGTAATCCAATCATCGCTTCCTTATGCAGAATCAGCATAGACTCAGCAGAAAGAGTAAGGAAATTATTCCACAGATTAACACACCAGGGATATGTAAAATCTATTGCTTATTGCACCACAGATACATTTTGAACCAGGTTTCAGTAATTCACTTACACGCACAACTTACTCCTAATCACAAATTACAAAAACGACCAATCTGCAGACAGCAAACATGATGCAAATTCAGTTCCCACCTGAAGACACACCACCAGCTCCCTTACTGTACAAAGACACACGACCAACTCCCTTCCTGTACAAAGACACACGACCAACTCCCTTCCTGTACAAAGACACACCACCAGCTCCCTTCCTGTACAAAGACACACGACCAACTCCCTTCCTGTACAAAGACACACCACCAGCTCCCTTCCTGTACAAAGACACACGACCAACTCCCTTCCTGTACAAAGACACACGACCAACTCCCTTCCTGTACAAAGACACACCACCAGCTCCCTTACTGTACCAAGACACACGACCAACTCCCTTCCTGTACAAAGACACACGACCAACTCCCTTCCTGTACAAAGACACACCACCAGCTCCCTTACTGTACCAAGACACACCACCAGCTATCTTCCCGTTAACCCCTTAAGGACCAAACTTCTGGAATAAAAGGGAATCATGACATGTCACACGTTATGTGTCCTTAAGGGGTTAAATGACATATCACCAGCTCCCTTACTGTACCAAGACACACCACCAGCTATCTTCCCGTTAAATTACATATCACCAGCTCCCTTACTGTACCAAGACACACCACCAGCTATCTTCCCGTTAAATTACATATCACCAGCTCCATTACTGTACCAAGACACACCACCAGCTATCTTCCCATTAAATGACATATCACCAGCTCCCTTACTGTACCAAAACACACCACCTGCACGCTTACTCTACAACGACACACCACCAGCTCCCTTACTGTACCAAGACATACCACCAGCTATCTTCTCGTTAATGGACATATCACCAGCTCCCTTACTGTACCAAGATACACCACCTGCACCCTTACTCTACAAAAACACACCACCAGCTCCCCTCCCATTAAATGACATATTATTATTATTATATTATTTATATAGCGCCAACAAATTCCGTAGCGCTGTACAATGGGTGGACTAACAGAAACATAATTGCGATCAGACCACTGACGTACAGGAACAGAGGGGGTTGAGGACCCTGCTCGATGAGCTTACATATCACTAGCTCCCTTATTGTACCAAGACACACCACCAACTCCCTTACTGTACCAAGACACACCACCACCCTTACTCTGCAAAGACACACCACCAGCTCCCTTCCCGTTAAATGGCATATCACCAGCTTCCTTACTGTACAAAGACACCACCAGCTCCCTTCCCATTAAATTACATATCACCAGCTCACTTACTGAAGAAATACATACCATCAGCTCGCTTACTGTACAAAGACACACCACCAGCTCCCATTCCACAAAAAGACACCACAAGCACCCATGTGTACTAAGAAACACCATCAGCTCCCATTCCACAAAAAAACACAGCACCAGCTCGCTTTCAACATAAAAACACAGAGATACAGATATACCAGCAATTCACTTTCAACACAGCACTGGTTTACTTTGCAAGTGCAGACAAAGAACAAATTCCCTTTTAGCGCACGTTCCCTCTCCACACTCTCAAGTTTCCATAACACAAGCAGTGTACTATAAATCCACTTCACCCATACACAAATTAACAGTCCCCATTCTGTTTAATAGAGTAATAAAAAGGATCGAACGTTCCAAGCAGACAGCTCAAAATATATGTTAAATATTAAACATTTCACTAGTTTCATTGGCAGCATGTTATATCGATTTACCTGTAAAGTGGTATTTGAGATAAGAACATTTCAAATGCATTTTTACACTTAAGCACTTACGTTGACCTATCCCATAATTGCCAACATTTTCCCCTCTAAGGCATGATTCCTGGGACTAAGCCCTTCTCCAGCACTAAATCATCGAATTCTACTTTGGCCTGTTACAGTGAAAAGTGCCTAGGGCTTTAGCTCCATCACCTCCTACGTTAATTTAATCCTTTCTTTAATTAATTTATTATACAGATCATGGATCCCTTGACTACACGCACTGTTACGTTCAGAAGTTTGAACTCTCAATACAGAGATAAAGGGAACACTTGCTAGAGAACAAGTGATCAAAGCAGTCTAATACCAGTACATTTAGAGTGAAAAATTGGAGGGTACAACGTGTACCCTGGAGTGGAGTTCTGTCCATAAATTGTTAAAAACCATTAGGTCACTTTAAATAGAGGACTGCCCCCAGTAACATATCATTTAAGGTTGGTGGGTAAACACACTCAAAAGCCAAGCCAAGTACCATTGACTCAACACAAGTGTAGTGGCTGCTGCTTGCGATGGGGGAGTACAGCAGTGACGGAATGTAAAATTAAATGACATATAAACTCTCCAAGACTGCTTTTGACATGTAGTCAATATTAGAGGTCTAGTGCAGAAATCAATCCTCCCCATACTGTACCAGCTTCACGATGCAGTTTGTCAGAAACGCATTAAAGTAACATTAAGCTTTCATTTTAACTTTTGTTTCTGTGATAGAACATCGAGTTAAAACACTGCATCCGGCGCAGCGCTATAAAACAGACACATATCATTACAGATAGCATTTTAAACAAAAATACTACCTGACAGCTGATGAGGAAAGCATTAGTGCACACACAGCAAGTTTAAACGATCGGGAACACAGGCGACAGTAATATTACTTAATTAGTCATCGTTATTCTATATTTCAGACAGACAATAGACAGAGCAAATGCTCATATGTAGCCATATGAATCCAATCACAGACAAAACATATAAAAAATAAAGACAGGTCAGAATATATAAGAATTGCTTTAAAGCAGGTTTTCAGATTTCCACGTGCAGTGCTTGTGGTTTTTCTAATCACTCAGCCTGCAGTCCTTCCAAGAGGCACAAGCATTGCTCCTACCTACCAATCATACAAGTAAGCAGGGGTCATGGTCCCCTATTAACATTACTGTGTATAAAAACAGACATTTTATAATGGAAATCTAAACAGCAACTCGGTGAATACAAAATCACATGGCAATTATTTTATCCCATCTCTGGTATTTAGACCAAATAAAGAATGCACATGGGACTTTTTATGAGCGTCACACTGGTTCAGCCATCCAATAGAGATCACATTACTTCTCACTACGCATTTATATTATGGCAGAGGAATGGATAGGCAGTGTCGCAGTTATACAATGTATATAGGTTTTATTTATACCTTGCCGGCAGGTATTTAGCACCATACAAATTCATTATATTAACGAGTAGGTATAGTCACTGCAAAAGAGTATTTACAGATTATCTATATTGGCTAACTGGTATATTTGACAATTTACAACTTTAATTATAGTACATATGATATAGAGTAGTTGAATACTATAGAATGTAAGCTCGTTTGAGCAGGGTCCTCTCCAAACTATCGTTCCTGTACGTTTTTTGTAATTGTCCTATTTATAGTTAAATCCCCCCTCTCATAACATTGTAAAGCGCTATGGAATCTGTTGGCACTATATAAATGTCAATAATAATAATAATAGTGTATGTAGATTGTATTTACATAGTGTTAACTGGTGTACTTGGTACTGTATAGGTTATATTACAGTGAAGAGGAGGCACTGTACTAGTTATATAGTGTATGTATGTTATATAGATGATGCAGAATGTTAAACTGTGTATTATGGAAAAGTAATTTAGGGGTTTGGAGATATATAAATAAATTACAAAACCAAAAGTTTGAGTCTGTTTTAAATATATCCCGAATCCAGAGATAATATAATTTTCTTCTATTACTTTCTTCGCCTATACATATCTTTTATGTTACATGATATTTTAGCAAGGGTATGTGTTAGGGCAGGGTCGGGGATTAAGTGGGAGTTACAAAGTCAGGCCACCGTTAAAAGGACACTACATAAACCCAGACCACTTTATCTCATTGAAGTGGTCTGGGTGCAGTGTCCATGTCCTCTTAACTCTGCAGCTGAAAACATTGCAGTTTGACAGAAAGTATAGAGGTGTTTCCTGCTATTTTATGTAGCTTAACTCTGTGAAATGACACTGGACGAGGATGTACATTAATTTCTATATGCCTATAGGAAAGCAACAATTCAATGCTTTCCTTTGGGAAGGCCTAATGTGTACAGGGCGCCCGCAACACATGGGTATTAGGTTCCCCTCGTGATGACATCGGATCACGCAGAGCCTGCACATAGAGACCTCAGAGCTGGAATAAAGTGAGTATATAAAGGGTAATGTAATCCTTTAATTGCCACGGCTGGTGGTGGTGGTGGAGGTGCAGGGGGACACAAAAATACAGCTTTGTATTCCTAACACTATAGTGCTTGTTTATTTTTAACTTCCACTAGTTATTCAGCTCTGGAGAAAAAATATCCCCTGCTTTATCAGTTTTGTATGAATGGTCCTCACCTTATCGATGTGGGGGTGCCAGTACTCATCATGGGTGGTTTTGGCCTCAGAGCTGTTCATGCGCGAGAAGAAGGTGGGCTTAGTGAGATATATGGAAGAGGCATTGATGTTGAAGGTCCTGGCTATCTCCCCTTGAATTCTCAGCCTCAACTCTCTGTAGAAAGGAAAAAGAAAAAGATACATAAAGGATTGCAGAGCAAGGGAACTTCAACTCCCTTATTGTGTGCTCACCAACTACCATGTCGCCGGCATCAGGAAACCAGGCATCTTGTGACAGAATGTACCCTATATACCAAATGCTGGGGATAGCACTATAGATACATATACCTATTTACTTCTTATCATTTAGGTTCCCTCTTATTCCGATTTGTATTACTAACCTGCAAAATACCTATTATTAATAAAGCACCCAGGATAATGGCATTACACAACTTACATACATCAATGAATGTAAATGCATTTAAATAAGTATTCCAGTTCCACCATTTAAACTGTCTACTGTTACTTTCAATGTATTTTTCCCTATTCACCATTATGGTGCCAAACTTAAATTGCATTCCCATTTAGGTCACCTTTAAATTGTAGTTCTGATTACTTATGAATGTCACCTACACCTGAATTAAAAATATCAATAAACACAAAAAATGTGCTGGCATTCTTGACCAATCAGAACCTATGCTTCCATGATTTGAGTGGATTAGTTTCCAGGAGAAAAAATATAATTAAAATAATCGGAATAAGTGGTTAATTTGAAAATGTTATTGCCCTGTATTTTCTTAGGTACTGGTCATTAAATTCAGAAATAATGACTACAACATATACATGTTTTTTTAAAGGCTACAATTTGAGGCAAAAACTATTCTGTACTATTAAACATAACAGTTGCTTAGATAAATGAATTGCAACATATTTCTAAAGTATAGTGGATTTTTAAGTAGCGGTTTCTTAAAATTCCAAACACAATCTCTTGTTCTTTATCTGATCTGGGCTTCCTGCTGGCAATTTGTCAAATTCTTTTTTGCAAATAAAATTTCACAACACGCCCCCACAAACACATTCCAAGAAACCTGCTTGATAGCGCTACCCAATTCCGTATATCATTAATGGCAGTCAAAACACGTTCACATTTTCAATTACCATACACCCCGCAAACCTAGACTGTAAAGTTGCACAAGCTAAGCCCTGGGAACATTCGATCATTGATCATTTAGATATCTCCAACCCCATGTGTTGTGTCATCATTGCATACATTACAGATAAATGCAAATGTTAAAGATGCTCTGGTCCTCGGGTGATGTGAAAGCTCTAAGGCTTGATTGAAGCTTCAAAGCACTATTGTTGAATAAGGGCTGATAACAAAATAATATAGAGCAGGTCTCCTAGTAAAGTCACCACCGAAAAGATAAGAAAGCCTGCATTCACAGTGGACAGTACCTTTGCAGGAGTCTAGGTTTGAAAACACACATTTGAGATAAGAGTATTCTTTATATGCAGTACATAATAGCTATGTCTGTGAACTCATGTTATCAGTTTTATTATATATGATTAAAAGTATAATCTGTGACCTTTCTGAAAGGATGCTGTGACCCAAGATTGGGTACCCACCACGATCTTTTGGGAGACTTAAATTGCTTTTGTGCACCTCCATTCATCATTTGTTCCACCAAAGGTCAAAGAGGAAAGAATTTTTGCAATTCCGTGTAAAATGCACAATGAAACAGTTACACTGTACCAGAGTATCATGGAAAAGTAAGTAAAATTAATTTGCATGAAGTGCCTTTTCAAAAGGCAGTTGTGATTTCTACTGCGCAACTGACTGGCAAAGCATCATGGGAATTGTAGCAACACTTACAGAATACTTCTAGATAGTACCGGAACTCTTCTTCGAAACCATTAGCTCCTTATTTTGTATTCACCTCAAATACACATTTACAAAGTTATTCATTAAATTCCGAACTATCACAAATTAAAGGAAAACAAGCCAACATAGCACTGAATACGGAAAAGCGAGTGAGTACAGCACTGACGTGCTATGTGGAAATATTATATTCAGTGCCTTCCTCTACTTTAGGATTGTTGAACCCTGGAAAACACTTTACTAGCTATGGCGGGCAGTTAGTAGGCATTGAATTGTCTGTCAAAACAAAGTGTTTAAAAAAAGCTTAATTTGAGGGATACTGAAACACGGCCTCGTTCGTAAGAATCCACCATGATTACAGGAATGACAAACAATTTCACTAAGGTTAGGTTGGCTTAGGGGTTAGGTGTTTTCAGTATGCTGTATACTGTAACTCCCATCATTCCTCTAGTTAAGAGTGGTGAGTGTTAAAGCGCACAGAATCTTCAACATCCATTAGAGTTAGAGGGTACACAGCAGTACCCCCAACTTCCGAGTACACAGGATTATAGAGCAAGATATATAGCACTATATAAGAGTGCTGCTTTAATTTCAATGCCATTATATTACAGCATTGCTATGATGAGGCATGCTCTTTTTATCTGTACATGGAATATTTTATACAATATTATTTTGAAGACTTATTAAGGTCTTCAATATTGCTGATTATAAATGACAGCTAAATTGCCTTCGTGAAACATGTCAATGCCTGCGCTCACTCGTATTTTCCTTCAAACTAGGTTACTGATTAATCTGGTTAATTAAGGCTTCTCGCTGTTGCTTAACATGGATGAGCACACAAAATCTAGGGTGCTAATCAGCTTAATTAAACACGAATAGAGCTTTCAAACTGGTTAGTTGCTTGAATAGTAATTACAGCGCACCAGATAGTTTATTGCCCTGAGCACAGAGAGGTATTTAGAGGCAGTCAATACATGTGTCTCTACATTTTTAAGGTAAATTCAACTGTTTGACATGGGAAATTAAGCTTAGCCTAGAAGGGCAATCAACTCCTCCGCGAAAGGGAGCTGCAATGAATAACTCAACATCCTGGTACTCAAGGAGCTAAAAGAGGGGTAGGTCAAGAGGCAGGGGATCATTTGATTTTATTAAGAATCTCAGCCAGTCAAAGACAGCTTTTGGATAGGCGTAGGTGCCAAGGTAAGTACACAAAACCTACACTAAGTGCATAAACCTATGTTTATCAAGACTGAAACAAAGAATAGCAGTATATAATCGGACCTTGGAGTGTACGGGCTTAACGCAAGGCCTTTAGCAGGCGAAATATCAAAGTCAATGAGAACAAGCTGCGGTCACGGATTCCAGAAATACAGAAATTCCAAGCCGGGTCAAGGAGTACAGAGATCAGAGTAGTTGGACAATCCAATACAGATAAGCAGGAAAACACAGATAATCAGAAACGAGCTACTGGATTCACAAGGAAACCACGACAGGGCACTGAACCAATGCAAAAAGCAAAGTATTTATAAGTTTAAGGTGTGAACTTGATAGCCATGCCCCCAAAACTTTGTCAGCAATCACGCAATTCTGCATCAATGACATCACGATGTTTGTGAGTGTCATTAAAAAGGGGCGGAGCCATACATCTGATGTCAAGCGCCTACAAAGGACCCAGAGAGGGAGAAAATGTTGTGGTGCAGACTTGGGAAAGTCGAAGCACCAAGTGATCGGCTCAGCACCAGGGTATGTACCCTCACATTAAGTTAAAGGAACACTGGCAACAAAAAGTACTTTGGCTGGCTAAGGGTAATAGGATTAGAGACACATCATAGCTGAAATTTTATTTGTTAGAAGAGAACGAGATGAAAAGTTTCATGAGGATAAATTTTGCATTTTTACAAAGCCTTCTCCTGAGTATTGTACGAAGAACAAGCTTTTGGACAGATAAAAGAACAATCAAAGAGACAGGCTTATTTACTAAATTAATTATTGGGATTTCAAAGTGAATTTGAAATCAAAGGCCACAATAACCTGACTGAAAAAAAATCTTTAAGTGGTTTACGTATCTAGTTCGTCTATTTTTCCCGAAAAGTTCAAATTCACTTTGAACTCCCAACAATTGATAATTTAATAAATAAAATATATATATATAGTGTCTTTTTCACGTTATCTTCTCAACTCTTTAAAGCACTATTTGTGGCGATTCCAGTAGTTACATGAATTATAATCTTTAAAAAACACAATGCAGTTGGTATGGTGCATATATTATTTGTATGCAAATTGCACAGTTGGTTGTTATAAAGATACCTTTTACTGGACACTTCAAAAACATACTTAGATGGAACATTTATTTTCACATCCTACTGCAGACCTGCCGGATAATGTCACAAGTTTCAGCAACAGTTTAATACCGAAAAACAATTGAAAGATGAAAGACAGACTCTGCTGCAACAATTTTAATAATTGACTGTGTCTTATTTAAAAAGAAAAAAATAAAGCATTTTTGCGTTTCGCAAGATGAAAGGTCATTGATGCATCAGGGCACTCAGTAGAGCAAAATGTTCACTTATATTATTCTGTTTGGCAAATAGAAATGAGCAAAATTAAGCATAATTAAAAAAAAAAAAAATATCCCTCCGACTCTTAGTGGATGAAAATTCACATATTGACGCACCAGGGCTACATTTGCTCCAAACAACAGGAACTCAACTACAAATTGTTTATTGGGTGGTATAGAACGCCTGAGAGAATACATTGTATGCTGCCTGATGTCCCTGAGACCTGCTGGAGATGTGAGGAACAGGTGGGTTCGGATCTCCATATCTAGTGGTCCTGCAACAAAATAACCCCTTTCTGGACTGACGTCCATGCAAAAACAAAAGACATACTAGACTCAGATATCCCATTTCAGCCGCTACAGATGCTCCTCCACCACACCACAATGCCTATATCGAGATATAAGATGTCGTTACCAGGCATCTTCTAAATGCAGCCAAACTTATAATCCAGGTCACTTGGTGCTCCACCAAGGTACACACTCTCAAACAGTGGACGGACAAGGTTGAAGAGATACGCGAGATGGAAATGCTCACAGCATCCCTGAAGGGAAGCACGGAATGCTACCTGCAAATGTGGACCCCTTGGATTGACTACATGACCCGACGTTCAACCTAAAAACTAAACCATACCTGCACCCTGGATACAGAAATGTGATGGACAGGATGCGAAGAGATTACTTCAGGGCCCAGGGCTGGAACACATAGGTGGGTATTCTAGCGCCTCATCGGCCTGGGGGTGTACAGCCTGATCCGTGGGGGGTTGGGAGGAACGTCGTGGCGATTTCATGTGTGATAATCTATGCTTATGCCAACAATCCTATGTATGATTATGCATCTAACAAACTTATCGATTTCACCCGACCTAACACTCCTAGTTTATTTTTATATCTTCTAACGGTTTGACTGTTAATATTTGCCTACAGACATCGGAGATATACTATTGTACATTGCCTATTGATACTGTTATCCTGTATCTGCGCTCCTCAATTTATATGTAACAGGTGAAACGAAAGATTGTAAAAAAAAAATAAGGTTGTAATGTTAAAGGGTCTCACACGCAGGGGGAATATGAGACGGAAACACATTCCCAAAAGTATTGTACATACATTGAAACAATTCTCACGAGATGTGGGAGAGGGTAAATTAAAAACGATTAAAATAACAGTTACAACCAAAAGGTCGTAACTTCATAATCCTGCTTTGTTTTTGACTATTCTGCCACTTTTGACATGGTGGACCACCCACTTCAATTCATAAACATTGTCTGCATAACACTGCTCTTTCTTCATTCTTTTAATTTTTTTTTATGAATTGTATTAAACCTGCAAACATCTAAATATTATATATTGTATAAAATGGGCTGGATTCTCTTAGCAGTGTTTACTCTGCTTACTGAATAGCAATTTTTCCATAGACTTCATTGGAGAAATTCCCACTCAGTAACCAATGTAAACATTTACTCTGCTAAGAAAATAGAACCTGATATATCAAAAACAGAAGTGTCCCAATACCTGTTAGGGCTACGCTTTCTCTGTGTGCTACGCATTTCAGCAACCTGTGTCATTCCTACGTCATGTCTAATGCTGGTTGCTACATTATTTAATGGGACTCGAGGTCCATGAGTCAATTTTGACGCACAGTTACATGTGTCATTTGTTTAATGTCGCCCTCTTAACTTTTGGCATTGCAGCAATCATGCTGGTTAATCAGACAGTTTCTGGTGCTATTTGGACCATCTCTGCACTTTGTGCTTTGCCCTGCTGTGGTTTCCTTGTGGCCATCCAACAGTGCGTTATATTTCATTGTTCTATTTCGCATTCTGACCCTGGCTAGTTTCCGACTATTGTTAACTCTGTAATCCTCAAACTCAGCTTGCCTTTTTGACTCTGCTTTTAGCCTGTTCCTCGTGCTGTTATCTGTATCTTGTTTTGCCTTTAGTCCAGCCAAGTTCTGCATGCAGGGCTGGTAATATTGTGACATTAAGGCTTTTTACTTCCTCTATCAACTACTAACCCTACTTTATCAGACTTTCTACAAGTCAGTGGTTTTACCATCAATCTTTCCCTATGAAGTCAATGTTCACCTTCCATTTTCAAATGTAGAACAGCCCATCTATCCCCTTTTGAATGTTTTTATAAAGGCAGAGATTACACATTTCCTTCTACCCGTACCAATTTATACCAGAAATGGGTAGTGCAATCAGCTGACACTCTCAGTCACCCACTGCTGTTCAGACTAATGTTTCCTAATTAGCCCACGTAGCACAGAGAGGATGGGATGCTGGACACTCATGTTTAGCAATTAAACATTAGAAATGGTGTAACGATGAATGGAAGGACAGAGACAAGGCACTCCAGATACTATAACTAACTTAATGGAATGGACAGTTACAGTGCGTAACGCTAAAGAGGTTTGGTGCTTAGGATATCCATTTAATCTGTCCACATCTGTAGACAAAATTACATTTTCTAGAATTAGAAAGTGCATTGCACCTCTAATCACCCACTCTTACCATGACATATTCCTTTATATAATATCATATACAAATAGAACCAGGTTATAAAGTTGTTAAATTTTCCCTTTTGTACAGAGTGACAGCTGCTGGATGGTTTAGTTTGTATATCTGTTAAACAAAACATCTACAAATAGCTACTTAATGCCGACGTAACAAAACAGAACCACATGAACAGCTAAAGTTACACACACTATTACACTAGAACTAGATAGTGTAGGAGGTTATTTAGAAAGCACTGTGCTACAGAATACAGTTGCAAATATGGATTTCTGCACAAATTGGTCATAAAATGTGATCTGATCATCATCTATGTCACAACAATAGACAATCACAGTCTGCTTAAAAAAATAACACACAAAGAATGAAATGTTGCCATGTTTTTATTGAACACACCATGTAAACATTCACAGTGCAGGTGGAAAAAGTATGTGAACCCCTAGACTAATGACATCTCCAAGCTAATTGGAGTGAGATGTCAGCCAACTGGAGTCCAATCAATGAGATGAGATTGGAGGTGTTGGTTACAGCTGCCCTATAAAAAACAAACCAGTTCAGGGTTTGCTTTTTACAAAAAGCATTGCCTGATGTGAATGATGCCTCGCACAAAAGAGCTCTCAGAAGACCTACGATTAAGAATTGTTGACTTGCATAAAGCTGGAAAGGGTTATAAAAGTATCTCCATAAGCCTTGCTGTTTTTCAGTCCACGGTAAGACAAATTGTCTATAAATGGAGAAAGTTCAGCACTGCAGTTACTCTCCCTATGAGTGGCTGTCCTGTAAAGATGACTGCAAGAGCACAGCGCAGACTGCTCACTGAGGTGAAGAAGAATCCTAGAGTGTCAGCTAAAGACTTACAAAAGTCACTGGCAAATGCTAACATCCCTGTTAGCGAATCTACAATACGTAAAACACTAAACAAGAATGGATTTCATGGGAGGATACTACAGAGGAAGCCACTGCTGTCCAAACAAAACATTGCTGCACGTTTACAGTTTGCACAAGAGCACCTGGATGTTCCACAGCAGTACTGGCAAAATATTCTGTGGACAGATGAAACCAATGTTGAGTTGTTTGGAAGAAACACAAAACACTATGTGTGGTGAAAAAAAGACACAGCACACCAACATCAAAACCTCATCCCAACTGTGAAGTATGGTGTTGGGGGCATCATGGTTTGGGGCTGTTTTGCTGCGTCAGGGCCTGGACGGATTGCTATCATTGAAGGAAAAATTAATTCCCAAGTTTATCAAGACATTTTGCAGGAGAACTTAAGGCCATCTGTCTACCAGCTGAAGCTCAACAGAAGATGGGTGTTGCAACAGGACAATGACACAAAGCATAGAAGTAAATCAACAACAGAATGGCTTAAACAGAAAAAAATACGCCTTCTGAAGTGGCCCAGTCAGAGTCCTGACCTCAACCCGATTGAGATGCTGTGACATGACCTCAATAAAGCGATTCACACCAGATATCCCAAGAATATTGCTGAACTGAAACAGTTCTGTAAAGAGGAATGGTCAAGAATTACTCCTGACCGTTGTGCACGTCTGATCTGCAACTACAGGAAATGTTTGGTTGAAGTTATTGCTGCCAAAGGAGGTTCAACCAGTTATTAAATCCAAGGGTTCACATACTTTTTCCACCTGCACTGTGAATGTTTACATGGTAAACATGGCAACATTTCATTCTTTGTGTGTTATTAGTTTAAGCAGTCTGTGATTGTCTATTGTTGTGACTTAGATGATGATCAGATCACATTTTATGACCAATTTGTGCAGAAATCCATATCATTCCAAAAGTTTCACATACTTTTTCTTGCAACTGTATGCTACTGTTTTACAATTATAATGAAACTGAGATTTTGTAGCATAATTAGCCAAGATGTGCAATTTTCCTAATTTAATGTCCCATTAAAGACAGCCATTGCAAGTCGTGCTGCTGACTTAATGCAACTCAGAGGCAGACAGCAGAGGTGACCTGCAGATCCTATACAGTATATCATCTCATAATGTGCCCTAGTGACATCTGTTGGTTTTCAGGCCCTTCAATATAAGCCACTGTGGCTCCCTTCAAGTATGATAGACGTTACCGACAGAAATCTGACCCCGGTTATTCCCATTCGTCACAATATCAATTAAGGGTTATGAAAGATTGCAATAAAACACATTTGTGGTTCTGACTTATCTGACTGTGGTTCTGACTTATCCAAACAAGTACACAGTTGTACATAAAATCATAGCAAATTCAAATCTTATGGGTTTTTAGCAGCACTGGAAATTCTTGGAGTCTTCTAAATAACAGTTCTTAATATAATTGTTATAACAGATCTAATATTTATGAACTCATTTTAAAAACTGCACAGCATTTTGTGCATTACAGCTCAAATTAATAATACATACATACATATATATATATATATATATATATAGAGAGAGAGAGAGAGAGAGAGAGAGAGAGAGAGAGAGAGAGAGAGATAAGATGCCAAAATACTGCAGAGTATTGCAGTGTGCATTGATACCTTTTTATTTGACCAACATAATATTTCAAAGACAAGATGTGCCTGAAAGTTAGAGGTGCAGGTTGGCAGAAGAAGTAAATAAACAAACGAGAGTCAATAAGCTGGTTAAAAAAAAAAAAAGAAAACAGCAGAGCAGGGCATGCAAGTATATAGCTGCATATAACATCAGTTGTTTTAAGTGTCAAACTCCATCAGTTAGTCCAATAAAAAAGGAATCATTGCATACTGGCATATTGTCTACTGAACTAATACGGCTAATCCAATCTACACTACATATGTAAATATATATATACACACAGATATATTTATATATATATATATATATATATATATTCATTTTTTGTTACAAATTATCAGCTTACCTTTAGTTTTTATAAATGATGGGCAACATTTGAGCAACCGATGCTTGGGAATTTCCTGTGAAACTCAGCTGACCTTCTGGGTATTACATTATATACATTTATATGTATACACACTATACACTGATCAGCCACAACATTAAAACCACTGACAGGTGAAGTGAATAACATTGATAATAATGTTACAATGGCACCTGTCAATGGGTGGGATATATTAGGCGGCAAGTAAACAGTCAGTTCCTGAAATTTGTGTGTTGAAGCAGGATAAATGGGCAAGTAAAGAGATGTGAGTGATGGCTAGTTGACTGGGTCAGAGGATCTCCAAAACGGCAAGTCTTGTGGGGTGTTCCTGGTATGCAGTGGTTAGCAAGGAAGGACTGCTGGTGAACCAGCGTCAGAGTCATGGGCATCCAAGGCTCATTGATGCACATTGGGAGTGAAGGCTAGCCCATCTGGTCCAATCCCACTGAAGATCTACTGTAGCTCAAAAACCTAGTGCTGTCAATGATTAAAAGGTGTCAGAGCACACTGCGTATTGCAAGCTGAGTTGCCACAGACCAGTCAGAGAGCCCATGTTCATCGCTGTTCCATTGGTATGTGAGCGTCAGAACTGGACCATGGAGCAATTGAAGGAGGTTGCCTAGTCTGAAGAATGACGTCTCATTAAATCAAGCAAATGGCCGGGTGAGTGTGCATCGTTTACCTGGGGAAGAGATGGCAGTAGGATGCACTATGGGAAGAATGGCAGTAGTCTCTTTCTGCAGAATAATGCACAAATTGTTCAGAAATGGTTTGAAGAACAAGACAAAGAATTAAATGTGTTGCCTTGGCCTCCAAATTCTGGTGGTCTCAATTCAATTTGGCATCTATGGGATGTGCTGGAGCAACAAATATGTTCAGTGAAGGCCCCACCTCTCAACTTGCAGTACTTAAAAGGACCTGCTGCTAATGTCTTAGTGCCAGATACCACAGGACACGTTCAGAGGTCATGTGGAGTCCATGCCTCAATGTATCAGAGATATTTGGGCAGCATGAGGGGTCCTATGCTATTTTTGGTAGGTGGTTTCAATGCTGTAGCTGATCAGTGTATAGCCAAAAGGTGGACAAGGTTTAAAATCCAATTTATTCCCAAAGATATTCAGTGGGATTAAGATCTGGGCTCTGTTCAGGCCACTTGAGTTCTTCCACACCAAACCCGTTAAACCATGTCTTCATGGACCTCCCTTTGTGCAAAGGGGCACAGTCATACTGGAACAGGAAAGGACCTTCTTCAATAGAGTCACAAAGTTGGAAGTTCCTAGTAGTCTAAAATGTATTTGTACCCTGTAGCATTAAGATGACACTAACATGCCTGGTTGGTCCAAGGCATACTCATTAGTATAAATTTCTGGTTGCCAGAGTTATATTTTCACTAGCCAATGGCTAGTGGCAGGAGGGAAATATGAGCCTTGTATATATTCCATCTTTTTTTAGAGAGATATGAATTGCAAAGGAATTCAAAATTAAATAATGGATACAATTAAAGAATTGTATAGAAATTGGCCCTTATACTAAATTTAATTCTACATAAGCTTACACTCGAAGGAAGAGATTTATAAAAAGCAGCTAAAAAGAAAATATAAAGACAGCAATAAGGATCTCAAATGCCATCTTCTACGTCTATTAAACTGCAGTTGAGAGTATCAAATGACTCCTGAGACTATCAAAAGGCATTGAGGACCGGCGGGGTGACAGTTGGGTGTCAAGTAGCACAAGAAAACATCAAATCATCACATCAGCCAGGGTTGAATGGCATCAAGAAGCATCTCCAGGAGAAGTTCACAAAATAATGAGCAATTATAATAATAAGAGGAAAAACTATTTACATGAATGAAATCAACAAAATATAATACAGAATTAAAAAAGAATGAGCAATCGCTATATAAAAGAGGTCATCTTCCAAACAGAATAAAGGCATGGTAGATCTAGTCCAATAAAGACAGATATCAGTATGATCAAATGCTAACTCTACATAAAGTTATCATGTTCTGCAAAGATTCCATGCTGTAAATAACATTCTCAATATTTTGTTGAAAAGAAAAAAAAAGTGAGTGAGTGATATGGACAGTATACTGGGTACTTTACTGCGTATTACATGACAAGTAACTTTGTGGTGTTAAACGCGGTGCCAGGTGGTAACTTATCGCAGGTATTGCAGCCAAACATTATTGAGAAGCTTGCAGAAATTTTCAGAGGGCAGGTGTGAAGCTAAAGTTAGTTACAAGTATAATTAAAGGAACAGAGGGAGAGAGGGTGACAAAAAGAAAGGACCGGAAAAAAAAAATTCAGCGGAAAGGAAAAGGGGAAACTAGATTATGAAACTAGATTTTTTTTAAAACACATTAGCACATGTTTTTCGGGAATTAGGGACACTATAGGCACCCAGACCATCTCATCCCATCCGTCTCATTTTAATGGGATTTCTATAGTGTAAGGATTTTTACTGCGTGAGTTCAATGCGATTTTTACCCTGAGAATCGCAGAAGCGGCCTCTAGTGTCTGTCAGGAAGACAGCCACTAGAGACTGGATTAACCCTGCAGTGTAAACATAGCAGTTTCTCTGAAACTGCTATGTTTTTAGCTGCAGGGTTAAAACTAGGGGGACCTGGCACCCAGACAACTTCATTGAGCCGAAGTGGTCTGAGTGCCTATAGTGGTCCTTTAAACCTGATTGGTGTGGTTTAGTTTTTGCTTGTGGGTAAAAAGCAGCCTTTTAAGAATATAAATATCAACAGTCGGTAGATATTTGTGGCTAAAAACACAGACAGATCAAGAGTTGCATTGAACATCTTCAAGCTACTACAGTCAACTTCTGCTGATACTGACCACCAGCTAGTATTTAACGCTTTGCAAATTGAACGCATTTAACAATGTGCATATTTTTAAGTCATTGCCATACAAATCCCACCAGCACTATATAACAGGTTTGCTCAGTGCATGCGCGTTTCACCTGCAATCGTCTGAGCAAGTTGCTCTTAGTGTCTGCATACAGAGCACTTACAAATTTCAAAGGTATGTGTTGCAAACTACATAGAACATGCTACCAATTGCCACATAGTGAACACCAAATTGTTGCAAAATCATTACAATAGGCATACAAATTATGCTTATGTTGAGTGGCCATTCCCTGCACACACTACTACTTCTTTTAAAAAATATATATTTTTTTTAAATTACCGGTATAGTTGGAAATCTTCCTCAGTCAGGATTTCTCTGACCTTTTCTCCAAAGTATCTGCAGAAACAAGAAGAGAGGTATCTTGTAAAATGGGCGACTATGGGTAATGCAATAATCAAACTAGCATAATCGTAACAATAGGCACGAGAAACAATAAGTCTGGAATTTAAAGAGATGAAGGGACAAGCAGGTCTTATCTGTTTTTCTAATGAGAAATTGATGGATTCCAATAGCTAAAAAGACTTTTTCTCCGCCGTAGCACTGCAATTCATCTTCTTGTACTCAGAGTCATTGATACAAGTTATGCGGTATAATTGGTGATAAATCATTTTCGGACGTCAGATGCATAGAATGTCACAGGTGTTTAGTTGATAGTGTTGAAATCACGACTTGAGTTTCAGGGTTTGAGGACTGATTTAGGCAAGTGAAGCAATGAAATGTGACTTCATAGAGGAAATCAAATTGAATAGGTGAAGGGAGCAAGAATGGAAGAGGGTGAAAGGAGGCATTACATATACACTGGGCTCAATACTGGGTACTCTAAAGATGGACAGACCTAAATACTTACATGAATAGATCAATGAGAGAGGAAGAAAACAGAGGGACTAGGTAAAAAGTAGAGATAATATGAACAGTACTCCTCCCAAAAAAAGGAATTGAGGGGTGATACAAATATAAGGGGTTTATTCACTTTATAGTTGTGAAGAATTAGTAATTAGTGATGTCCCGAACGGTTCGCCGCGAACGGTTCACCGCGGACTCATCATTGAGTAAACTTTGACCCTGTACCTCACAGTCAGCAGACACATTCCAGCCAATCAGCAGCAGACCCTCCCTCCCAGACCCTTCCACCTCCTGGACAGCTCACAAAGAATGCAGCTTCAAAATGGATGCTGTCCAGGAGGTGGGTGGGTCTGGGAGGGAGTATCTGCCGCTGATTGGCTGGAATGTGTCTGCTGACTGTGAGGTACAGGGTCAAAGTTTACTCAATGATGAGTCCGTGGCGAACCGTTCAGCGAACCTTTCGGGACATCACTATTAATAATCAAATGGTGCAAAAGAGTATTTCTGTTTCTTCAATTCTGCCGGTTGAGATAGTAACAGAGAGAGAAACATTAAATACAGACAGAAGAATAAAAGATAAGCTTAGTAAGCCTAGATAGTTGGAGAATCACAAAGAAAAAACTCAAACAAGATAGAACATGACGAATCATCATCTTCTTACCGGTACATGTTTACAAAATGCTTCCCCATAGACAGCGCTCCAGAGTGAAGGTCTAGGATTGAAGCCTGAGAGAGGAATAAAGAGCAACTTAATACGTACCTAGCACTTAGCATTATTGAACAAAAAAGCCAGTTAATTGCTTTATGCTTTATTGCAGTTATTGCTGGCTATTAATATAATGATCACTAACAAGAGAGGATTCTGGGTAACATTCCTGCATGATCCTGACTTAAATGAAGGCAAAACATCTCACTTACTCAACGACAGAAAAACGTTACCCATAATACCCTATCATTCAATGTCCTTTTGTTAGCTATGAATTATGCTACACAGGATGTGTTATACAAGAGGCGTTTGCCATGAACAGCAGTAAAGAGCCAATTAGAGAGACTAATACAGAGAGAAACCGCATGAATAAAAGTGGAATTGAAGGGGCGTGTGTACATAAAAGTGTACATGTAAAACGAAACATATATAACTAAAGTATATATTACCGACAGTGTTAACATGCAACCCACAGACTCTCCAAAATGGCCATTTAGTTTACATCAACCTGTAGGTGGGCTGGACTGCATGTAGGGTACCAATCTGGTTGTCTGGGTAACCATTTTAAAAACATTTTTATGGATGCTGCAGAGGTCATCTTTTAAGCACTAAGTAAGGGTAAAGGTTTGCATTTTTTTTTTTTTTAAATGTCATCACCACCACTCACACTAAACTGTATATAAAAAAAAAAAAAAAAAGATTTTTTTTTTAGATAGATTTTGTGCTGATTAATAAATATTTTTTCCTTCTAGGACAAGCAGGGATTTTCTCAGGTGAAAAATCAATTCATAGATAAGTGTCAATTACATGGAAATTTTCTAACTAAAATTTTAAGTTTAGAAGAATGGAAGTGTCCCTCCATTCCCATTAATGACTGCTTGGTGTCATCAATTGCCACCAAAGCTCTCTCTCCAAACTCTTTCATTGTACATGGTAGGATGAAGAATATACTTGTGGAATGTAAAATTAGTGTGATGAAGATCAAGGAACGTGTCTCAAGTTAAGATATTGTATTCATCTCTCACTCGAAGAAGGATCTGAGTGTTACGTTAAAAAGTCTGCAAACACGAGAAAGGGATTAAAAAAGAAAACAAAACAATATATCATCCTGCCATGCTGGCACCAGAATTCAATTGTGTTGAAGATGATACAGTTCCCATTAAAGGAACACTATAGGGTCAGGAACACAAACATGTATACCTATGGTGTTAAAAACACTGTCTAGCATTTTATTAGTGCCCGACATATATCCCTCACATCGCGTAGCTTCACATGTATTGTGCTTTAAAAACGAGCTCCAGGGTGACTACACTTGCTTTGAATATTCAGACATGTACCTTTATTAAATCATAATGTCAGTATGCTTAGCAGATTTTCATATTAGTTTGTATGCTTTTCATGACAATGTTTTACCGAAAGTCAAGCTTGTATATAAAATAAATTGTGCAGACTTCTTCTATGCCATATATCTGTCAACCACAAATGGCCGGTATCTGCTATTGTGGCACTATCAGCATATATGTTTCATTCTTCATGCACTCAAAAATAAAGAATAAAAAAAAAAAGAAAAAAAACACCATCTAGCCCCCCTGGCCATCTTGTGCCTCTGTAAATATAGTAAAAAGCATACTTTTATTGTAGTCCGCTTCTGCTGACTCTACCCCTGAACTGCCTGCTTGGCTGACAACATTAGAAGTGTTATTCAAAGCCAAATCACAATGCTTTCCCATAGGAAAGCATTGGATTGGCAGAGACTGTCAATGAGGCAGATCAGGGGCAGAGCCAGCACTAGTCAAACATAGCCCTGGTCAATCAGCATATCCTCATAGAGATGCATTGAATCAATGCATCTCTATAAGGAAGTTCAGTGTCTCCATGCAGAGGGTGGAGACACTAAAGCAGCACTGCCCCAGAAAGCACCACTAGCAGTCATATGATGCGTGTCCAATGGAGTTATCACTAGGCTGTAATGTAAACACTGTATTTACTCTGAAAAGGCAGTGTTTACTGTGAAAAGCCTGAAGGGAATGATTATACTCACCAGAACAAATGCAATAAGCTGTAGTTGTTCTGGTGACTATAGTGTCCCTTTAATTACCAGGAATAAAGGAAAACCTGTCGAAAACTAACTGTATTCAGTGGCTAATACGATCATGGCAGATTATATTTTTCTCTATCTAGCATTAGCGAAAAGTAGGATGCAGGGATGAAACCTAGAAGAGAAGGATGTAGAATGAAAATCTCCAAGGTCATATATTCATTGCCATTTACAACTCACAGATTGTCGTTAGGCAAATCTGCCCAAACTGTAAACTTAAATTAGATCATGAGATTAAGCATGATAGTATATACACTATAGACCCAAAAGTCCAAAGGCTAAACACTTTTCAAATTACACTTTATTGACGCCAATATAACAGGGCTGACATCAGAGAATAAATAGAAATGTAAGCAAATGTAATATAGCAAGGTAAATTCCTTTGAGACCATTCACTATATAAAAACCACAAAGAGATCAATAACTCACTTCTAAGACATAGCTACAGTATTTTGTCATTGTGAAGGGCTAACATCTCGGGACCAGCATTTAGAGGACAAGGATAATGGACTAGAATGCATATATAGGTTTTAAATTGAATTCCATGTTGATGGCAAGCCCTGCCTGAATTAGCTAGCCCCCTGCAATGAAAGATGGTTTATTTCTTTAGATGCGGTGTGACAGAGGTCATGTATGGATGTCTCCTTGATGATGCTGCGGGAGGAGGGTTAAGCAGCGCTGAGGGAGCCGTGATGCTGGAAAAGTAAGTAAATCTTTATTGTTTTCAAATTTTTATGCCAAACGGGGTGTCTGGAGGACACTTATTTAGAGTTAGGGAGAGGGAAACTATAGCATTAGGAATACAGGTTTTAATTCCTAACGCTATAGTGTTTCGTGCAGAACGACATTTCAAGGAATATGGAGGTCCATGTCGAGGGCAAGAAACATTATCAGTCTGGAAACAGTTAATGTTGGTTCATGTTTTTGGACTCAAAACCTACTCTTTTTCCAAACATGCAGCATCTCAACTTAAAATTAATAGTTTATTTTAATTATTTGACAATAGAAATTTAAAAAAAACTCCCCTATAAGTCAGCTCACCTACGGCATCACTAAAAAAAAAAGACCGCTTGTTGCTGAAAGACCTAAAAATAAAGTTAACAGTAATCAAAATCTTACAACAGTGACAATTACGGGAACAAGAACTCCAGGAGAGATGATTGGAGGAGAGAAGCAGCAGGGTCACACAGTTAAAATACCAAAATATGAAATGGAAAAGGCTAAAAAGCTCTGGGCTCTGCATGGGAACGTTTTCCATCGGCTAATCTGAACAAGGAACCTGGAAAATTAAAGTAGATGATTTCACAGCTGGTTAAATGCTTTCCACTCAGGAGTTAGCCAGAGCATCTGCAAACCTTCTGTGAGGTGGGAGGCAGAACTAAGGAAAACAGCGTTACAAAAATAAATGGACCATAGAGAAATCTGATCTGGGGACACATGACTGTGTATGGGACACGCGGTGATATGTTAAATATGGAATATATGAACAGAATGTCAGCTTCTGTTCGGAGTCAGTCTAATAACTGTGAAACAGCAAATGAATGGAAGATTTGCATGTGGATGTTTGGACGAACCCACGCCTACTAGGAGATGCTTGCTGAGCAATTTTGGTCATGCCCAAGCCTATTCTAATATATAAGATTCAAATAATTGTATAAGAAACAAAATTAAAATATACAGCCGTATTCTTTTTGTGTGCTTTAAAATTCCTACTGTTCCTGTTGAAGTTGAGAGAGAAAGTGCAATTGATTTTGAGTGATTTTTATTTCCCGAATGCTCGACCAAATCCATTATTGCAACCCCGGTCAGTGGAATGTCACTTTAATCCTGCCTACAATATAACCTGATCGCATTATACACCCCAGAACTCCTCTCATATCTCCCTATATTCCTTCAATACTGTTCTAAATAGCCTGTCCCCATAAATCCTCCTATTGATCCATGTGATCCTTCCTATAACTGATTTTACTGGGCAATGTGTGACTCCTTAGACTACTGTTATTGCTCAGTGTAATCCCTACCTATAAATCCTCGCACTCCATTTGAAGGACAAATGTCATCTTAAAACTATTTTTGATAAAATTATCTGTTCATCATGTTTTGAAAGGAAATAGATTTTTTAAATTAAGTATATGTAAATAAAATGTAAGGAAAAAAGCAACAACGTATCCTTACTTTTAGTATATAACAGAATCCTTCCGCCATATACATGCACCTTGGGTCAGACAATGTTTGAAAACCAACATTTAGTCTCTATGGTCTCCTTGCTTCGGAACAGGGAGGGAAGCTGGGAAGACCACAGAGACTATATCGAGGTTTTCATAAACTGTCTGACCCAAGGTACATGCGTATGGCTGAAGGATCCTGTCCTATACCTGTACTTAATTTAGAAAAATAAATCTACTTCCTTTCAAAACTTCATAAAAGGCTTATTTTAATAAAAAAAAAATAGTTTTGAGGTGACAGTTGTACTTTAAAGATCTACTCCAACCATCATGACCACTTCTGCTTTTAGAAGTGGTAATGGTGTTAGGAGTCTGTAAGTACAGCATTTCTGCTGTAAATCTATTTTTTTGGTCACAATCGATCTATATGTTTTTTGTCCCTATAGATTTCTTGGACGGGATATTTAGTCTTTTTATCTTAATAGGTTTCTTTGCTATTAAATATACACACTATATCCAAAATGTAGGGGTTTAGGCTCTGTAAACATATATATTGTTTAAGCTTTGTATGTATGTGCATGTTTGTTGTGCCTAATCATTAAATTCATGAAGCACCAATATCCAAAAAGTAATAATCAATACCTAATAAGGTTTATAGCGATAATGGCGGGCACACAACCCAGTTCGAATAGAGTACATTGAGTTATAGGAAAGAGAAATCACACAGAGACCAAGTTGAATATAAGAATTCACACTACACTTTATTATCCAGAAAGGGATCTAAGCAAAGTAAGTTTTACTCTCATTTAAAGTAGTTGCACGGCATGCATTTACTTCAAACAGCTTAGTATTTAGATATCATCTTAAGTATACATCACCATTAGAGAAGCTTGGTTGTCTCCTTGCCACACATCACTGGGGGGGAACTCAGGCAGTCACTCGGAAAGACCCTCTCTTCTGGGAACAGCAGAAACCAGTAACACGCGTCCGCATTACAGGTGGGTAGTTCTCCAAGTGAGCGCAAGATTCCTGTAGTCTTATATACCTGTCTTCAAGGACAGTCAGCAGTTCCTTACCAGTGCAGCCCAGCAAAAGACCTTGATACAAGCAGCTGGATGGACCTGGCAGTTGGCCAGACTGTTCAGGACCACCAGAACTTATGCCAAGTCTTGTGCGATTAATTATCTCTTATCTACAAGCTTTCTTTGTACTGTTCTAGAGATGGCAACATAAGTTTTTGGATGGCAACATAAGTTTCTCAAACTGCTGAAGTGCTGTGTCAGCTTATAGTGCTGTGTCAGCTTAGTAAACAGCTGTAGTGCTGTGTCAGCTCTTAATAGCTGTGGCATAAAGCCTTCAAGCCTGCATCTAGTAATTGTGGCCTTCAAGCCTGCATCTAGTAATATGTGCTATGTGTGCTTATATGCTTACCGGTGCCATCTTAACTATCTATAAATGTTTGAGTTGCTCAATAGTGATCAATCATACTTAATTAATATGGAATATTATTATCACAATGTTCCACATCTGGTTACACAAATATGTGGTAATCCTCCCTAGTGTTTTAAGGTATTATACACCATAAAAGTAATACATTTCTGGAATTCTGATTATAATGTCATCAAAGATGAGATTGAAACCATTATTGCAATTCTCTTCTTATTATACTTTTTTTAATTCTAATACAATCATTAATTTCTATTTTTTTCATTATTTTTAAGAAATTATATTATATATATATATATATATATATATATATATATATATATATATATTCTCCAATTGTGCTGTTTTATCTACAATTGGGAAATGCTACCACATGGATGTCAGAGTTTTTGCTCTTTTTATTTTGTCTCTAGTCTCCTCTCATCCCTTTTTAGATATATTATGCGCTGGATGTATTCTCATATGTACTATTACGTGTACTGATTTTGAGCCCTGTGGGCTTCCTTATGACTCACTAAGGACTCATTCACGTTTACACCAACACATGACTTGTATTTCCCATTACCGAAGGTGGAACACATACATCACCCGGAAGTGAATACCGGAAGTGACATCACATGGATATGATACCAGTGAAAATCAATTGAGGAATCCTCTGAAACTGCTGGACAGTATGGACAATGCCCCCTGAATCACCAATAGAAAGAAATGATGCCACACAAAAGGAAGGACTGGGGAGGGAAGGATTACGCTGCTATTTTGTCCTTTTGTTTAGGATATTTTATATTTACAATTAGTTTTTACTATTGGGTCCCTGAGTAAGTCTTTTGTTAAATAAAACATGTTGGACCATATTTGTTTTTAACCTTTTACACTTATGAAATAAAGCAGATAATTTGTACCATTTCCTGATTCCGGTCTTCCATATTGTGGCGATACCATCAACCAACTGGATATATCCCCCAAACATCTAAGGGGAGGGACCCTAAGGCAATATTACTATCTACATCTTGTGAGTTTAACGTTATTGGCGCAGTTTTATTGTTCATTTACAGTATTACACTATTGTATTGTGTTTTTTTCTATAGACTATCAGCTATACTCCTCTGCCATTTGTATATACATTCAACATGCATAGGCAAGTCTGCAAGGGAGGTATTTAACCTATAACCTTTATATCCTCCCCGTAACTTTTTTTGTCAATCTGTATTTTATTAAGGCGTAAGATTTACGTCACAGAAAGATAATATGGAGTTAGCCGTAACATATCATGGATGCAGTAAAAGTTAACAATTACATAAACTCCCATGCGAAAACTGCCTTATTTTTATAAAAAGTAAAGAGTAAAAGAACAAACATGTCAAGTTCTAGCTTAAAGAGTAGGCTTACAGCATTAATAAAACTTCCTAGACAGAGAGGTTACAAGTATAAAGAGCACGTTAACTCAACATGTTATATCAGAAGTGCTATAAAGCCACTGGGTACAGCTAGCATGGTAGAAAATGCAAGCAGTGATCTCTGAATTTCAGAGTAATAACATCATTTACTGATTCCCTGGTTAAAATCCTGTAATTTTAAGATTTTGGTGGAGGACCTAAAGAATAATGCCAAGTAGTGCATTAAGAGTTTTGAGAAAAAAACAACAACTTTTAAGCCTCTCACTTACTCCCTATTATTCCATACAACCCCAATAATTCAGATCTATAATTAGTCCTATTCCTAGATACAATTCGCTCTATAAATCTTCCACTCGCTCCAAATAGCTCTCCCTATATCCCTTCTAGTAGTACATTAACTCCTTTACAGCTCTATTACTTTATATACCTCTCCAAGTACCTCTTATTACTCCATATAAATCATGTCTCCATGTAAAAACTTTAGAGTGCTTATTTTCTCCTTATCAATGGTACATTTTTCCATTTCCACATTTTGTTTAAGAAACACACGCACACAAAAGCATTTGATAGATGGATTCCATCACTACCCAGACGTTTGGTGACATATTATAAACCATTGTTTTAATGTCCTCTCACTCTCAATGTCAAAACTGCCACCCACTCGCCTGCTCCAAGACACATTCTTCCCTTTGGTCTTCCTAAAATGTTATAACAAGTTTGACAGCCATTATTATTAACTCCTCACGGCCCAATCAGCTGCTGTACTGTAAGAGTAATAAAGAGGCCAAGGAATACAGTTTTCTCTAAACTGTGAATAGTTGGGAATTGACCAGAGAATCTATAGGCCACAACAGTCAAATTGGAGAAATTCGTCCAATTTGTGATTGTCATTTCTTTGGAAGTGGCGGTTTCTCTCAAACCAGTAAACACAATTGAAGCCCTCACGGGGGTAATTAGTGTATTGGAAGGCAAATAAATAATAGCACCTGCCAGGGGTGACTTTTAATTGTCAGACGGTGCGAAATAATCTCTAGATTGTAAGCTCACTGGGTTTCTTGCATAGTACCTGCAGGTGGATGAAACCCACGGCATGGTTCTTTTCTCCTTTAGTATATTGTGTCTAATTATATTCCCCCTGTTTGTATAATTGCCCATTTTCTTTTTGCAGAAATTGTAAAGCACTAAGGTCGTTATAGAAGAACATTGAAATAAATCACACACAACAGTTCTTCTTTAATGTTTTTTAATGTTACTAGGTGGACAAATAAGAAAGATGTTTTATTATAACTGAACAACATTCTACTTGTTCAGTACAAACAGTTCAATAAATTATAAATAATCCGTAGTTTATTGTTCTATATAACCATCCCTATAACAAATCCTATTGATCTATATAACTCCTCTTATTGCTCGATATAACCCTCCCTATAACATCTCCTATTATTTCATAAAACCCACCCTATATTGCCTCCTATTGCTCTATATGTCTCCCTATAACTCCTCTTACTGATCTATCCAACTCACCCCAATAATTATAACTTTCCTACCTATAACGTTTCCTATTGCTCCATATGATTCCTTCTTATAAATACTCCTTGTTCTCCATAAATATGTACAAAGCTCGCATGTGTCTTTGTCATTAGGTACTTACCCCTCCATCAGACCCTCCTAGGGAAAAACCAGCCTCAGCTATCCTGCAGAAAAAAAAAAACATGGATTCAGTAAACGCTTTCTGAAAACCAATGGGTGTGGGGGAAAAAAAACAGATCCAATATGAATCATCCCTGGCTACTGAAATACCAGCAATGCAGGTTAACACAAACAAAAATGCAACAGATATATGTGTTCGTTTAAAATAACTGCAAAGAGTATAGGAAAAAAATAACTATATATATAGAGAGAGAGAGAGAAACCCAGATAGTCAGCCAGGTGGACGTAGGGCAAGGTGTAGGAGCAGACCCAGACAGAAGGATCCACAGCCGCACATCGCAAATTCCAGGCGTATTTTATGTCTTTGACCTACGCTGTCCAGTATATAGGTGGTAGCTCGGCTAAATCTGGATTCTCACTTGTAGGAGAGACAGAAGATGCCAGGGCCTCCAGGATTGTGGGGAGGTATGGTCCAGTACTATTTTGGGTGCGCCCTCTCCCGGATTGAGAGACTCCTATTGGGAGACTTAAAGGTAATGTTATTATCTTCTTCACTGTTGCAGGGGGCTGAAAATCACCAGCTGAGCTTGAAAGAGATTTTTTCAAAGAACACTGCTTCCACCATATTAGATATGACAGGACACACTTTTGGAGCTGTGAAGCCAGCCGCAATAACTCAATATTTGCTGGGATAATCTGCATAGGCAGGAGGGTGGGGGTTGGATGGAGATAGCAGGGATACAGACACAGGCTGCGGTGGGTGATGGGATCGGAGATGTCCATCTCGCTCATGTTTTTTGCTTGTAGGCCGCAGGTCTGCTTCTCTCAAAATCCCCCAACTATCACCAGAGCTTTTTCTAAGAAGTATAGTGAGGTGCCTTCCAGACTTAGAAGTAGCTTCAAAAGGAAAAAAATCTCAGGCACTCACTGTGATAACTTTAAGCAGATTTAATGGACACAGCAACGTTTCTACCAGTTCCCAGGTCTTTATCAAGCTTGATAAAGACCTGGGAACTGGTAGAAACGTTGCTGTGTCCATTAAATCTGCTTAAAGTGATTTTTTTCCTTTTGATATCTGTTTTATGGGGTGGGGTATGCTGATCCATAATCAGTCAGCACCCTGTGGTTTATTTGATTGAGTGCAACCTTCTTTTTATTCTGGTACTTATAAGTAGCTTCAAGCCAGATAGATGCATGCAATATGTCAGTAAAAAGTGAGATTAATAGCGGTTTGTCTCAAAGCTCTCATGAAGTGTGTCTGAACAGCATGGCAGTAAGGCCCCGGTATCATGCCATGGAATTTTAAGTGCTCATTGCACGTTCTCACGATCAGCATCTGGCTTTAGCAATTCTGCATAAGCTGGATACTGTTCAAACGGCACCCAGCAGAATCACCCAGCTCCTTACCCAGGAATGGTACCAGGCTAATCCTCGCATCACAACCACTACAGCAAGCTTTAAATATGTCGTTCATATATATGTTGAGCTACCCAAAATGTTAGAAATGTATAAATTAATTGATTTGGAAACTGCAGCAGGAATATCAGCTGTATAGAAATAAGGTGCTCTGTAGTTAATTGCAGTCACAACGGTTAAAGCGGCTCTGTCATTTTTAAGGTTTTGTCCCCATTTGTTTCTCTATCTCTTCTTGCTTTTATAATATTTTTTTAATTCACCTTAGTTTTTCAGTTATACACTTCGCTATACACAAAAAAAATGAATATACCCACAATCCATCACTTAAAACAATCCTAAACAAGGACAAACTGCAGCCATCTTGGGCAGAAGAGAACAAAATGGTGATACCTAGAAATTGAGATCCGGCTCAAGGAAGAAATTAAGCTACAAGGGGCATAATGTAAGGACAACTGAAAGAATAGGAAAAAAAAAACAAAAAGAAAAAAAAATTACAGGGTTACTTTAATGTGCATTCCCTTATTTCCTAGAGTCCATTTGCTTTCCCCAAGGGAAGAATTAGACTCAGTCATTATGGGCGATAGATCTACCAACATTTAGAGATCTTTGTAATTAGCACTCAATTAAGCAATTACCATGGTTTACCAATGCGACGGCCCACAGGGCTTTTTTTTTTTTTTTCACGGAATCTGGAAATCCGTGCAGTGAAACTGCGGTCCCTTACAAGCACAACCCACAAGGTATCCACCCTGGAGGCGGAAACAGGGTATTGGTGGGTCTGTGATGGCAAGGGTGCTTTATTAGGAGCGGGATAGCCAAATGTAAAATCCAAAAAGAGCTAGAGAGAGGAGCAGAGTCAAAGGCAGGTGGCAGGAGACGAAGTCAGTGAAAAAGCAAAAATACTGGTAACCAGCAGCAAACATTGAAAGCACTATAGGCACAAGGATGCACTAGTAAACTGAGATTAGGCTACAGAACAGCTGAGCAATGACTGGAGGGAGTGAGAGAAATATAAAAGGCAGATAAATCACATTGGCCTCTACCCGTGCAGGCAAAGTTACAGATCTCTATAAATTTAGTCCTGGGACCCAGCGCCATTTTGGACGCATCATTGTCCTAACTTCGCCCCAGACTCCTACACCCGCCAGGATGCATGCATTGGCAGAACGGCCATCTGGTGCTCCCCGTGGGCGAATGGGAGAGCAGAGGCTGCAGGAGGACAGAAAGAAGCCTAGGTGCCCAGAGTTGCTGCCATCGAACCCCATGGATGCCGCAGGCACCCTTGGCAGGTAAGTGAGTCAGTATCTGTGACCACCAATGAATAATGCACTAAGTATTATCTAAACAACCCTGTATCGGATACGCAGGGTGGTAGAAATCTGTAAATCAATAGATGTAATGGAGGGAAAAGTGAGAAGAAATAAAAAGGTTAATTTTGCTTCTTTAAATAAACCACTATATATACTACAATGGACAATGCACAGGGATATCACATAAAATAGAGATCTTAAAGCACTATAAGTGTTACAGTTAGTCAACAGGCCAGCTTAAACTGATACCACTAAGTCACTTTAACAGTTGTGAATGGTGGAAGCATAAAAAACAACAATAATGGCAAATAAATATGTGACGGGACACCTTCCACTGCAGTAAAAGCTCCAGCAGAGCAATGTTTCAACAAAACGACACATTACAGACATGTCAGCAGCGATGATTTCTCATCGATTTCCTGAATTTACAGTTATTATGCAGCCGCTAAGGATTCTGGGTACAGACATACAATTAAGGTGCTGAGTGATCCCCCTTAATGGAATGTTCTAAGTAGGATAACGACGACAGCTTATGTAACCGTACAGGGAACACCAACACAGAATAATAGAAATATAGAACAAACATTTGGATCCCAGAAGTAACATTTTAACAGCCACTATTAACAGTATAAACAACTAAATGATAAAACAATAAAACCCTGCAAAATACTTTTCTTTCATACACATCCATTGTTGTACCTAAAATATCACCCCCAGCAGGCACACATTTATGTGGGGGTAAAGTAATATAACACAACTAAGAAATTAACCATACCTGAACCCCCTATTGATTTCACTCAACACACAGTGAAATCGCACTTCATATTTATGATAACATCACAAAACGACATATTTAAACATCATATTTATGGTAACATCACTATTCCTATTTTCTATCCCTGGCGTGCCATGTGCCTCGGGAACACGAGCTATGCCCACCTGACTCCTGGGATCTTTCATTTCTGAGCACTAGCAGTATACGTCCATCAAACAGCATGGACAAACTCTTTTGTATAATGAATTACAGTATCATTTAGCACTGCGCACAGACGAACGCTTACCTTAGCATTTTCTCTGCCTCCTGGCGAGTTATAACAGCGTCTGTTACTGCTCGGCCGCATTTCCTGGGGGTGCACCCTGGGGAGTAAGAAGTACAGAGAGTGAACAAACTCAGCTCAATTTTCAAACATATTACATGAGCAATTATTTATTAATGCTGACCGCCATCCCTTACTGGAGAGCAATAGGGAAGCAGAACGCAATTTAATTGATTCTGAAGAATTAAATACGTCAAAACAACCGTTAATTAAATTGCAAACACAAAATGGCATGAAAGCCGTTCATTATCAGTTGTTACAAATCTCCTGTGTACATGGGACAAGAGATGAGCGCACCATTTATCTTCTGAGCATCTACATCCTCACACAGTCTTCACAGGAATCCATTTTTTATGCTCAGTTTTCTTGGCATACATCCATTTCTCAAAATATACATTTTTAGAAATCAGATGTGGGTGGGTGTGAATAAGTTCGGTGGGGGGGTGGGGGGAGAGGGTAAGAGCAAAATGAATCTAAATCACTGTTTTATTAACCACTGCTAGGTCTTAACAGCTTGCATTCCAACAAGTAAGCAAAAATCCTAAAGTCATATCTTGAATATGAAAGGTTAATAACTACAAAGAGTGGTGAGAAATGGCAAATTCCCATTAAAATCAACACAGCTGTAATTAATTTAAAGCCGTCACGGAAGGTTTGTGCCTTTTGCCAAGAATGTTCCAACGGAGAAAAGCGAGATCCCTGCAGGCGCAAACAGCACAAAACCCATAAAATTATGTTTTCTCTTTATATTAGCCCTTCTGTTCTTTCCAGGCATTAGAAATGGCCCCCCAAGATGGGGCATGACATAGCAGTGGGGCGCTGATTGGCAGATAGAGCTGCCTCGTGCCAACTCACTCAGTGACAGCAGACAAAAGACAATTGCCCTTTCTTTCTGTAAATCAGCAAGTGGCAGATCGTATGCTGTAACAGAGCAGACCACACTTGGGATGCTTTTCCATTGAAAACAATTGAAAATAAAAATAGAATAATGACAGATCAAAAAAACCAAAAAAAAACCACTTATTTCAGAAAGGAGGGCTCATGCAAATATGTATAATTATAATGATTTATGGTGTTGATCATTTCTTTCCAAATAACTGGACAAACAGCATATAAAACACACTAATAGAATAAAGAATAAAAAGTTCATTAGCTCATCCTACATAAGCCGCTGGTAATGAAATTATACTCCAAAAATGTATTTTTATACAACTTGCAGCTCATTTCCAGGTGTCTATGAGGCTCGGAGTTACGTAGCTCATCAAGTGAGATGTGCTGCTACCCCAAAAAAAAAAAAAAATAAGCTATCACTTCTGAATCATAAAGAACTTGCTATTAGTTTCTATGGTGACTGCATCGTTTTTAGAATCTTCTGCGCTACTTTTCTGATTATTGACTTGATTTGATATTGTTGGATACGTTTTTCAAATATTTTTGGGTTAAAAAAAAAAAAAATACAAAGTTTCACCAACAATATTAAATTGAGGTCAATGTTATGCCACTGGGGAGATTAATCATTCTACTACTAATCCCATTGTTTGCCTCTATTAGAACGTTCAATCCACTTTTCTGTTTGCAACTTTTATAAACTTACCCCAGTGTCTATCAAACACAAGCTCTCCGTGTACAATTTATCAGTTCTTTGCTGATAATATAGTATATTGGCTTTCATCAGCCTATACATGCATTACACTTTTATGCTATAGTTGTCAAGGCTCCTGCCCCAAGGGGGTCACAAAAAAACAATATAAAAAAGAAAATGACACCCACGCTCTAAAGAATACTGTGAAAAACAAAATGTTATTCAAAAAGGTTATATTTATGTATTCCAGGAAATATGGATGCACTCACTGGTCTTCTAAACAGTGCTGACGCAGCATAAAAGAACAGTCTGAGCGAGTGGTGTAGTGGTTATGGTGCCAGGAGGACCCCTGATTCTAAGTAGCATTACTGTATTAGAGTGGTTAGACTTCGTATCAGGAGTTTGCAGGGCATTGGCTGGTAGTGTCAGCTGACTGTGTTAAGCCAATGAGCTAAGCCCTGCATCTGCATGCATAGTACAGACAAGTAAAGGAAGTGGGGAGCAGCATCACTTAGCCACAGCTGAAAAAAACCCAACCATTTACACTGGATGGGGGAAGAGGACAGGGCACTCCTGGCACCATAACCACTACAGCGCACTGTAGTGGATTTGGTGTTTTGATGGTTTGTTTTAATTACATCACTTTATATCTAAACTTTAATATGGACCATATATATGCAACAAGTTTGTTACGCAGTTCTAGTCAATCCTATTGAGTATCTTTCATAAGCTAGAAATACATGGCCAAAAGACTAAAATTTGGGAAAACGAACAGTAGTAGAAGAACTAGAACACTGAAATCTAAACATTTGCAGTATGGTCGTGTAACATAGAGTGGATGAATGAACTGTCCAAGGGACCCACACAGCAATTTCTATGACAACCCTATACTTTGCAATTTGTACATGAATAAAAGGTTCTCACTGCAAACTGCATGGTTTTAAAGGCATCTCATTAAAGGATCACTAACATGTATTCCTGACCCTATAGTGTTAAAACCACCATCTAGCCCCCTGGGCCCCTCATGCCTCCATAAATATAGCAAAATCTTACTGTATTCAAGCCAGAAGCTGTAACTCTGCATGCTGTTTGCTCAAAAAAAACAAGCAGTCTGCTGACATCATCAGAAGTGGTAGCCTGATCCAATCACAGTGCTTCCCCATAGATCAAATCAGGGGCAGAGCTAGCATGATTCAAACACAGCCCTGGCCAATCAACATCTCCTCATAGAGATGAATTGAATCAATGAATCTCTATGAGGAAAGTTCAGTGTCTGCATGCAGAGGGAGGAGATAATGAATGTTTGGATGCATTTTAGGCAGCCATGACCCAGGAAGGATCTCTAACAGCTATCTGAGGAGTGGCCAGTGAAGTTATCACTAGGCTGTTTCTCTGAAAAGACAGTGTTTACAGCAAAAAGCCTAAAGGTAATGATTCTACTCACCAGAACAAATTCAATAAGCTGTAGTTGTTATGGTGACTACAGTGTCCCTTTAACTGCTCACAATAATGTATTTTGGGGAGGGCTAGTGGTGAATATATATATTTATTGCACTTTCATGCAATATATTATATATAATCTTTCTACCTCCCTTTACAGTGTTGAAGACAGCAATCTTATCTGTAGAGGTCCTTTTGGAAATACTAGTTTGATATATTTATGCAATTTTTGGTTTTCTTGTTTAATATCCCCCCTCCCCTCCTTGCAGTCTGTGCACTGTAAATGATCGCTGTATAAATCAAACCGCAGATCAATAGTAACCTCGAATATGTCTGAGTATTAACTAGAACCTAGACCTAGAATCACCCTGTCCTGGCGGTAAATCTCATTACAATGGCAGAGGCCAGTCTCTTGTGGTTTTTAATTGTATAATTTACTATAAATGTCTACAGCAGCCGCTGTGCAATGTTAAAAGCCACTAGCATCTCCAGACGCTCTGTCACTCCGCATGTGAGGTCCATTTCTGAAAACTCTCAATTGCCGCAGTGTCCCGAGCAGTTACAGCGTACACAAAGATCACCTTTTCAGAAGAACGTTAAAGAACAAAATGGGATGGGGGGAGGGGGCTTTAAAGTACGCTGAAGATGCTTATTGCGGCGTAAATTTTGTTTCAATTCCTCTTGTCCATATTGTGGCTTTTCTGCTTTAATTGTGGACACATAGGGCTATTTACTAAAGTGTGAATTGTCAAACATGTAAAGTGAATGCCAAATTTGAATGCAAATAAGATGAAATGAAAAGACAGCAGAATTAAAGAACTTCTCCAACTCAGCTTGTTTGGTTTAAAAAGTTAAGAAACATTTAGAATTTCTGACCATTTAGAGCTTAGTGAGAAACCTTGAAAATATTTTTGTTCTAGATCAACAATGGACAATTAAATTATGGGGGCACAAAGAGTCAAACTCCTTCCTTTTACACCTGTCCCCATATGGCCTATATACAACGTACATTAATTTGGAAAGATCTAAATCAGTTCAGAAGAATTAGATGTTGCATCTTGCTGAAGCTTACAATCTAAGGAGGTAACAGGGTTCTAGAAGTTGTTGTGCACCTAGTTTGGGGGTCACTGTTGAGGTACAGTGGGCTAATTGATCATAGACACATAAAAAACAGAGGGATACAGCTGAACTTCAAGGAGCTAGGTGGGAATAAGGTCCTGTATTAAGGTCTACATGACAGGTTTTAGTGGGCTAAGTATGAAGAATCTCTTGATTTCAGCATGCGTTTAAAGGGATCAAATAAACTATAGGAAAAGCCCTCTTTGAAATGTAATCTTTAAACTACAGCTAAAGAATCAAGCATAGGCCAAACAGCTTGTATGAAATATTAAAAGATTGGACCTCACAGGCAGCCTGAAAATATGATTTTGACTCACTTTACCCATCAGTTTGGTAGAGAGACATTTCCCATGTGGGTTATATCCTAGATATATGGAATAAGAAAACCTGCAGGAATAAAGACCGGCTGTACTGAAGTGATGCTTTTTTCACCAAAAAAAATAAAATAAAAAATGAAGTAAAAACCCAGCAATGTCTGCTTTGCAACTAAACCTAAATCATCTATGATTCTCTATGGACGTAAACAGAATCCTATAGCTCCAGGCAGTTGAAGCAGTTTATTCATCTTGTGATGTTCTGTGCGTACTGCAGTATAAATGAAGAATATGTTGGCGCTCTATAAATAATATTTGTGTGTGTGGAGATGTACATTGTTAATTTTACACAGTGTGAAATAGCTCATGCGTTGGGAATGTAGGGATTATTTTGCACGGGGTTGTAGGATCCATTTAAAACCAGGAGAGGTAAGTATTTGACATGGGTAGGTCGTGAATCTTCATTATAGCGGGAAAGGATTTTGAGCATGTCCTCGTTTCCTGACTATATTTTCAATTAAGCAGCTTACTATATTCAGCTTAAACGGGAGGGCTTTCTATTCCCCGGGGGAATGTGTCACTGTAGCAGCGCTCGACACCTTTTCACGGGCCGATGGTTTTGCAATAAAGGTAGAAACAATATTTTTTCCCTGGCATTGATGCAGTGCTAGAGTCAGGATACAATGCAAATCACACAGCTGGTTTCCTGGGGAAGGAGAGACTCCTTTATATTGGATACAGTTTGTCGCATGCAGGTTAATTCGCACAAACTGTTCCTAATCTACAGCAGGAGGTGGCTTCCAATGGACATAGGGGAGTGAACAGTCCACACCAAACATAAGGTCAAAGCAAAAGTTGGCACCATGGTCAAAAACAATTTATTTTTTTTTCGTTTCTGGGGGGGACTCGAGTACCCATTTATTATTATGTCAGCGGGAAAGGGAAAATCAATTAATCTCCAAAAGACAGAAAAAAGCCATACTCTTTCTAAAGGTTTTTTTCCCCTAGAAAATCAAAGACTGGCTTCTGTGGAGTTATGCTCACTGACCTTTTTAAGGTCGGACTAGTAGGAGTGGGTACTAAACTTCTGTATAGGTCCAGCTCTGCCAAACGCTCAGCAGTCACTTCTAACTAGAACCAAATAACTTTATTGGCACCATTATACCCTCACCAGTGTCATAACGCATGCTGCATGATCACGTAGGACAACAGTAATACATTCTACATCTGTCATTGGACTACAACTCACATCACCTGGGCTAGGCAGCATTTCTAGATAGCGGGCTCACATACCTATAGGTTAATCTCAAGTGGGGCATCATGAGATCCTGGATATTATCAGGGTTATTCACTAAAGTGAGAATACAAAGTGAATTTTCAATTTTAAAGGGACCCTATAATCACCAAAACAACTTTAGCTTAATGAAGTAGTTTTGGTGTTTAGACCATGCCTCTGAAGTCTCACTGCTCAATTATTTGCCATTTAGGAGTTAAATCACTTTGGTTTCTGTTTATGCAGCCCTAGCCACACCTTCTGTGTCTGTGACTGACACAGCTTGCATGAAAAAAATGATTTTATTTTCAATCAAATGTTAACTTACTTTACAAGATTTTCTCTCCTGCTCTGTTTTTAAATTGAATCACACACAGGGGGTTTCTGCAAGGTCTAGCAAGCTATTAACAGTGCAGAAAGTGTAACCAATAGATCTCACTTTACAGAAAGTGTTTAGGAAGGTTGTGTAAGTCATATGCATAAGGGCATAGGGCTGCATAAACAAAGTGATTTGGCTCAGACAAAGCACAGAATTGAGCAGTAGGACTGCAGGGGCATGATCTATACACCAAAACTGCTTCAGAAGTTGTTTTGGTGACTATAGTGTCATTTTAAGGACAGAGTAGTTGAACGGAAATTATAGCTGACTTAGAGACTTTTCCTAGTTTGGCTGTTTTAACCTTAAAGGAACGCTTTAGGGTCAGGAACACAATCATGTTTTCCTGACCCTATAGTGTTGAAAACACTATCTACTAGCCCCCTTTCCCCCCATGCCCCCTAAATATAGTAACAAATTACCTTTATCCCACCTTGGTTGAAATCATCAGAAGTGGTAATCTTTCCCATAGGAAAGCATTGGATTTGCTGAGATTGTAAAGGAGGCAGATCAAGGGCAGAGCCAGCACAAGCCAAACACAGCCCTGAACAATCAGTATCTCCTAATAGAGATGCATTCAATCAATGAATGTCAGTCACATTGTGCAGCATTGCCCCAGGAAGCACTTCTAGTAGCCATCTGAGGAGTGGCCAATTGGGTTGTCCCTAGGCTGTAATGTAAACACTGAAGTTTCTGTGAAAAGACAGTGTTTACTGCAAAAAAAAACTGAAGGGAATGATCCTATTCACTAGAACAAATGCAATAAGCTGTAGTTGTTCTGTGACTATAATGTCCCTTTAAATATGAAAATCACTTTAAATCCTCACTCGCCACTTACTTCGTTAGCTTTGCCATCTACAACAATTACCATGTAATACATTGTTACGGAATTTGAACTTAGATTTTACTAGTACATGTATAAAGAAACACATACATTTAAATATATACACGCTATATTACTTCTCTATATGCCATGACTTCCTGTAGGCAGTTAAGTGTGTAAAATGCTTTCTGTAAAGTAAGGAAAACATCCCAATTCCCTTTTGCAGCATACTAAGCAGCTTCAAATCATTCACACCTGCTGTGTGTCTATGGGAAATAGGATTCCCTCGCGTGCTGATGAAGTGCAAGCATGCTTGTTTTAACACTCTCGCAATAACAGTACAAGGAGCCATCGTGTTATTAGCAATGCTGGAAGGCCGAGACAAGATTCTGCAGCTTGGCAGCATTGCAGATCTCTGCCTCACGACTAATGCTGCAACAGCACCACAGTGTGGTAGGTCAGCACACTAATATATTTCTGGAGTGCCATGTGGATAAGTAAAAACTGCATCGAGAGCTCGAAAGGTTGAGAATGTTCTGCTAGACATTAGATTTGAGGGTTTATTAAAGGGACACTCCAGGCACCCAGACCACTTCTGCCCATTGGAGTGGTCTGGGTGCCAACTCCCACTACCCTTAACCCTGCAACTGTAATTAGAAAACCTGTGCTATGAATCAGGAAGTGCCCTCTAGTGGCTGTCTAGTAGACAGCCACTAAAGGAGGAGTTAACCCTGCAAGGTAATTATTGCAGTTCATGACAGCCACTAGAGGGCACTTCCTGATTCATAGCACAGGTTTTCTGTGCTAGAGCGTCGCTGGACGTCCTCAAGCTGTGTGAGGACCTCCAGCATTGCTCATTTCCCCATAGGAAAGCATTGAAAAGCATTTTCAATGCTTTCCTATGGAGAGCTCTAATGCGCATGCATGGCATTGCCACGCACGCGCATTAGGTCTCCTCAGCCGGCGGGCGTGATCAGTTTCCCCCGCCGACTGACGTGATGAAGTGGAGGAGCGGCGGCGACCTGAAACCACCGACGAGGGACATCGGCGGGGGTCTCAGGTAAGTTACTGAAGGGGTTTTCACCCCTTCAGCAACGGGGGATGGGTGGTGGGAGGGAGAGGGGACCTGCAGTCCCAGGAAAACGGATTGTTTTCCTGGCACTGGAGAGTCCCTTTAAGGAAATATCAAGTTGCAGTGAAAATAAATAGCAAAATGTAGGCAACAAAAAATAGGTGATTTGGAAACGAATTCCTACATAGCTATAATCAGCTATTTGAGTTAGAATTGTGCAATTTGGTTTTCCATTTACTGCAATTCGATATTTAGTGAACAAGGCCCTTAGACTACCAAGTATTTGTATTAAAGAGCAGAGGTGTAAGACAACAGAGAATGTTCTAAACTATTTATTAATATAGGAATTGGGGATTACTCACTTCAATTATTTCAGAAAAATTAGGCCAAAATAGAGCTGTAAAAACTCATTTGGCTATTTTGCTTATAAAGGAGTGTTCTACCCCATAAGCACTATATCCACTACACGTCCTTGCAGTGGTAATGGTGCTAACAGGATGCAGGCACTGTCCCCCAGTTCTTGGTCAAACGTCTTCTGTCTGGGGGTTCCAGAGGCTTGGCACCTTACTCACCTATTGCTAACGCAGAATTTCTATTTCTAGAAAATTTCCAATCATATTCTAAAGACATTCATTGGTTAAGCAGGTCAGATGACACACTCAGCTAACGACAAACTTTAAAATATAAACAGAATTGATATTGCTAGTAGAACATCTGCATTAGCAATGGGAGTTAGGAATAGTGGATATGGACTAGACCTGCAATTGACCGTTTTGAAGAAGCTCAAAGCACTATTACAGCTTATTATACCCTGTGACTGTGTCCCAGTACCGAGACTCTAACAACTACAGCAAATCCATTGCAGCTATAAGGTCAACCAATGACTCATATGTCACCAGATAGATGTGCAGCCATTCTCCATACAAGTACTTGTATGTCCTGTACTTGCCATAAAAGTTCCTGAATCTTCTGAGAGGTTCCCTCACAGATGTCTATGAAATAGTTTCTGCAGTGGCATACTAATGTCATTGATGTACAAATCAAACAAATTGAGTTATATAATAGTATGGACTGTATGAGAGCTATAGGTTAGAGAATGAAGGTACACTGAGCTAGCCTGCAGAATCTGACACAGATTTAACACCTAGAAAGCATACACAGATTTAAATTTCTTCATGGAATAAGCAGAGGTCTTTGCTCAATATACAGGGAACAGACATAAGAAAGATTGAAATAAAAAGGAAAAAATAAAAAGGCATATGTGAACTTGTGGATCAACGTTTCTATGAAATATCCACACACAGAAGTTTTGATCAATAATGCAGAAGGAGCAATGTGATTCCGAGACGAAGGGCATGAGATTGGAGAGACAGAATGACATGAAACAGGGGAGACAGACACAGACTAACAAGGCTATTTACTTAACTCCAAATTGTAGCAAATAAAAATCCAAATGCCAAAATGTATTTTAAAATAGCAGATCTAGGACTTTAGTCAATTGGGATTTGGATTCAAATGTACTACAGTTTTGCATTTAGTGAATAAGATATTGAGGAGCTGGACAGACAGTCGGAGACTGAGCTGGTCACAGAGGAGACAGATAGATGCAGAATGCACAGGGGAAGGAAGAGATAGACAAACTGAGACTGAACAGGAGACAGACTAGCCGGGCAGGAACTGAAGGCGGTAGACAGATTCAGGAAGAAACTGGGTAGATAGAAATCACACAAAAAAAACTACATAAAAGGTATTAGCTGAGCAAACTTAGCTATAACTGCAGTTCACAATACAGCTACGCCTGGCATGCAAATGTTTGCGATCAATGTCCCACTATATTGTTGGACAACGGCTTTGACTAGATGTGTGGTGATGTAAAAGTGATCCAAACTCATTTTGTTGCTTGATTGTTCTTGTTATATGTTGCAAAAAAAAAAAACCACTTCTTATCAGGAAGGCAGCAGCAGCCTCCTGGCTGCAACAAAAAATCCCAAGCGTGACGGAAATCATGGCTAGAATTAGAGAGACGAGACTAATGGACGACCTGACAGCTAGAGTGAGAGGGTCCACTAAAACATTCCATAAGATTTGGGATCCATGGGATGACAGCACATTGGGTCAAGACTGAGACCACTGCTCCGTCCCGGGGAATGCCTGGTGACCGCTCCGTCCCCCATCCCCCGAGGCCCGCTCACCCGATGCAAATCACTGAACAACGAATATACCACACTCCCCTACTCTCTTCGCTCTCCCTTTTTCAATCTTTTTTTCTTTTCCTTCCTTGGAAATACCCCTATCTCCGAAGGGGACGATATACAAGGCGAGACATCCAACACGACACAGGTCTGCCAGTGGCTTGGTATACCAAATACCCATCTCGAATAGTTTACGTACGCATGCAACTTTGTGACTATGTTTGGGTATCTGTATTGCGGAACCATCAAAGTTCATTTATGCACATGTCTTACAATACTGCGGATTTTTGTGAAAGTGAAAAACCCTTGGCGGACAGCAACAAGTATACCTAACCGTGTAAATCATAACCTGTATAGCATCTACCTATGTCACATGCTGTACGAATTTTACAACATACTCTCTGCTAATGTTATATTGCTGTTTTCCTGCCAAGATGAAAAAATAAAGAATAATAAAAAAAAAAAAACACTTCTTATGGGCCTCTAATGCAATTTTTGACATATATTTGAATTAATATATATATATATATATATATATATATATATATATGTTGTAATCATGCTTAAACAAGGAAGGCACCCATTGTACAGCGCTATGGAATTTGCTAGCGCTATATAAATAATAAAATAATAATAATAATAATTAGACACACAGTCTGAGAAGGCAGTGCTTTCACGAGTGTTAAAGGTACACTGTAGGCATCCAGACCACTTCGGCTCTAAGACTGCCTCCAGTGGCTGTCTACCAGACAGCCACTGGGGGCGCTTCCGGAATCTAAACGGACTTTTGGTCCATTACCTGACGCTGGACGTCCTCAGCCTCCGATTTTCCCCATAAGAAAGCATTGAATAATGCTTTCCTATGGGGAGGTCTAATGCGCGCACGGCCATTGCCGCGCATGTGCAGTAAGTCTCCCCCTCCGCATGAGCTGAGCCTGACCCAGCGCCGAGGGACATCGGCGCTGACTTCAGGTAAGTAGCTGAAGGGGTTTTAACCCCTTCAGTGACATGGAAAGGGGGGCACTCCATGATTCTCTAGAGCCAGAAAAACAGGTTTTAATAATTAAGTTTTGGGGGGGGTTTGCAATAATTATAGTGGCTGGAAGAAATATCCAATTGTTAAGTTTGAGGTTTTTGTTACCAGCTTTTTAGTTATTTCTGTCTTAAATTTGCAAGCTGATTAGCGAACACAAAACCCTAGATCCAATGAACAAGTGACTGCTAGAAGTGTTAAATCAAAATACAATAAACAGCTGCAAGGGTCTCAATCATAGTCAGGTTACTTCCCAGAGCTCAGCTGCCCCAGACTGTGATACTAAAGACACTCGGCCATGTTTGGGTGAAATAATCCCCCGGAGCTATATAATGAGTCTAAAACAAAGTCCAACCATGCATAAGATTAAATTCCATCTTCCGACAAGGATGGAATATTTAAACAGGAATAATGAGAAGCAGATACTCTATATAACGGTTTTCTCATACTTTCCACACAAACACACACTGCTGCTGGGACCCAGGTGTAATCAGTTAATTAACATGCAATGCACTCCGATCTCACACTCCCAGCTATAACATTAGACCTGTGCACCGAGGCCCCAGCAGAGTCAGCCAGGCAGCTTGATAACTGCAGGTAAGGTATGCTTCCTGCACACGGGCAGCTGGTACCGAGGGGAGAATGAGACACTGTACCACATGGGTAACTGGTTAACTCATTATTTGTCAATTTGTAAAATGGTTTTGGGTACACCCACACAGCTGTCAAAGCACCAAAACAGCTCCTTTCTGCTCACTGACTACCATTCCCTAACTGTTTAATCATAGTCCAAGTGTAGAATCCTGCAATGTGTTCCTCTCTGTTCACCGAGATAAGGAAAGAAAAAAAGGATGAAGGAATATGGAGACATCACATACATTTTCAATCGCTGCTACTACTCTGCTAACTTATTATCTTATTCATTGTTTACCCATCTGACAAAGCAGGTTACTGCGCAGGGCACATTACGTGTGACACCCAGGCAACAATATAATCAAATGGAAATTACAGGTTATTGAACACTGTCAGAAGCAATCAGGATCAAGGGATACAGCCAGCTCTATACCCCATGAAAAATGCACATGTGACAGACTGGCAAGTTTATTTTGTGAGCACCAACAATTACCATTCACAAATATGAGGTGAATAGGTAGCATTTTGTTTGTGCTCGTAATTCAATAAAATATATATATATATTTACTTGTTTAAATATTGACAACTAATTGGGACATTACCCCACTAAAATATTACAACAAAGAACATTAAACAAAATCTTGAAGACAGCTTTTTACTAGATTGTAAGCTTCATGGGCCAAGGTTGCCTCATTTTACAAAAAGACTGACTTTACCATGCATACCGGTAAAGCAAATAGATCACTTTGACAAAGGTTAATGAGTTTCACAATGAATCTTCGTCAGGATAAAAGTAGTATACATCTGTACTACAATAAAATTGTTTTTTATGCCCTACAATCCTGTTCATGTTATAGATTCCCTTTAAATGATACATTAAAAGCTGCCAAATATCATCTCCTCACCCCCCACTTCTTGATTGCTGCTGTGAAGGTGCTTTTTCCAGTGAAACCTCAGACTCTCTACTCAATGTTCCTACATACATAGTAATAGGGCTCTCCACAGGGGCTTTTCATTTAACGTCAATTTCCCTGATACTAAGCTGTTTCTGTTGATTAAGAGAAATCTGGAAATGACTAAATGTCTATGGAGGCAGAGATGAGCTATGGGAGACCAAACTTAAGTGTGTTTTAAACAGCTGGAGACGAAAGGAATCGGAAGTGGAGTCGCAAACAAGAGTTTAACACAGTCCCTGATTAGAGACGTGTTTTCTAAAGAATGGCTTATTAATTAACCAGTACTGCACCGCGCTGGCTGTTTGGATTTGGCATTGTATAAAACTATTTCCACTATTCAAACAGAGCTTAGATATTACTTGACAATTGCTCGTTTAGTTAGGAAGTTGAAGCTGCGAACTGATTAGCAGTGACACCACCTGCCAAGCCCAGAACAATGTTAACTAAATGAGGCACTTGGTAAAAATGGATAAAGTCATATACGGCAGCGGCCCAGTATTACTGCATGTTTAGTAGCAGATAGCTGGACATGAGTTCCTTGTCCTCTGTTGATAGACAGCGGCGAGACTGCAGGCACATCATGCCAATCAGATCACTGAAGGTTAACTACCGAGCTATAGAAGGTTATATAAATCGGGATGGGGGCATTTCTTCAAATTAATGGAGTCTAAAGCAGGGGTAGCCAAAAGGTAAATCCCCAGCTGTAATATCAAATAACAATTAAATATCTATCTTTAAGCCACAGCTGGGGCAAATCATAGGTAAGGCAAGGATCGCCATTGGAAGTAGTGGGGCCCATAAAAAAACTAAATAAAAACATCTGCAGAGCTCCCTGGCCCACACTCCCAGACATACTCTCCTAGACACACATCCCAAGCTACACATACACACCCAGACAAATACAGAGGCAAAACATGATTCACAGATATACACTGTACAGCAAGCATGTCAAATTCAAAGGCTAGCTACTGAACCCCAGCCCCCCCCCCTCTACTAAACCCCAGTCCCCCCCTCTACTAAATCCCAGCACCCCCCTCTGTTAAAAAACAAAAACACAACAACAACATTAACCAACAAGCAGACTCCACTCACATTGCCGCTGCCAGTATGCGACTCCGGAGTCCAGCCTCTGGTATACCCCCAATGGCGCCCTGTGCCAAAGCCCTGTGAAGGTGGAGCACGTTGACGTCACGTCTAAATGTGATGTGGCGTTGCGTGCCTCTGTGCACCTCCAGTTCTTCCACTGTCCAGCCGTGGCCATCTCAACACTGACCAACACACACTCACTGGCAGACACACACACTCACTGACACACACACACACAATGACAGACAGACACACACACTGACAAGACGCACACACTCACTCTCTGACAGACACACACACACACACATTCTTGCACACACTCACATCCTTTTATTTATTGTTCCCTACCTTTGGGAGCTGGTGTGGGGCCTCTCCCTGGGGTCCAGTGGGGATCTTCTATCGGGAGGTCTCCATTCCTGCTCCTCACTGCTCCCGCACACACGCAGTTTAATGATGCCAGGTACCGGAATGACATCATATTCCGGAACCCAGCATCACTACAGAGGGCACGCGCTACCACCAGCGACCTCTCCTCCCTGGCCGGGTAAAGTCTAGCAGAGTAGGCACCTGCAATGTGGGGAGAGCAGGTCCCTACTCTGCCTTAGTAAGCATGTTAAACTCGCGGGCTTGACATGCTTGCTGTACAGTGTACATTCCAAGTTATACATTGTCATGCTTGTTCACATACACAATGACACACATACAAATACACCTTGCCCCTTACTGTGATGTACACTGCCAGTGATGCTTTCGCTACTTAATTCGGGAGGGCACCAGCGAGGTGTAGTAGTTGTGGTGCTTGAAGTGTTGTGTTAAAGAGACACTATAGTCACCAGAACAACTACAGCTTATTGTATTTGTTCTGGTTAGTAGAATCATTCCCTTCAGGCTTTTTGCAGTAAACACTATCTTTTCAGAGAAAATGCAGTGTTTACATTACAGCCTAGGGACAACCCAGTTGGCCACTCCTCAGATGACTGCTAGAGGTGCTTCCTGGGGCAATGCTGCACAATGTGACTGACATTCATTGATTGAATGCATTTCTATGAGGAGATACTGAAAATGCAGTGTTTACATTACAGCCTAGTAATAACTCCACTGGCCACTTCTTAGATGGCTGCTAGAGGTTCTTCCTGGGGCAGTCTTGCACAGTGAGCCGCACTGCCATTAAGTGTCTCCTCTGCATGCAGACACTGAACTTTCCTTGTAGAGATGCACTGATTTAATTCATCTCTATGGGGACATGCTGATTGGCCAGGCAGTGTTTGACTTGTGCTGGCTCTGCCCCTGATCTGCCTCCTTGACCGTCTCAGCCAATCCTATGGGAAAGCATGTGATTGGCTCACAGAATCACTTCTGATGAGGTCAGCAGACAGTTTAGGGGCAGAGGCAGCAGCTTACTTAAATACAAGTAAGATTTTCTATATTTAGGAGGCAAGGGGGGCTAGACAGTGTTTTTAACACTATAGGGTCAGGAATACCTGTTTGTGTTCCTGATTCGATAGTGTTCCTTTAACAAGATCCATATTATTTTTGTTTACGTTTACCTTTTGGAGTGGTTTTACAGGATCTAGCTAGCTTAAACAGGTTTTCTGCCCCAATCTCCCCTGTGCACACTGCATGTTCCATATCTCCTCTCAGCGCTGCCATGTTATGGGACAGTCAACTGAGCCATCATGTCAGAAACCTGCAAATGCAGTATGGCTGAGGAAATCTCGCCAACCTACTTCATGGCGTTAAAGGGCCACATGCAGGCCCCTGTGCTCGATTTGTACCTGAATATTGTATGGGCTTGGGTAAACTTCAGAATTGTGGAGACTTGAACAGCTCTTATGTCAACATTTCTGAATTGGAGAAGTTTTCAACTCAGCTATTTTTCCATCCTAACACTGTTAAAATCTATTGTCAATTTTAAAGTGTGTTACAAAGCTGTGTATAAACTTGGCAAAGTGCTCTGCGATCACTATTAGTCTGTTAGTTTCACGTTACACAAGCATTACCAGCAAACCTCCTGTGGTTATTGTAATCCTCTGAGCAGGGCACCTGGTAGAATCGATGATCTAGCGTCTCACGCTGCGCTGCCAAAACTTCCATGCCAACGCTGCTCTGGTGATGCCAAACAAGTAATCCACCAACTAAACTTCCAGCAACACACAGGATACCGCCAACAATGAACTTCTGCCATGATGTACTTCGAGGCCTAGACTTTTTAATCCTTTACATGGAAAAAATGAAAATAAAATTTGTATGTGTTTTATATTATTAAAAAGAAAATTAACACGGCTACACACAGGTTATACACACTTACATATATACAGATACTTTATTTTAAAAAGCTCTTTTATACAAATAACTTAGGTCTTGATTTTATATTTATGAATAAGCGTTGCAAATGATCACAATCTGTTAGAAAAACTTATCAAATGATTTATCTTCAGAAATTTCCATTGACTTTAACGGTGACGTCTGTAGATGAAATATCTGAACAGTTTTTCTAACCGATTGTGATCATTTGAAATGTTTATCCAAAACTATTAACGCAAGGCCTCAGTTAAATACCTGTAAACTTATAAGGGTTGAAATGGGAAGATAAGACAATATGTAGCATGGGTAATTTAAAGGTGATGGCCAGAGAGAATTAAAGTATAATTTGAGCCATTGATAAGTTGTAATGGTAATTGAGTGAAATCTCGATAAACTGAAGAAGCATGCTCTAAACTAAGTAAGACTGAAGCGGGGTCGTGGATTAATAATTTAGTGAAAATGAAGTTTCTCTTTTTTTCTGTTGGTTGGTTAGGTTAGTTGGAGGCCTCTAAACAGGAATGGAAAAAGAACAAAGATGAAGGTATTTAGTTCTAGGATGGACAAGGAATCATGGTGGGGAGGGGAGAGGGAGAAGGGAGGTTGGCACACATTTGATGAAAAGAAATGTTATCACCAAAAAGAATAAAATGTATACAATAAATAGTGGTTAAATACATTCATTGAGGGGACGGGGCCTGACCGCCGAGCTGAGCGGATGCAAGCAGCGAGAGCTCCTGGAACAAACGACTATCTTAGCTAAATTTTTACAGAACTAAGCTACACTCGGACTCACACTGGCTGTTAAAGGACTGAGGAACCCGAGACAAATCGATAGATACCAAATGTGTGAATATCTCACCCAATTCCGCTCGGCTCCAACATAGAAACATAGAAACATAGAATGTGACGGCAGATAAGAACCATTCCGCCCATCTAGTCTGCCAAATTTTCTAAATACTTTCATTAGTCCCTAGCCTTATCTTATAGTTAGGATAGCCTTATGCCTATCCCACGCATGCTTAAACTCCTTTACTGTGTTAACCTCTACCACTTCAGCTGGAAGGCTATTCCATGCATCCACTACCCTCTCAGTAAAGTAATACTTCCTGATATTATTTTTAAACCTTTGTCCCTCTAATTTAAGACTATGTCCTCTTGTTGTGGTAGTTTTTCTTCTTTTAAATATAGTCTCCTCCTTTACTGTGTTGATTCCCTTTATATATTTAAATGTTTCTATCATATCCCCCCTGTCTCATCTTTCCTCCAAGCTATACATGTTAAGATCCTTTAACCTTTCCTGGTAAGTTTTATCCCGCAATCCATGAACCAGTTTAGTAGCCCTTCTCTGAACCCTCTCTAAGGTATCAATATCCTTCTGAAGATACGGTCTCCAGTACTGTGTACAATACTTTACTTACATTTCTGCTCTGCCTCTACATTTCTGCTTTAAGTCATCAGAAATAATCACCCCTAAATCCCTTTCCTCATATGGTTAGAAATATTCTGTACTCTGCCCTTGGGTTTTCACGTCCAAGATGCATTATCTTGCACTTATCCACATTAAATGTCAGTTGCCACAATTCTGACCATTTTTCTAGTTTACCTAAATCATTTGCCATTTGGCTTATCCCTCTTGGAACATCAACCCTGTTACATATCTTAGTATCATCAGCAAAAAGACATACCTTACCATCAAGACCTTCTGCAATAGCACTAATAAAAATATTAAAGAGAATGGGTCCAAGTACAGATCCCTGAGGTACCCCACTGGTGACAAGTCCAAGCTTCGAATATATTCCATTAACTACAACCCTCTGTTGCCTGTCACTCAGCCACTGCCTTACCCATTCAACAATATTTGAATCCAAACTTAAAGATTGCAGTTTATTGATAAGCCTTCTATGTGCAACAGTGTCAAAAGCCTTACTGAAATCTAGGTAAGCAATGTCTACTGCACCACCCTGATCTATAATTTTAGTTACCCAATCAAAAAATCAATAAGATTAGTTTGGCATGATCTCCCTGAAGTAAACCCATGTTGTCTCTGATCTTGAAATCCATGTGTTTTTAGATGTTCATCAATCCTATCCTTTAACATGGTTTCCATCACTTTCCCCACTACTGAAGTAAGGCTTACTGGCCTATAGTTGCCCGACATGCGGCCTATACACGTGGAAAGGGGGGCCAGCGACACACATAAATAACTAGTCACAATGCAAGTTCGGTGTCTCTACTCTCATGTATGTTTAGCCTGGGGTAATTTACTTTTGATATATCACCATGGTACCAAACGGATTTTAAGATCCATTGCTTGTAATTTCACTATCTGCCATTGTAGAGTTAAGCATGCTTACTGACAGTCCACTCTGGGTGCCATAGATGGGTTAATTGTTTAAACGTTCAATGTAGATGCAGCCTGCCCTATGTTATCAGTTTATTTATGATACGCTCTGCACATCATGCAATATGCCTGCCTCCCCTCACTATAACACTATACAACGAAGTATGGCCTTCGTAAATACGTTTGACAGTAGAGCAACTGTGGCAGCTTCTTGTCATGCTAATATAAACACTTAACTTGTTCTGCTGCAAGAATATGTCATGCTAATAAGTACCGAAACAGAATCCGAGTTGTCTAACATACAGCAGGTTTAATCGGTTATGTTGTACTCATGAACAATACCATATGAGTAATCAGTAATTAACCCCTGCACCCATTGCCTAAACCAGGGCCGGTGCTTGGATTTTTAGGTACATAGGCGAAGATGCATTTTTCCGCCCCCCCCCCCAAAATCTTCACCTATGTGCCTCTAAACCAGCCCCTCTCCCCTCCTCTCGACCATTAGTGGTCCCTTCCGTTCCCTGTCCCTTAGTGTTCTTCTCCCCTCCCCCCTTTCCCCCTCCCCCCTTTTTTCCCTGTCTCTTGGTGTTTCTCTCCCATTCCCTCCCTGTCCCTTGGTGCACCCCCACCCCTTTAGTGGTCACACTTCCTGGTGTGTGCCTCCTACCTCTATTGTTGCATTGCCGAGTGGAGCAGATCCCCTAAAGGAGCTTCAGTTTTCTGTACCCGGACGGACTGACAGGGAGTGCTCTCTCTGTGAGCACCTCCTGTCAGTCTGGCCAGGTACAGGAAACAGAAGTTCCTGTACCGCGCTCTGCTCCGCTACACTCTGTACACACTGACAGTCACACACTCAATGACAAACACACAGACGTCACTGACAGACGCAGACTCATTGATCTGACACACACTCATTCATTGACACTGACAGACCCACACTGATTGACACTCATTGACAGACACACTGATAGTCACACACAGACTCAATGACAAACATACTCTCACTGATTTGACAGACACACACTCATCATACACTGACAGACACACTCATACACTCACATGCACACACACTCATACAATCACTCACAGACACACAGACAGTCACTCACTCACAAACACACACTGTCACTCACAGACACACACCGAAGCACACAGTCACTCACAGACACACACACACACACACTGTCACTCACAGACACGCTCAGTCACTCAGACACACACACACACACTCATACAATCACTCACTCACACACACACTCAGTCACTCAGACACACATGCTGTCACTCTCAGACACACATGCTGTCACTCTCAGACACACATGCTGTCACTCTCAGACACACATGCTGTCACTCTGACACACATGCTGTCACTCTCAGACACACATGCTGTCACTCTCAGACACACATGCTGTCACTCACAGACACACATGCTGTCACTCACAGACACACATGCTGTCACTCACAGACACACATGTTGTCACTCACAGACACACACAGTCACTCACAGACACACGCTCAGTCACTTAGACACACACACTCATACAATCACTCACACACACACACTCATACACTCACTCACACACACACATACACTCACTCACACACACACACTCATACAATCACTCACACACACACTCATACAATCACTCACACACACACTCATACAATCACTCACACACACACACTCATACAATCACTCACACACACACACTCATACAATCACTCACACACACACACGCATACAATCACTCACACACACACACGCATACAATCACTCACACACACACACGCATACAGTCACTCACACACACACACGCATACAGTCACTCACACACACACACGCATACAGTCACTCACACACACACACGCATACAGTCACTCACACACACACACGCATACAGTCACTCACAGACACACACGCATACAGTCACTCACAGAGACGCACACGCATACAGTCACTCACAGAGACGCACACGCATACAGTCACTCACAGAGACGCACACGCATACAGTCACTCACAGAGACGCACACACGCTGTCACTCACAGAGACGCACACACGCTGTCACTCACAGAGACGCACACACGCTGTCACTCACAGAGACGCACACACGCTGTCACTCACAGAGACGCACACACGCTGTCACTCACAGAGGCCTTCCAGCTGTCACTCCTGAGGCAGCACTGCGCTGTCACTCACAGAGAGCGCTGCGCTGTCACTCACAGAGCCTTTACCTGCGCTGTCACTCACAGAGGCGCGCACAGCTGTGTCACTCACAGGCAGCACCTGCGCTGTCACTCACAGAGGCACGCTACAACTCACAGAGGCACACACGCTGTCACTCACAGAGACGCACACACGCTGTCACTCACAGAGACGCACACACGCTGTCACTCACAGAGACGCACACACGCTGTCACTCACAGACACGCACACACGCTGTCACTCACAGACACGCACACACACAGACACACATCACATACATTCACTACTAATTTTATAAATAAACATTTTCCACACAGCCTCCCTACCTGGAGAGCTGGTGTGGATGCTGGATCGGTCCCTGGGGTTGCTGGGCGGCGTGCGGCAGTGCTGTGATCAGGCGCGCGAGGGAGCTCTAATCTCCACCCTCTGCTCCCTCGCGGGCTGCCTACTGATGACGTCATGTTCCGGCTCCCGCGGCATCAGTAGGCAGCGCGCGAGGGAGCAGAGGGTGGAGATTAGAGCTCCCTCGCGCGCCTGATCACAGCACTGCCGCGCGCTGCGCCGGGGGTCGAGATGGTGGCCGGGCAGGAGGGAGAGCTTCCCTCCTGCCGGTTACTGAAATATTGCGCCCCCAGAGCCCGTGCGCCCTAAGGCGGCCGCCTGTGCCGCCTTATGGACGCGCCGGCCCTGGCCTAAACTACTGTTTATGTTAGCATGTTACACTTAATTAATATAAAACGAGTCTCTCCCTCATAGGAGATGTTGCATTGTGTTATGTGATCCCAATCGGTATGGAAAACGTACATCCTCTCTTCTTTTTTTCTGTACCCCATTTAACACCTGCCCCAATAAAAGAAAGATTGACAAAAAAATATATACATTCATTAAAAATAACAATGAATAACTGGAAGCACAGAAATGTAGTAGATAACGACAAGTAAAGTTGGGAACACAAGCATGTATTCCTGACCCTATAGTGTTCTAAACACTATCCAGCCCCCCATGGCCTTCCCCTGCCTCCATTAATATGATAAAATCTTACCTTTATTCCAGTCTGCTGTGTTTGTCTCTGCCCCTGATCTACGACCTTGGCTTAGATCTTCAGAAGTGATGATCTCAGCCAATCAAAATGTTTTCCCATAGGAAAGCATTGGATTGGCTGAGATTGTCCAGTCTGATGATCTCACCCAAGGGGGCATGTCAGGGGGCGGAGCCAAACTAAGCATCTTCTCATAGAAATGCAGTGAATCAATGTATCTCTATGAGGAAAGTTCAGTGGCTTTATGCAGAGGGCGGAGACTCTGAATGTCCTGAATGACTGCCCCAGGCTACTGGAGGTGTCCCTCGCCTGTAATGTAAACACTGCTTTTTCTCTGAAAAGACAGTGTTTCCTGCAAAAAGCTTGCAGAGACATAATATACTCACCAGAACAACTACAATAGGCTGTAGTTGTTCTGGTGACTATACTGTCCCTCTAATTCCACCCACCAGCTAATGGAGAGAGAAAAAAAAGAGAAAATTAATTTTCATCTCACCCAGCAAACGTTCAGGTATTGAGTGGCGCTTGGATGCTCACTTATTTAATCGCACACACAGGCACCCATGTTATTATATTACGCATATACTGACACTTGAGGAGGGGTGGGCATCGCACTAAAGTTTTAACATGTTGGCTTAAGGACTAAGTCCAGTTTTCATCAGAACTCTGCTCTGCCTGCCTCCTCGGAATCAGTTTGGCTAAAGAGGCTGCTTGGCGAGATGCTGCAAGGTAAGTAAAGTTACACTGAGCTTTACAATTAGTCACTTCACTAAAGCACTGAGATTTAGGGTTAAGGTGAGAGCGAAAAGTATGGTTAGAGTTAGGAAGTATTTATTTATTAATTATTATTATTATTTAGATTTTAGAGATTATTTACACCTTTTAGTTTTACTTCTGGGTTAGAATAAGAATTGAGTGAGGCTAAATTAATTTATATTTAACCCTCCTTTTAAAGAGATACTATAGTTACCAGAAAGAATGCAGCTTAAGGTAGTGGTTCTGGATCATTTAGCCTGATACAGGGTCAGCAGTATAAACGCTGCCATTTCGGAGAAAATGCAGTGTTTACACTGTGTCTATGACCCACGCTACTGGCTGTAACTTCAACAGCCACTAGAATAACTTCCTGGGTTCAGTGCTTCAAAGACTGCAGAACCAACGTTCAGCATCTACACGCTCTGCATGGGGACAATGAACGCTCACCATAGAGACGCATTGACTCAATTCATCTCTATGAGGAGATGCTGATTGGCCAGGGCATTGGACTGGCTGAGATGATCAAGACTGATGATCCCTGCCAAGTAGGTGACCGACGCAGCAAGGGCTAAAAGGTAAGTGTTTGTATTCCTACCACTATAGTGTTCCTAAACCCTAAATGTCCCAAGTCCCAGTGCTGCAGTGAAGCTCAGTGTAACATTTTATTTGCCTTGCTGGACCTCGCCGAGCAGGCTCTTCAGCCACAGTGATCCCAAGGTGGCAGGCAGGGCATAGTTCCATTGATTGCCAATCACCAAGCAAAACACACTTACATGGTGGAAAAAAATTCTTACAACGTTGACCCTAGTTACACCCTTATTTAATGACGTTAACCTCTTAGTAGTACCCCTTACAATAAATCTCCTCCTTTCACTCCTGTACCCCTACTTTCATCCCCCCCATTATTGTGTATCCCCGCCTTTCATTATTTTACCCCTCTTTGCATTCTTTAATCATTTAGTGTTTGTTTTCTTATTTCATTCGTTTACTCCTTACTGTCTATTTTTCCCATTCATTATTTTACCCACTACAGTAAACACTCTCCTTTCATTCTTTTTCTCCTTGCTGTTTATCCCCTTTTTTCATTCATTTTTTCCTTACTGAGTATCCTTTCCATTCATGGTTTTACTCCTTACTATGTATCTTTTCATTTCATTAATTTACTCATTACTGTTTATCCTCTCCTTTCATTAGTTTGCCCATTGTTGTTTACCGTATTTTTTATTTCTTTCACCTCTCACAGTTTCCCATCTTCTTCTTTTTACCCATCCTTTCATTCTTTTACCTTTCACTGTTTAACCCCTCCTTTTATCCATTGTTGTTTATCCTCTAGTTTAAAAATTGTACCCCTCTCTGTTAACCCCTCCTTTCATTATCTTACCCCTCACTGTTTACCTGCTCTTTCATTCTTTTACCCATCACTGTTTACCCCTCCTTTCATTCTATTACCCCTTACTGTTTACCCCTCCTTTCATTCTATTACCCCTCACTGTTTACCCCTCCTTTCATTCTATTACCCCTCACTGTTTACCCCCTCCTTTCATTCTATTACCCCTCACTGTTTACCCCTCCTTTCATTCTATTACCCCTCACTGTTTACCCCCTCCTTTCATTCTATTACCCCTCACTGTTTACCCCTCCTTTCATTCTATTACCCCTCACTGTTTACCCCCTCCTTTCATTCTATTACCCCTCACTGTTTACCCCTCCTTTCATTCTATTACCCCTCACTGTTTACCCCCTCCTTTCATTCTATTACCCCTCACTGTTTACCCCTCCTTTCATTCTATTACCCCTCACTGTTTACCCCCTCCTTTCATTCTATTACCCCTCACTGTTTACCCCTCCTTTCATTCTATTACCCCTCACTGTTTACCCCCTCCTTTCATTCTATTACCCCTCACTGTTTACCCCTCCTTTCATTCTATTACCCCTCACTGTTTACCCCCTCCTTTCATTCTATTACCCCTCACTGTTTACCCCTCCTTTCATTCTATTACCCCTCCTTTCATTCTATTACCCCTCACTGTTACCCCCTCTTTTCATTCTATTACCCCTCACTGTTTACCCCTCCTTTCATTATTTTATCCCTTACCCCGTGACCCTTTTATTCCTCTGCTCTGTACTGTGACCCCCCTTATTTCCTATTGCCCCCTGGAGTGCCTTTTTACCCCTGTGTCCCCCCTATTCCTTGTTACACCCGGTATCTCCCTCTTTCCTGCCGTCTCGCCCTGTGTCCCCCCTCCATTACACCGCCCGTTCTCACCCGGTTTTCTCCCTCGGCCTGGGCCCCACATCCCCGCTTTCTCCCGGTACCCGTCCCCGCCGCCGGTGCTTGGTTGCCATGGTGACTGCTTACTGGAGCTCCGGGCTCGGCGTGGAGCTCGCACATTGGCTCAGGCCGCGGGCAGGCAGGAGCAATAGAGCTCCGATCAGCTGGCGGGATGGATGGGTGAGAGCTGTCACCCTGTACTGCTCGTATACCCGGCCCTGTACACATCCTACTGCCCCTGTATATCGCCCACTGCCCCTATATATCGCCCACTACCCCTATATATCGCCCTCTGCCCCGTATATCGCCCACTGCCCCTGTATATCGGCCACTATCCCTATATATCGCCCACTGCCCCTCTACACCACCTATACCCTCCCACTGCCCCTCTACACCACCTATACCCTCCCACTGCCCCTCTACACCTCCTATACCCTCCTACTGCCCCTCTACACCTCCTATACCCTCCCACTGCCCCTCTACACCTCCTATACCCTCCCACTGCCCCTCTACACCTCCTATACCCTCCCACTGCCCCTGTACACTGCCTAAACCCACCTTCTGCCCCTGAACACCACCTGTAGCCTCCTACTGCTCCTGGACACCACCTATACCCTCCTACTGCCCCTCTACACCACCTATACCCTCCCACTGCCCCTCTACACCACCTATACCCTCCCACTGCCCCTCTACACCCTCCTATACCCTCCTACTGCCCCTCTACACCTCCTATACCCTCCTACTGCCCCTCTACACCACCTATACCCTCCCACTGCCCCTCTACACCTCCTATACCCTCCCACTGCCCCTGTACACTGCCTAAACCCACCTTCTGCCCCTGAACACCACCTGTAGCCTCCTACTGCTCCTGGACACCACCTATACCCTCCTACTGCCCCTCTACACCACCTATACCCTCCTACTGCCCCTCTACACCACCTATACCCACCTTCTGCCCCTGTACACCACCTGTACCCTCCTACTGCCCCTCTATACCACCTATACCCTCCTACTGCCCCTGTACACCATCTACACCCACCGTCTGCCCCTGAACACCATCTGTACCCTCCTACTGCCCCTGTACACCACCTGTACCCCCTCCTACTGCCCCTCTACACCACCTATACCCTCCTCCTGCCCCTGAACACCACCTATACCCTCCTACTGCCCCTGAACACCACCTGTAACCTCCAACTGCCCCTGAACACCACCTGTAACCTCCAACTGCCCCTCTAAACTACCTATGCCCACCTACTGCCCCTCTACACCACCTATACCCTCCAATTGCCTCTGTACACCACCTATACCCTCCAATTGCCCCTGTACACCACCTACATCCCATAGCCCTATACACGGCAGTGAACCTACTACGGCTCCTATACACTACCTGTAACTTCTCTTGTACACTAGCTGTAACTTAATACTGCCCCTGCACACCACCCATAAACGCCTACTGCGATACACACCTCCTGAAACATCCTACTGCCTCTGTATGGTACACAATGTACACCACATGTACATTTCCTACTACCCCTATACACCTTGTGTAAATGCATACTGCTTCCATCCACCCCTATGCATCATATACTGTACCTGTACATCACATTCTATGTTCCTACTGGTCATTCCATAAAGCCCCTGTAGGTGTACATCAACTATCACAACTACAAGGCCTGTTTCGCCCTCTAGACCCGGGGTACAAAATAGGTAGATCCCCAGATGTTATAGGACTAAAACTCCATTGATGCTTTGCATGTCTTTAGAATGACAAAGCATTGTGGAAGCTTTAGTTTTTAAACATCTGGGGATTCTACCTTTTGGGCACCCCTGCTCTAGACAGACCTTACAACTCCTACTGGTAAATTAACTACCCATTGAATTCCCATAGTGCCACATGATGCCCAGCACACATCATGTACATCTCTTAATGTTCACATAGATTACTCATTACTCTTCCCCCTTCTGCTCCTATAGATCCCATCTGGGTTATAGGGGCCAGTACATTATCTGTAGGCCCCTATAACCCAGAACAACATTTGCACATTCCTGATTGCCCATGTGGGTAACACTTTACACCTCCGTGATCTAATACTCTACCTGTTGGTCCCCCTGCCACCCAGTACCTCCCCTTCTTGTCCAATATGTCCCTCTTGTACCCAGTGCGCCAATACATACCTAGCACATCTCCTAACACCCCTTAACTCAGCATTTAAAACTCAGGACTTAGTAAAAATTAACCTAATAAAAGCCCAGCTTGGCAGCTAATATGTGTTGCCTGGTTTCTTTAGCTTTATTTAGCCGTTTTAATGTACCTCTAGTTTACAATGATAGCAAATAGTTTCTTATCTTTCTGCAGAAAGCACGGTGCTGACAAGGGTCAGTTGACTAAGGGAACAAAAGTGAATTTTGAACTTATTTTGGTCCACCTGGATCTAAAAGGAGCACCGCCCAAAGTGTCATATCTGGCAAAGGTAATACTGGAAGTGGTATCGGATTGTACACTATTGTCATTTAGTTTGATTTTTTTTATTATTCATTTAATGGTGAAATCTTTTTGATTTAATTTGCAAACGTTGAATGGATCCAGGAATTAAATTGTCTCACAATTAAAAAGATAAACTGCCATTTTAAAGAATGTGTAATGCCACATAAAATTTCACCTATACATTGTACCAGCGCATGTATAACGTGCCCTCGAACCCTTCCCGGCTCTCGGCATGCCTTGTAATCCGAGGTCTGTCTGCTAGTTTGCCTGCCTACTGTTGTCCCATATCAGGGTAGCTTGTTATGTTTGCTTGCTTCAATCCGATAACATTACTTTTAAACATTAGTGGATGTACTGCCCCTCCTCCTCATTAGCATAGAGGGATTTTGTGAGAATTCTATCTTTTTATAAACATTAAATTATTCTAAGATCCATTATTGGAGCATTCTGCTCTGCTCACATATTAAGAGAGGTTATCTGATTGTTTGTGGAAATAGCAGTGAAACATCCAAAAACAAACTGACGTGAACTTAACGTGGTGGCATGATGTGTCCTCAAGCACCATCAAAATAGGAGACAGTATAGCTACGGGGTTGCGAAATGTTCACATTGGCGAGAGTGTTTTTTTTAATTATAATTTATTTATTAAGTGCTAACACATTCCACAGCGCTGTACATGGTTACAATTGGTGCACGTCAAAATACAAAGGTACAGTACATCTGAGACAGTACAAAACTGACAAACAAATACAGGAGGAGTTGAGGGCCCTATTCTCGTGAGAACTTACAATCTAGATGGGTTTTAATTTGAAATCCAGAATTCTTTTTTGTCTACCACCAGATCCTTCCCCTTTTCTCATCCCTTGGAGCAAATGGACTGCTAATAGAATATGAAGACACCTTTCCATATTTTGGAGAGCTGCTCCCTTTGCGTGCTGCCCATGCTTACAGGTAACCTTCAAGAATGTATAGTTCACTCTCTAAAAATAAGTATGACTTTCTGACTTAGCATTGTTCCATTGCCTGAGTAATGGAACAGACGTTTCTTGCACTCAATGGATCAAACAAAAAATGAAGCCAACATTACCTTGTTTATAATAAAGGTTACCTGGGATGTTAAACTACAAGAGATGATTTACCTTATAGGAAGTTTCTTCAAACCATGGCCGTTTCATAATAGAAATTAATATATCCTGTTCATTAATTTCTGTCTTCCACTCTTAGCCCTGAGGAAATCTGTGAGATATTAAGGCTGGCAAAGCTTCACAACTTGGAAGTCATTCCATTAATACAAACATTTGGACACATGGAGGTAGGTAATGGGTGAGGATCGGGGCACCACTGAATGCTGTGTTTAACTTTTTGTCACTATTAACATTTGTCTCGTGTGTCATCTGCAGTTTGTCCTAAAGCACAAGGAGTTCTCTCATCTTAGAGAAATCCCAACTTACCCAAACAGCTTGAACCCCCATAGAGCAGAATCCCACCAGCTGATTCAGGCCATGCTGCAGCAGGTGATGGACCTGCACCCAGACATCCAGTGGCTCCATATCGGTTCTGACGAGGTACAATGTCAAGAAACCTCATGTAGACAGTGGTTTGACCAGAGATAACATTAATCGGTTCTGCCGGTATGCCCTTTTTATAATTTGTAGCTTTTGTATGTTTGGTGACAGGTCAGCGTGTGTCCTTGCCTCCTACTTTCAGGTCTATTACCTTGGTGAGGGTGAAGAATCCAAGTTGCTACGTACAGAGAGATCCCTCACTGTCGTAAAAATCTTCTTGTCACACCTCCGAGCTGTGGCTACACATGTAGTGTCCAGGTTTCCGGGGGTAAAACCCATCGCCTGGGATGATATGCTTCGCGAAGCCAGTGCATGCACACTCACGGGTAAGCAGTCCAGCAGAATTTTGTCAGTGAATGAAGAATACAAAGTAAGGCAAGATGAAGCAAATCATGTTCTGTTCTGAACATTAGAAGCACTTATCTCTAGGCTTGCATCACATCAAAGAGAACCATCCAAAACAGGAGGTCCCCTCAATACCATTCTTTCTCTATCCATCGTTCTTAAAAACCTGAAAGGCACATTTTATCCTCCCTAATTAAAAAACACCATTAGCAAGTTCTTGTCTGATGACACAAATGTTTAATAGTTACTTTGCTATAAGTCTGTTCTTTTGCCAATATTTGTTACATTTGGTAAAGCTTCACAACAAATAAACTTACACTGATCACCCACGTCATTAAAAGCACTTGCCTCATATTGTGTAGGTTCCACTTATACTGCCAAAACATCTACCGGGGCAGTCACTTCCTCCCAGCGTCTGACATCATCAGAGGGGGCCCGGTCACGCTGTTAAAGCGCTGACTAGGCCCCCTGGAAATACATAGCATCAGGTGGCCCTAACAGCATGGGCCACCCAATGGGCCCCTTCAATTCGGGCCCGGTCGCAACTGCGACCCCTGTGACCGCGGTAGTTCCGCCACTGCATATGAGGAATAGCCCACAAGACCTACCATTTTGAGATTTTCTAACTCTGTCGTCTAGCCATCACTATTTGGTCCTTGTCAAAGTCACTCAGATCTTTTCGCTTGCCCATTTTTCATGCTTCCAACACATGAAATTCAAAAATGGACATGCTGCCTAATATGTCCCACCCCTTGACATGTGACATTGTAACAATATAATCAATATTATTCACTTCACCTGTCAGTGGTTTCAATGTTGTGTCTGATCAGTGGAAATAATAACATAAGGATGTGTTGCAAGACATTTTCTGTAGCCTAGAGAGACCAGTCAGTTGGTTAATGCAACAAATTTAGAACTTGTAACCTGGAGGATTACAGTGTATTCTCCCTGCAGGGTCATCTAATTCTTTTATCCTTTTGATGATAAAATAAGTGCCAATGTAATGGATAATGGACAGTCTCTCGACAGCTGATAATTAGTTGTTACTAAGTATTTTAATGCCTTTTCATGAAGTAATATATGCTATACAAGTCTGACTATTGTACTTTTATTTACTGTAAGAACAATCAGGATGTGGAATTCTCTGCCTGAAGAAGTGGTTTTAACAGAGTCCACACAGATGTTCAAACAGCAACTAGATGCATACTTGCAAAAACAGAATATTCAAGGATATAATCTTTCAATGTAGGGTAATAACTGCTTGATCCAAGGATAAATCTGACTGCCATTCTGGGGTCAAGAAGGAATTTTTTTCCTAGCTTGTTGCAAAATTGTGCTTCAAACTGTTTTTTTTGTTTTTTTTTTGCCTTCTTTTGGATCAACAGCAAAAAACAAATGTGAGGAAGGCTGAACTTGATGGACGCAAGTTTCTTTTCAGCTATGTAACTATGTACTGACTATTGTATGCTTTCTGACTCACAGCAATGACACACATAATGATAATGCTAGACATATGCAGTGTAACTAAATTATTCTCTAAAAAATTGTCAAAAGGAAAGAAATAAATGCTATCGACAGAGAAGAAACAAACGCACAGAGCACGCTCACTTTGTTTTCACATGTTATATGCGCTAGTTTAGGGGGTCACCACAGGTATGAATGTTCATTGAGATGTAAACACTGCCTTCTCAAATTAAAAGCTGTTTCTCGTAGAGTCCGGAGTCCCGTCTCTGGTGCAGCCTATGATATGGGACTACACCGCAAACCTGGATGTTGAAAACAGAAGTAAGTCAATGAGTGTCAGCGGAAGGACCATTTCTGGAGCAAAGTGCTAAAAGTGTCACAGTTAATTTCCCCACGTTAGCACTTGGCTCCAAATTTGCTCTATATCAGTGGTTCCAAAACTTTCAAGGGGCCCTTAATATTTCAGTATTTTTCCAAGGCACCCCAAGTCAAAATTTCTAGGTTGCGTGTCTATACAGCTCTGTGGCATTTACTGGCGCTATAGTGTAATGTACAGTGTTGGTGTTTGAAGGGGTGCTTGTATATAGTTATTGTGTTTTAATACAAGGGTGTGTTTGTAATGTTTGCGTTTGATTGCAGGGGTTTTGTCTGAATGTAATGTTCACTTTTAAATGCGGATGTACATTTGTGTGAAGTATTTGTGTTTGAGTGAAAGAGTGTGTTTGTATATTATTATTTTTTTAGTATGAATGCAGGAGTGTGTTTGTATGTAATATTTGAGTTAGATTGCAGGAGTGTGCTTGTATGTTGTGCTGGTGTTTGACTGCTTGGATGTATACACATACAAACATCCTTACACAGATATTCATGCGCATTAATACACAGATGCATATAAATACGACACATACACACAAATTCATATACAGGTGATACTCGAAAAATTTGAATATCGTGCAAAAGTTCATTTATTTCAGTAATGCAATGTAAAAGGGGAAACAAATATATGAGATAGACGCATTACATGCAAAGCAAGATAGTTCAAGCCGTGATTTGTCATAAGTGCGATGATTATGGCTTACAGCTCATGAAAACCCCAAATCCACAATCTCAGTAAAGTTGAATATTACATGCAATCAATAAAACAAGGAGTGTACATAGAACAATATCGGACCTCTGAAAAGTATAAGCATGCATATGGACTCAGTACTTTGTTTGGGCCCCTTTTGCAGCAATTACTGCCTCAATGCGGTGTGGCATGGAAGCTATCAGGCTGTGGCACTGCTGAGGTGTTGTGGAAGACCAGGATGCTTCAATAGCGGCCTTCAGCTCTTCTGCATTGTTCGGTCTCATGTCTCTCATCTTTCTCTTGGCAATGCCCCATAGATTCTCTATGGGGTTCAGGTCAGGCGAGATTGCTGGCCAATCAAGCACAGTAATTCCATGGTCATTGAACCAGGCTTTGGTGTTTTTGGCAGTGTGGACAGGTGCCAAGTCCTGCTGGAAAATGAAGTCAGCCTCCCCATAAAGCTCGTCTGCGGAAGGAAGCATAAAGTGCTCCAGAATCTCCTGGTAGATGGCTGCATTGACCCTGGACTTAATGAAGCACAGTGGACCAACACCAGCAGATGACATGGCTCCCCAAATCAACACAGACTGTGGAAACTTCACACTGGACTTCAAGCATCTTGCAGTGTGTGCCTCTCCATTCTTCCTCCAGACTCTGGGTCCTTAGTTTCCAAATGAGATGCAAAAGTTGCTCTCAATCGAAAAGAGGACTTTGGACCACTGAGCAACAGATCAGGTCTGTTTTCCTTTAGTCCAGGTAAGACGCTTCTGACGTTGTTTGCTGTTCAGGAGCGGCCTGACAAGAGGAATACGACATCTGAAGCCCATGTCCAGGATCCGTCTGTGTGTGGTGGCTCTTGATGCACTAACTCCAGCCTCCGTCCACTCCTTGTGAAAGTCCCCAACACTTTTGAACGGCCTTTTCCTGACAATCCTCTGCAGGCTGCGGTCATCCCTGCTGCTTGTGCACCCTTTTCTTCCACACTTTTCCCTTCCACATAACCTTCCATTAATGTGTTTGATACAGCACTTTGGGAACATCCAACTTCCTTTGCAATTACCTTTTGAGGCTTTCCCTCCTTACGGAGGGCGTCAATGATGGTTTTCTGCACAACTTCCAGGTCAGAAGTCTTCCCCATTATTGTGATTCCAACTGAACCAGATTGAGAGACCATTTAAAGGCTCAGGAACCATTTGCAGGTGTTATGGCTTACTTAGCTGATTAGAGTGGGACACTGTGATCTTAGAATATTGCACCTTTTCACAATATTCTAATTTACTGAGATTGTGGATTTGGGGTTTTCATGAGCTGTAAGCCATAATCATCGCACTTATGACAAATCACGGCTTGAACTATCTTGCTTTGCATGTAATGTGTCTATCTCATACATTAGTTTCCCCTTTTACCTTGCATTACTGAAATAAATAAACTTTTGCACAATATTCTTGAGTATCACCTGTACACACCGACACATACACACACACACACACACACACACACACACACACACACCAACATATACATACATGCACCCAGACACACAAACATTAATACATGCCCACACCATGACACAGATACACACACTCACATAAAAACACAAACACAGACACACATATACAGATGTGTGCGCAGACACAGAAGCACACTGACATATACACACACACATTCAAACTCATACACACACACACACGTGATTTTTTTTTTTATATCTCCAGCCACTCTCCTGTCAGTTTACCATATGTGCCAGGAGGGTGGCTTGGAGTCCTGCTGCTGGTGGGTGTGAGAGGTCTTGAGCTCTTCATGCTCCTCTCCCCTCATGTTGCGGCTGCCTCCCAGGATGCTGGGAGAAAGTGACAGGCTGTTGCTTTCTCCCACCTGGCCGACATTACAGGGGTCTGGTCGCGGTCTTAAATAATTCAGCAGTAATGTTTACCCGGTGCTATAATCTTTTTTTTGTCATCCCACAGTCACTCTGGTGGAGAAGTACCAACAGTGTGGCTTTCAGAAGATCTGGTTGGCGAGTGCTTTTAAGGGGGCCACAGGGACAAACCAACAGCTCACTCACATTGCCCATCACCTGGAGAACCACAGACATTGGCTGCAGGTAGCGGAGGCAGTGCCACAGAGCATCCTACAGGGGATGGCATTGACTGGATGGCAGAGGTAGGATATATAGCACAAAGCAACAAGAAAACACCAAACAATGTGATTTAGCAGTTCCTAAAGATTTCATTTTTCAAATATGACCTAGTATAAGTTATTATTACCCAACTCATATGTACTCATTGCAAGGGTGATAAGCAGAGTTGACCTTCTGGGTATAGAATTTACAAATCTGAGCTCGGAGAGGTAACATAGCCCTATGTCTTGCAAAATGCCAGGTGGCAGAGTCAGTTTTTATATACAAAATAGCTTACTATCAGTTGTAGACAATTATTTCACCAGCACACCGTCGTAATCCACCTTTGTCGTAGTTTGTCGTAATCCACCTTTCTTCTTACTGTGCAGGTACGACCATTTCTCAGTGCTGTGTGAGCTGCTTCCAGTTGCGATTCCATCCTTGGCTGTGTGTCTGCAATTCCTAAAACATGGTACAGTTCATGTCTCCTGTTTCAGCTTCTTCCACTTTGTTTAAAAGCAGAATGTAGCATGAAATGAAAGTAGATATTTCCCCAGGGTCTCCTTATTGATGGCTACTGAGAATTCATACTAGCTAAGTCAGATCTTCATTATATTGTGCTAAATGGCTGAAGGGCATTTCACAGCTACAGCGAGGCTGGCAAGGTCTGAAATATGCCCCAAACACAAAAAGAAAACATGCTTTAATTCCTGTGGTTAGAGAGTATACAATGAGTGATCATAGGCAGAGTTAAAAATATGAACATTTAAGTTGTCATTAAAAAATCGGCCAAAATAAAAAAAAATCTGGATATTGATTAAAATGTCCTGAGAGTTAATAGTCACGATTAACTCTTAAGAAATTTTCTGCTCCTGGCACTTAGTTATAGAGTGTTCTACACAGTGACATTTATTGTGTGTAGTCGTTAAGGTAGAATAATGAATCATTTAAATTAATTTTTAGTTTATAATGATACTCTGTTAAGCACAACACATTTCCTTAAAAATTTGAGTTTTAATTTTTAAAAGATAACTGTCATCAGAATTTTTTATTATTATTATTATAAGAATCCTTTCAACATGTAAAAAGATAAGCATTTTTTTTAAAATGAAGTATATGTAAAAATACCTGAAAATCTGGCCAACTCTGCCCTGCTTAGCAGAGCACATAGGACGATGACTGATGACCTCACCACTCTGTGCAAGGAGCAAAGCAGGAGCCTAACGGTCAGATTCTAACTTGGTTCGACCAAAGGTGTTCTGTATGGCAGAAGGATCTAGTGTTCTGCGAAAGTAGGGGACAGATTTTCAGGTATTTTTTATTTTATTTAAAAAAAAAATTGTTTTTTTGCAGTGCATAGAATTTTAACAACATGTGTGCGGTGCCCCAACGGCATTCCTTAAACACAACAAAACATTGGGGTATTCAAGATTATGTGCACATTTTTTGTGGTTATAATAACAAGAGTAATCATGTTTCAGTTATTGCCTGCCAGGTGGGGACATGGGGAGTCGGCCGCTGGGTGGGGCGGCGAGCCCTCCTCCAGTGTGGGCGATGTTTCGGGGTTGCGCCCCAATTGGCCTTTGGCCCGGGTAGGCCAGTAGTAGGTGGCACAGGCTTTAGTAGAGTCTCCTGTGCCCTCTGGCTCTCAACCCTCCGGTCTGCCTCCTGTGGCTGTGCCGGTTTAATCGTGCAGCGACACCGCAGGGCTTCCCAGCGTTGTGGTGGTATGGGTGGGCATAGTTTGCTCCACAATTTCCGCCAGAATTCTTGAAATTGTCTGTCCAGCCGGGTAAGTATGTCGCTGGAATGCGGGAGCCAAGCTTCCTCCGCCAAGTTGATGGGGCTGCGAGTTTGCAGGTCTGTTCTTGCAATAGATCCCCTTGATTGCGTGTAGGTCAGCTCACCCGGCGGGGACCGAGTTATAGAGTGCGACCTGGTAGGCCTCTGTCTGGTTTGCAAGGCTGAGTTACAAGCTTCCGCCATTTTGGAGGCCCTTACCCCCCCGTCTTGCTTGGAGAGGTCGCGGGCTTACATGGAGGTTGCCGGGTGCGGGGCTCTCTGGCTGGCGGGGACCGGGATGTCCCCCACCGGTCCATGGGGGGGGGGGTAGTGTCCCAAGCATACTGTTGGCCATGTGCTTCTGCCGGGAAAGCGGCCGCCTTTCTCCGCCGCCTCCCTCGGTAGGCCCCTATGTGCACCGTGTGGGTTTGGTGTCTCTGGGTTCGGGCCGGTTTCCCCAGTCCATTGGACCACCTCCAGGGGGGTGAGAGCACTTTAGCCCGATTTATGCACCGTTTTTATGCTTGATGAACAGGAGCTAGTGCAGAGCATGTCTTCTCTGCTCGCTAGTCAGGCTCCGCCCACCGATTTTCAGATATTTTTACATTTACTTAATTAAAAGAAAAATTAAAAAAGTCATATCTTTTCATTACATGCTGCAAAGATTCTTAAAATAATAAAGAAAAAGATTTCTGGTGACAGTTGTTCTTTAAAAACTATCATTCTTACATATGTTTGGCTGCCCGGGTTTAAAACAGTTTAAATTATATCAGTCTATAAGCTAAAGAGACACCCGTATTATACAAGGTTCCCTATAACATATCCTTGCTTTTTATTACATATCAGGTTCCTGTTCTGAGCAAGTGATTGGCTCCGTGAAAAGCATCCTGGGAATGCCACATTTGGAGATTGAAAACTTTGTAAGGTGACCTTAACATCTGCTGCTGGTTTCATGGGTGTCTTGAGCTAGGTTCCGAGCAGTAAACATGCCATCATTGTTGTTCATTGTAAGATCTAAGCACCTACCATTCTAGGTCTTGCAAAATACAGTGCAACAGGGATAAAACTGCTAGTAATCAGAAATGTTATTTGTACCGTGGATGTCCTTAAAAAAATTCACACTCCAGAAAATGTGATTTAAACTCAAACTGTGGGGATAGTGGTTTAATTTAGAACATTAACACTCAGTCCTTTCTAGGTCAATAGTCCAATGTTCCCAATCTGCAATTCTAAAATGTCCCTAATGCAGATAAATATGTTTTGTTGTTTTTTATACAATTCAGTGTATCAGTTTTGCGCTTTAATAAATATTGGTTTGAGGATTACCAAGATTTTATTGTGCAGTTCTAACCATCTATTGTTTCATTAAAGGCACACTGTAGGCACATAGCGACTTCAGCTGATTAAAGTGGTTATGGTGCCTGGAGTTAGCAGGTGGCAAGGGCTACATGGCTGTTATACAGTTACTCACTATTTAGCTTTGATGCTCTGTACCCAGCAGGCTGCAAACTCTCTCTTAATGATGATATGGCACCTCACACCATGCCAGGGATACCAGGCAGTGCTCTGCTGAGAGTATTAGCTGATCCCTGCCCGCAATCCAGGTATTCATTTGCATGTCGTTTTGCCATATTGTGATTGGGGGCCTGACAGCAGAGAAAGTGGTTATGCTGTCTACAGTGTCCCTCTAACCATCTGTTAGCCTAAAGAGACAGGTAACCATTTTTCCTTTTTTTTTTTCACTCTTTCAATAACACAATGACTATCCTAATAACAGCGAGCCAACGGGGACTTTTCCTGGTAGTGATCTTCTAACTCTCATCACGCAAATCATTTGTTTCCTGAAGACATCTATGAAAGATTTTCTGGAAGGGAACAGGTCAGTAGCAGTGAGTCTGGAGGGGAACACGTCAATGCAGTTAACAGGGAGTCTGGAAGGGCACAGGTCAGTGGTAATAGCAGTGATTTACATGATGCAGAACAGGTCAGTGATAGTAGAGGTGAATAAAGTGCAGAGAACATGGAATGGCTGCTAGTAGGGAGTAAAATTAAGGGAACAGGCCAGTGCCAGTATCAGTGAGTCAAGAAATAAACAGGTCTGGCCTTGTAGCAGTCAATCTGGAAGCAGAAAAGTTCAATGCAATAGCAACCAGTAATTAATAGGGAGATGAGGGCAGGGCAGTTTTATTAGTTGGTAGTCTAAAGGGCAGCAAGCCAGGGCTGGCAACAGGAAAACTGGGGAGGGGGGGGGAGTAGGTCAGTGCCAGCAGCAGTGAGCCTGTTGGGGAGAAGGACAGCACTGGCAGCAGTGAGCCTGGAGAGGAGCAGGTCAGTGCCGGCAGCAGTGAGCCTGGAGAGGAGCAGGTCAGTGCCGGCAGCAGTGAGCCTGGAGAGGAGCAGGTCAGTGCTGGCAGCAGTGAGCCTGGAGAGGAGCAGGTCAGTGCTGGTAGCAGTGAGCCTGGAGAGGAGCAGGTCAGTGCTGGTAGCAGTGAGCCTGGAGGGGAGCAGGTCAGTGCCCGCAGCAATGTCTGGAGAGGAGCAGGTCAGTGCCGGCAGCAGTGAGTCTGGAGGGGAGCAGGTCAGTGCCGGCAGCAGTGAGCCTGGAGAGGAGCAGGTCAGTGCCGGCAGCAGTGAGCCTGGAGAGGAGCAGGTCAGTGCCGGCAGCAGTGAGCCTGGAGAGGAGCAGGTCAGTGCCGGCAGCAGTGAGCCTGGAGAGGAGCAGGTCAGTGCTGGCAGCAGTGAGCCTGGAGAGGAGCAGGTCAGTGCTGGTAGCAGTGAGCCTGGAGAGGAGCAGGTCAGTGCTGGTAGCAGTGAGCCTGGAGAGGAGCAGGTCAGTGCCGGCAGCAGTGAGCCTTGAGGGGAGCAGGTCAATCATGGAGTGAGCTTTGGTTGGTGTGTGTGACCCCTCTGCTTTTTTGTTTGGATATTTAGGTTTGTCACAGGCTGGTTCAGTCCTTACCACCGGAAGCGGAAAATTGTTCATCCAATAATGGTGCAGCAGATCCAGCCAGAGGCGATAAGGTAAAATCTTAATTGTTGTTCTGTTAGCAGAAAACAAAGCTTTCTTGGACATGTAGTTCAGCTATTAGCTTTGTACTTATAATTGCTGTTAGCCGATGTACAACTCCCAGAAACAGGGCTGGATTTAGCCTCTTTGCTGCACCAAGGCCAGTTTCCTCCATACCCCATCGCTGGCCCATTGTACATACATACATATTATATACACAGTATGTACCTGTCATTAATGAACAGCAAGGGAAATAAGATGTGAGAGCTCCTCCGCAATACAACGTACAGAAATGTACAGTGTTTAAGTGTATGACAGAGCCCCAATGCAATAAAACTGGCTGAGAGTGATGTATGTGAAGGCTGTATTATGACTTCAGGCAACTACACATTTTATTATTTAATTTAAAAAATAAAATAAAAAGTGGTCATGCAAAAACTACAACTAAATAAATTTTGCCAAAACCTAGAAAATGCATAAAAGCTGCATTGGTGCCTGGAGTGAACACTCATGGTTTTCTAACATTCTCCATGTGCAGCATGGGCATAGGAACCCCCACAAATCTGGGAGGGATAGCATTCTTACTTGCCGGGTATATTCTTATTCAGTAAACTGGGAGTTGTTTATCCCATTGTACAGCGCTACGGAATTTGATGGCGCTATGTAAATAATAATAATAATGTTACATTTTAAGTGTGTGACATAATATGTGAAGCATATCAGTGTATCGCATAGCTCCACAGCAATACAACTGACAGTAATGTGTGAGGTGCAAGTACATCACAGAACACCTCAGCAATAAAATGCATGGGAAAGTGCAGTGTGTGAGTGTATCACAAGCTCTACAGCAAAATAACTCTCAGGAACGTGCAGTTTGTGAGCGTATTACAGATCACCTCATCAATACAATGCACAGGAATGTACAGTGTTTGAATAAATATCAGCCAACCCAATGTGTGGCAAAACACTGCACTTCAACAATCAGCATCTCCTCACAAAGATGCGTTGAATCAATGCATTTCTATGAGGAGTGTTCAGCGTGAATGCTAGTGCTTCACGTTGTGCAACACAGGACTAGGAAGCACCTCTAGTGGCCGTCTGATAAGGTATTCCTCGGCAGTAATGTAAATACTGCCTTTTTCTGAAAAAGGCAGTGCGCTTACATTAAAATGCCTGCAGAGACATGCTATAAGCACCAAAACTACAACGTTTAGCCGTTCTGGTTCTGGTAACTATAGTGTCACTTGAATATAGAGGGGGAAAAAGAATCATCACAAATGTATGAAATTAAAATGTCTATCATTATTCTAAAAAAATATATATATTTTTTTTTAAACGGAAAAAAAAACCTATGCACATTCCTAGCTCGATTTTGTAGCACAAACCCTGACACAAACATTTGTACTTTGCAGATTACTTTTTATATTTTTTTAATACATATACAGACTGTGTAATACTGCCCCTTAACCCCCACCAACCAGCACATAAATTAGCACAAATGTATGATGTAAAATGGCTGTATCATTATTCAAAAAATAAAAAAGCACAACTACTGACACAAATATTTTGTATTTACAAATAAAAAAAATATTTTTGTAAACAATGTGCAGATAGTACTGTACTAATGATATCCCTGGCTGGATAGGAGCATTCCATGTGCTCAGTATGGCATCCCTGGCCGGATGGGAGTATTCCATGTGCTCAGTATGGCATCCCTGGCCGGATGGGAGTATTCCATGTGCTCAGTATGGCATCCCTGGCTAGATGTGAGCATTCCATGTGCTCAGTATGATATCCCTGGCCAGATGTGAGCATTCCATGTGCTCAGCATGGTATCCCTGGCTGGATATGAGCATTCCATGTGCTCAGTATGGCATCCCTGGCTGGATAGGAGCATTCCATGTGCTCAGTATGGCATCCCTGGCTGGATGTGGGCATTCCATGTGCTCAGTATGGCATCCCTGGCTAGATGTGAGCATTCCATGTGCTCAGTATGGCATCCCTGGCCGGATGTGAGCATTCCATGTGCTCAGTATGGTATCCCTGGCTGGATGTGGGCATTCCATGTGCTCAGTATGGTATCCCTGGCTGGATGTGGGCATTCCATGTGCTCAGTATGATATCCCTGGCTGGATGTGAGCATTCCATGTGCTCAGTATGGTATCCCTGGCTATATGTGAGCATTCCATGTGCTCTGTATGGCATCCCTGGCTAGATGTGAGCATTCCATGTGCTCAGTATGGCATCCCTGGCTAGATGTGAGCATTCCATGTGCTCAGTATGGCATCCCTGGCCGGATGTGAGCATTCCATGTGCTCAGTATGGTATCCCTGGCTGGATGTGGGCATTCCATGTGCTCAGTATGGTATCCCTGGCTGGATGTGGGCATTCCATGTGCTCAGTATGATATCCCTGGCTGGATGTGAGCATTCCATGTGCTCAGTATGGTATCCCTGGCTATATGTGAGCATTCCATGTGCTCTGTATGGCATCCCTGGCTAGATGTGAGCATTCCATGTGCTCAGTATGGCATCCCTGACTAGATGTGAGCATTCCATGTGCTCAGTATGGTATCCCTGGCTGGATGTGGGCATTCCATGTTCTCAGTATGATATCCCTGTCTAAATGTGAGCATTCCATGTGCTCAGTACGGTATCCCTGTCTAGATGTGGGCATTCCATGTGCTCAGTATATCCCTGGCTGGATGTGGGCATTCCATGTGCTCAGTATGGTATCCCTGTCTAGATGTGAGCATTCCATGTGCTCAGTATGACATCCCTGGCTGGATGTGAGCATTCCATGTGCTCAGTATGACATCCCTGGCTAGATGTGAGCATTCCATGTGATCAGTATGATATCCCTGGTTAACCCCTCTATCCACCCGTCCCTAATCGTTTCCCCTCCAACCACCTAGCCTCCTAACCCCCATAAAACAAGTAATATATCTTCTTGTACTTACAGTACTGAAGACTCCAGCAGTGCTCTGGGCTCAAGGTTCAGGGCTGAAAGCGCAAGGCGCAGCTCTGCAGTTGTAGGAGACCGGGGCTCACCCTAGCGTTGCCGTGACTCCACATGACATCATGGAACGCGCATACGCAGAGGGCAAGGGAGGTCGGGAGGAGGAGCAAACAAAGTCCTTTACTATGCGGCGATGCCGAATAGTGGAGGATTCAATCAGATCAGGATTTGAGAGGGAACATTTTTAGCATATTATTGTGGGCAGCGGGGCTCAAGAGGCAGCTGCCTTGGGCCCCCCAGGAGCAACTGGGCCCGGGGCAGCTGCCCCTTTTGCCCCATGTTAATGGCTGCCCTGTGACCACATTTCCTAACTGCCATTTAGGGACACTTACTACCCCCTCTACCCCTTCCATTCATATTACTACACTATCCCTTCCGTTCATATTACTACCCACCCCCCCATATCCCATACCCCTTCCGTCCATATTACTACCCCCCCCATAACCCTTCCGTCCATATTACTAACCCCCCATACCCCTTCCGTCCATATTACTAACCCCCCATACCCTTTCCGTCCATATTACTACCCCTACCGTTCATATTACTACCCCCCCATACCCCTACCATTCATATTACTACCCCCTATACCCCTTCTGTTCATATTACTAACCCCCATACCCCCGTTCCGTTCATATTACTACCCCCATACCCCTTCCGTTCATATTACTACCCCCATACCTGTTCCGTTCATATTACTACCCCTCCTATTCATATTACTACCCCCACAGCCCCACCCCCTCTAGTCATATTAGTAGCCCCCTTACCCCCTTCATTCAGATTATTAGCCCCCTCCATTTATATTTGTACCCCTCCTACCCCCCTCCATTCATATTAGTACCCCCTTCTACCCCTATTGGTACCCTTCCACCCCCCTCCATCCCTATTAGTAGCCCCTAACCCCTTCCATTCATTTTACTACCCACCCCCCTCCCCAAATTATATCTCCCCTCTAACACTTCCATACTAAATACCTGGCAGGGCAGGCAGCTGCTTTTTTTCAGAGCCGGCGTCTGAGCTTATAATGACGCCGGCTCCACTCTCCCCCTTGCACACTGTTGTTCAAACGGCGCATGGTGTCAGACTGAGCGCCAGGTAGTCACGTGACACCCGGCGCTCCTATGCAGAGGGGGAGGCGCTCCCCCTCCCAGTGTACAGTTCCATTATGGAGCCGCACGCAGCCTGTCAGGGGGAGGGCAACCATCAGTTGTCAGTCTGACAAGTGATTTTTGCGCTCCCCTTCGGCCGGCGGACCTAGGGGCGATTTCTGCATTATCTGTGTGTCCCCCGGATGATTTCCTGGGGGGGATGCGTCCTACGACCGTGATGTGCAGGCACGGTAGTTTATGCCAAGAGATTGTGTAACTTTAGATTAGCTGGACGGGCAGTTTATGGGCAAAGTGCTGGACTTTAGGTGCCAGGAGAACCTTGTTTTTTTTTTTTTTGTCAAAGTGCATACAGTTTCTACAGAGTAGATGGTACCCAAAAACATTTAGAGTATTGCAATAATCAGTAGTAGTGTATAGCGTCCCTTTAATTGTACTTAATGATATTTCATCAACCTCTACTCAATGGAATCTTTTGATCCTGGGATTTGAACAGTTGCTATAATTTGTGCATTAATCAGCTAAGCTATAAACAATAAGTCAGCCTCTCACAGTTAAACCACAAATACATAAAATTGTACTATTTTTTTATTTTTTTTGTGATTAGTTTTTTTCTAACAATAGCAATTCATCTGCTGACAGTGCAACCATTGTGAAACAAGTAGGAAAAAATAAATGAACAGAAGTATGCAACTTAAACATGACTTGCCCTTCCTCAGCCTCCTGTCAAGATGGACGCCAGTAATGGAAGCAGTACAGGCAGCGTTGCTTAGTATCTATCCCATGAGTACAGCTGAGGAATGGATGGAAGAGTATGCACTGCCATGTTTCCTGGAAATTCAGGAACTTGTGAACGACTTGAACACTGCTCTGGGGAACGTAGAGTAGATCAGTACTCTCTACCGTCAACCAGTAGCGGAGCCTTCAAATTTAATGATTAAATCTATTCACACTCCTTGATTTATTTTATTTCTTTTTTTTTACATTCTGCACCTTTTTCATAGGAACAATCTACAAAAAACTATATTCAAAATTAAACCAAAAAAGTTCCAAGAGAGATTTCATCTGATCACTTTATAAAGTACTGTTTGTTACTCTACTCAAACATGCTATAGGTCAGGTGTAGGCAACTTTCTGCATTCCAGATTGTACAGACTACATCTACCATAATGCTGGCAATGCATCAGGGGAGATGTATTTCACAACATCTGGTGTGCCGAAGGTTTGCCTACTATTGAGAGAGATAGAGAGATAGATATATATATATATATATATATATATATATATATATATAAACGAGGGCTTGCACTCCTGGTGTAATCCTGTGGTGCCTGGTGCTGGTCTGGCAAGGATCATGTAGACATAGCAGAAATGACCGCACTCCAAGGACTCCATGTGGGAGCTGAAATGTTGACTTTTTAAATGGATTGAATAAAAGTTACATTTTATTTGAAAATCTCTATAAAGTCCTTGGAGTGCGGTCATTTCTGATAGATAGATATAGATATATCTATCTATTTTAATTATACTGGATGCGCTTTTTGCATTTGAGAAAGCTCTCATCTCCAAGCAGTTAGAGTTGCTAGTTATTACGTTCCTGAGTTAATGTCTAAAGATTTTACTTAACTGTGAAATGTACCTGCTGCAGAGCAGGTGGCAAATTCTGTCCCATTTACAAAGCCAAGAGTGAGTCAGTAGTTACATGTGATCTGCAAAGGTCTTCCACCTTACACATGGACTATCGTTAGAAAAACAGAGCATCTGAACATTACATGGCAGGAGATGGCTGTAAATCATTTGAACGCTATCTGTACAGATGTTTGAGGCATAGACCAGAAGAAAAAAAAGCCAGAATTAATCATTGTATAATACTTTATTCACTGTATAAAACCAGTTGCAACTACACCTGGGGTGTGTATTGTTTGCAATAGAAGTAACAAAGCTTTGTTAAAAGCATATTATAAATACAAAAGTACATAGTAGAAAAAAATAATATGCTGATTGAAGTTTGGACAGTACAAGACCATGTATTTATTTAAAGAAGGGGGAAAGGAAAAGTTTTTTTTGTTTTTTATAAATGCATCTTTAAAAAGGGAACTGTCACATCTGGACGGTACACCTTTCAATAAAACATTGCAAATCACCTACAACTTTTGTTAAAGTTTTCTTCATTAGATGTCCAATTGTCTTTAAAATTTAAATAGAGGATTTACCAAATGATATAATAAAGCAGGTTAAACAAAGCAAAGCTAGGATAAACATTGCAAGTAAGAACAAACAGAAACTTTATTTTTTTTTCCTGACTGATTGCCAGGTGCAAAGCACAGACTCTGAACCAATGGCAGGGAGATGAAGGTGTCCAGTTGCAGGAAAAAGGTGTGGATTTCTACATTAAATTTTATTTTGCACACCTCACAACTACTAATTTGTTGTTAAATACAGGAATAGATTAGAGACATAATACTAAAAACAGAAAGTGGCAATTCCCCTTTAAGAGAATACCTGCCATGTCCGTATACTGCAAGACATATTGCTGGCAAAGAAGCCAAACTGCATACAGTAAATATGCACTGCGTCTAATAATGTTGTTGGACTACAACTTCCATAATTCTCGGTAAGTAAACGGAAATCGCCGTCATACAGAGTTTCGGTATTTTGTAATCTAAAAATGCATCTTCGAATTAATGATTAACGTTTCTCATTTCTGGTGAAATTTTAACCGGATAATAAATCTACGGTTAGAAGTGCTGTGTTTTTATTTCTTTTTTTAAAGATTGCAGCTGCCCATTTCAGCACAGATGCAATTAGGGATCTACCCCAGAGCTTTTTGATTGAGCATCCATTGAAAATTCCTATTTGGCTGCTCATCAAGTGAAATTCACTTTATTAGAAAGAACATGTGCATTTTGTTACCCTTGTAGAGGATAATTAATTACTTTGACAATTCGTTAGATTTTTGGTTTAAAAGAATATAATTGCAGAAAGCAGTTATAAAAAGCAGTGTGTCTCAGAAGTAGCTACCGACTTTGTTTTTAGCATCATCACTATGTTAAATAAACACACTAAGTCTTTATTTTGCTGCATTACTTTATATATACATAACAAATCCATTCTAATACTCAGTACCATGGTGTACTTAATGTTCCACAGATACAGTAAGTCCTTAAGTGGCAGATCTGTGAACATATGATAATGATGCACATTGTATTTGTGCAAGGCTAATTCTAGATAATTGCCCTTTAAAACACGAGTGAGGGAAAGGTGATCTGGCATTATGTCAAGACTGGTGGAGTACCTAAAGGGATTTATTCCCAAAACACCAACACTTTAGTTAACTAATAAATCAAATTGAAATAGGTAAACCAAAATAGATATGGAAAAATTCTCCAACCGGAATCACAGCACATCTAGTTTGGTCTTAATTTTGCAATTCTGTTTCTAACTCACGGTTTACTTAATAAACTCTGTTGATCAAAACATACACAGAAAATAAAGCCTCTGTTCGTCTCAGTCAAAGTTCACCCAGATTACGACCGGCAAGTCACAGTGACGGGGGAATTTCTGGGACCTTCTTAGGAATGTTAACATTTTATGACGTACTTGATCCCAAAGAAAATGCAGTATTTTGGAATGAAAGCTCTAAAACAAATATACATCCTACAGTATACTTGGGCTTAATAAATAAAGTAAAAAAAACACAGACATACAAAATGTAGTCAAGGAGTGTATGCACCTTTTAACGATAAGGGGGTAACAAATGCATGACTGATCTCCCAAATTTTACTAAACAATGGATTCACCCCAAATACCGTTTTTACATTGCAAAATGGTATGAACATTTCTATAATTCTATCTCCAGTACCTGTGAGTATAATATAAGTACTGTGCATATAAGCAATACATAAGGTTCAAGTACCTTTGAGAGCTTACTCCCAATCAAGTAATAAGTCTCATAATAATCAAGTAAAGATACAATGCATGGTGCAGTTTCCTGCATTGGTCTTAAATAGTGGCCATTCTTTATGACCTATTTGGTTAGTGGAAGTCTATTGAGATACCTTCACCTGTTGTTTTTTTTGTTTTTTAAAGCAGTTGGATGGGTACAACCAATCCATAAGGGGTGCAGCATTGATGCCAATCTCGTCCTCTATAATCAGCTCTTGTTTTCACAGATCAAGCAAGTGTTCTGATTTTCTTTTCTTCCCAAAAATCTTTTTACACGGTAATAAACCCAATGAATTCCTAAAAAACAAAAATCAGTTGTACCAAAAATGTAAATCATGGAAACCACTAAGGCACTTTGAAGCTTGATCGGTCTTTAACCACAGGGGAAAAAATAATGTGCATCTTAATAAAGGGGTATTCTTTGGACTATGAGCAAATGGTGGTTTCGACCTGAGAATGGGAAAAGGTCAGTGGGATCCAAAGAAAATCAACACAAAAGGGTCAAACAGAGAAAAGTATTGTGTCTATGATATCACAGGACGGATAGCACTAGTGTGCTTCTTGACGACATACATATGTCTGACTAGGTTGACATCAGGATATACCAGTAGCAGTACTGGTTTGTGTTGTTTTTAAAAATAAATTTAAAAAAATAGGTATGCCTTGGGCTGCAAGCCCATGTGGTTGATGGACTGGCATCCCACTCACTCTGGGTCAATACTATTCTTCTTTGGCTAGGTCTTCCACCTCACTATCACTGCTCTCTTGCTCAGCTAAGGTTTTCAGCACAGCCATGTCCAATTCAAGGAAATTTGTCAGTAGTTTGGCCACAGCTTCAACATCACTGAAAGAGATAACAGATTGAAGAATTAGCAGAGCTGCACTGATGATGAACATTGTATCACCTTTATCATAATGTGGATCTCTTACCCTCTAGATCCAAGTACAGCGCTCTGTGTTAGAGGATGTGAAATTCCAGTCAAAAAGCGGAGGACAATCACATATCCCTTGCCAAAGTATCGGACTTTTTCTTCCTCAACATTGACGTCTCGGATCTCATTTAGTTTCACAACAACTAGAATTAAACGAGAAAATACACACCTAAACAGCAAGTCTAGCTTCTAGATGTAACAATTCCATGTCCCATACGGAGCCTCCTTTTTTCCTGGTAATTGCAACCCCCTGTTAAAAGAACACTTAACCCCTTAAGGACACATGACATGTGTGCCATGTCATGATTCCCTTTTATTCCAGAAGTTTGGTCCTTAACGGGTTAAGCACCATAACTACTACAGCCGGTTGTAGATTGCTGCCAGGAGTACCCTGAAGCAACACTAGACTAAGTAGGCTGCAGACAAGAGATCTAACATGTTTGCAAGCTGTTTCTAGATATACTATGAAAATATATATAAATGATTGTATGTGTTTTAATGGGAGTATATGTACTAAACAGTGCTTTTAATTTATTTGGGTGGTGCAGTGCCTGTTAAAACAGTTTGACTGCTCACTCTGGGAAGGCATCAGGGACTGACCAGCAGGCTATAGTGATTATGGTACCTGAAGTGTTTAAACTAATAAAAATATTGCATCAATATTAGAATATTACATAAATAAATTCTCAATTTTTACCTTGCTCCTGGCCTCCTCTGCATAAGGTTAGCAATTTTTTATATAAGTTGAATGTTTTCAGAATAGCCTTTCCCGACTTTTTATCAAATAATGCTTCCTGTTGAGAGCACAATATACCGTCAGATAATAGCTTGTGTTAAATGTAAGTTTCTAGCAACATTGTATTTTAAAAGTTTTTTTTTACACAATTTAATAGTAGGCAAATGAGGATGCGACAGAGAGAGGACAGTGAGGTTTGTGAAAATATGATTGGAAATATAAAGCTAACATAATAATAATAATAATAATAATAAAATTCACTTTTCAGCTCCCTACCATAAAGCAATGTTATCCATCTTCTAGTCCTCAGGGCACGGCAATGGGGAAGCTATAACCCAGACTGCGGGTGGATTGGTCTTTGATTTCCCTAAAACACTGTACCTGACCCCACAAAAAAAAAAAAAAGGAGAATATTGCTTCTCCCAATATTTACAGATCCCTAGCAAACCAATGGAAAATACCCTCAATGCAGTAAAGGTGCAGATCAGACAGCATAGTTAAATTCAATGTCCGGCCACAGTTGCTCTGTATACTACACCATTAAAAATACAGGGGCCTATTCATTAAAGGGGTGTATTCTAATAATCTCCATATAACTTGACATTTTTGGCAATTCACAACAAAATCTTCATTTCAGAGGTCTAATTCCCCTGATATAGATCAGGGAAATTTCAACACTAACTCAATGCAACTCATCCCAAGTAAATTTAATGTTACCAAAAATCCCTCGGACCCTATAATGATACCCTATTCAAAAATGTACACCTAAAGATGTTCTATGGTACCTTATCCTTCCCTTCTAATATGCAAACATGACTGATACTTGGTCACTAATTAATCTATTTTCAGATAGATCTCACAGTAGAAATGAAATGCATTTGAAAATATCGTAAACCCATTGGGCTTAATTTTAGTTAGCATTCCGTTGTCATCAAATACAGTGAAGCTTAGAGTTCTATCAAAGGAACACTTGAGAATGGAGCAGAAAGAAAGTGAATGGGCCATGTAGTCATTCAAAAATTACAAATATATTGCAAAACCAACTGGCAATGTAGCTCGTCCCCCTTGTCACCCACTTTTAAAATGAAGCAGGAGATGTCTAAAGGGAAACATTAACCCTAACTTAAATCAGGGGAAACATACTGCTCTCCACTACATGTCTATGGTTACAGCAGTGTGCATGTGCAAGGAGAGAGGTGTCTATAGTTTTATATTCAATAGAGGGTTAAAATGAAGTTTCTTACGTAAGTTGAAAAGACCCAGCATCCGTTAATGAATCCCCATGAGCGAATCTGTCAGTGCTGTTCTATATAACTCCATCTGCTAATGAATCAAGCTTCCCCCTTCCTCATGGGATTTTTTAAAAATATGTTTGCATAGAAAATCATATTATAGGTTTTACAGTATTACTTCATACTAATTGAAAAGGAATAACATTCTGAAATGCTTTTACAGTAACAGACGTAGTGCCACGTAACTTCTTGCCCTACATCGTACATGACTTAAAGATATTACGAAATGCAGAATGATGTAAGAAAAACCCACCTCCCAATCTTCCATGTTTTGAATAGCCACAAATATACATCCAGCTATATAGAACATCTTCCAAGCCCATGTGTCTGGTAGAAGAAAGGGGAATAAAAAAAATATTAAAATTGATAAAATATAAAATTATTCTGAAGATACATGCTCAAATCCCCCATTATCATTACTATAACCATTTTATAGGACCGTTTAAAAGGTAATCAAATTATTTATTTTCAAGATTTAAGGTTTGGTCAGTTATTACATTCAGGATAAAGCAGGCTGGACAGCTGGACAACACTACGTTGTATGCATATTTATTTCTGTTGCCATATTTATTTCTGTTGCTTCTAATGTGTGTTTTTCTGTCCCTACCTCACGTAAGGAATGAAATCTGCTAGCAGGGACACCACGGGAACGTTATATATACTAGCTGTCATCATATTAAGACTTTGTCTGCACTAACTGCACCTGGATTGTAGTCCTTTCAAAACACGAAAGAAAATCTAAACATTCTCAGGGATCAGGGATCGCCAACAGGGACCACAATCCCCACAACAGTCATCCACTATTCAGATGCCATAAAGCAAATATTTGTTCCTTAACCGCTTAAGGACCAAACTTCTGGAATAAAAGGGAATCATGACATGGCACACATGTCATGTGTCCTTAAGGGGTTAAACAAGAGTTCTCTGGGAACAGTAACAACAGTCAATATCTGGTCCCTCAACACTTCCATAATGGAGTGTTAAACAGTAGTTGATAGCCAGAGGACGCCCAACAATTCCACTCATCCAGAGCTGAAATTATCATGCATATATATGTATAATGGGATATTTGGCTATTGTTGGTTTCAAGTGGCTCTGTCACTATTTCAATAATTTATAAAAACATAACATCTTTATGAAAAACTCAAGGTGACTGCGTTAGAATGTCACTGAAATTTCAAAGCAATCAAAAATATAAGACTATTAGATGGGGGCTACTTTGTTTTCTGGGCAAAGCCCAAGTTAAAATAAAATATATCACAAAAAAGGCAGAAGGCCAGTCCCTCTGGGCTTTTTTGAAAGCTTATTGTTTGCTATTACTAGTGGATGTGTATATATTGCATTATGGAATTTCTCACTTTTTCTTTCCTTATTTTATTCATTTTTTTGGTCCCACTTCCATTTTCTAGATTATCCTTGGTTTTCTACTAAAGGGCTCACTTCCCCATCCCTCAGTGTTAATGAGCACTGTCGTACTATCTAATTTGCAGCGGCTCATGTCTACTTCTGGGAGATACAGGGAAATACGAAATATGAGCTACGTCGTTTTCACAACTCTGTTCATTAACACAATGTAAATTCATTCTGAAAACGAATACTTTCCTTTTCTGCAGCAACTCCACCTTTATTTTAGGAAATCTTTTCATTCTTGGTATATTTCAATAACACATACTAAAACTTGGTTGGATTCCATGGGTTATGACACCTACTGACTCAAGTCCTTTTTTTTTTTTATTTTTATTTTTTTTTTAAAGCAGATCAGTGTCAATTTTCTAAGTAACCCAATAAAAGTAGTCTGAATCGGCAATTTCTTAAAACATTTAGGAGGCCCCTAATTCATTTAATACTTTAAATGGATTTCAATCGATGCTTTTCCCTGAACTGGAAAATAATCTGAAAAAAATGCCTAGAAGGAAAAAGGAAGAAAACATACCTGTACTGTAATATGCTGCAGCCAAACCAACAGAAGATATTCCTGCCAAAAAATATATATTTATATATTATTTTTTAAAAATATGAAGAACCAGCACACTCGTTCGTTTAAATCAGGGACACAAATACTTTGCTGTGGACTACTTTCATGATGCTGTGCATCTGGCTTTCAGGAATTTGTTTTCCCAAGCACCAACACAACTGTCATGCCTTTTATGGCTTCTGGCCCATGTCGGGGCTCGTGTCCTGGCTCCTGGATGTTTGTCAGTCCGTTCAGCCACCTTAAACAGGAGGCTGTGAGTAATTGAGGCGGCGGCGAGTTGTCATCTTCCTGCTGTAATACCACTAGCCGGGATATGGCGTTACTCCGGCACCGGCATCACTAAACGATGCGAGGGAGCAGAGCAAGAAGAGTTTGAAGATACAGGATCACAGCAGCCAAGCTGGACCTCAGGGAAAGGATCCACTCCAGTTCTCTCAGAGGTAGGGAGGCCGGTTGGACTTAAATTAAAATAAAGCAAAATCATTTGTGAGAGATTGTGTGTGTGTGGATCGTTGGTCGGTGATTGCCTTTTGGAATAAGCAATGCTGAGGTCGACAGTGCAAGGTGTGGGAAATGGCACCAAAAAAAGAATTTAAAAAGTATCTTTTATCTTTATTTTTCAATAAATACTTTTTGCATGTGAATGGACAAAAAAACAAACAAACAAAAAAAGAATAATAAGAAATGGTCAAATAGCATGAAGCTTGCCTTACAAATACACTGGTTACATTATGTCACATCAAGGATTAAAAAAGAAACACTCCAAGCACCATAATCACTGCAGTGCGCTTTAGTGGTTATGATACCAGGTGTGCCCTGGCACTCCCCAATGTAAGCAAACTATTTGCAAACGGTTTGACTAATTAGCAGGGACTTGCTGGGTGCCGTGATCTCGTCAATAAGAGACGGAAGATCTCTTCGCTGATTGGCTGAGAGAGATCAGCTGACACTCTCAGTCGATGAGCTAGCCCTACACAGTCCAGGAGAGCTAAGGGAAACTCCATGCAGGAGCTTCCTGCTCTTAGAGGATGAGGTGACTAGCACCTGGTGGAACCCAGTTAAGTTGTCAAGCCATTAGAAAACTATTTGACTGATTAACCTGGAATGGTGCCAGGGTACTCTGTGTACCATAGCTATTACAACACACTGTAGTGATTATGTCGTTTCTTTACTACAGGCCAGATCCACCAACCCTATAATCACACTCCCATGTTAAATATGAGGAAGATGAAAAAGTATTACACAATAACATCATCGGCAGTAATCAACGTGCAGATTGTACACTGGAGCATACATGAAATACATATATATATTTACAATTAAACTCCTTTGTGAGATTTAAAAAAAATGCTTCTGGTGAACTTGAAGAGTCTTCAATCCAAACTCATTTAATTACAATTTACGTGAAAATAACTTAAGATCCTAAAAAAAATGAGCAGATTTTAAAAAATATGATCAGGTTTAAATGGTTAATTAAATAATGTGGTTATCTGGCTTCACTAACTCATTGACATGCACAAGCAAGTAAACTACTCCACAGTGGGCCAAAGGAGATATCAAAATACATATGTATAAAAAAAATCCTGGAGGAACATTATGAATGAATCAAATGCCTACTTAATAATGGAATTGTAGTGAATTGAAACATTTAGGCTGTAGTAGTCAAACTGTGACTGTTGCGGATTTTGGGAATTTTCCATTAGTTCATTTCACCTACATTTTGTGATTTGGTTCTCTATCCACTACAATTCAGGGTTTTTGTTAAAGAAAAATTCAGTCAAAATCAAATTGGGGAGCTGGAAGGGGAAAAAGTTAAAGGACCACTATAGTGTCAGGAAAACATACTCGTTTTCCTGGCACTATAGTGCCCTGAGGGTGCCCCCACCCTCAGGGTCCCCCTCCCGTCTGGCTCTGGGGAAAGGAAGGGGTTAAAATCTTACCTTTCTCCAGCGCCGGGCGGAGAGCTCTCCTCCTCTCCGCCTCCTCCTCTTCGGCTGAATGCGCATGCGCGGCAGGAGCTGCGCGCGCATTCAGCCAGTCTCATAGCAGTTTCTCTGAAACTGCTATGTTTATTAAAAAAAAAAAAAAAAAAGGGGGTTAACCCTAGCTGGACCAGGCACCCAGACCACTTCATTAAGCTGAAGTGGTCTGGGTGCCTATAGTGGTCCTTTAATCCTTCCAACAGTTTAGGCAATACGTCTATAATGTTTTGCCATACTCAAGGTTGGTAAAGTACCATGGTATTTGAAATTATACAGCTAGACATTTGCCTTCTAATCACCCCAGGTCTGTGTAGAATTTCTAATATTCGGTGGACTTTCCTGTCATTCTCTTAAATGACTACTTATACAAATAGTGATGGCAAATGACTCACCAACAAGCAGGGACCATGATCGGATGCTGGGATTCCTCTTTAAATGCAATAAGGTTCCCGTGTGACCCTCCACCTGCATATACATGTTCGATTCTGAAAGAAGCACGGAAACAAGGATAGATGACACGCGCAAAAAGAGACAAACAATTTATTAAAAAAAAAAAAAACCTAACAAACGGAAGACGACAAGAAATAGCCCAGGGAGCAGAAAGGAAGAGAGACCGCAAAATAATTAGAGAACAAGAGAATGTGTGTGACACGGACCAAAAAAAAAAAGTGACTAAGCACAGGAAGAAAAAAAGAGGAAGGGGTAAAAAGGAAGAATATAATAAAAATAGAATATGGGGTGAGAGTGAAGCAGAGAGACTGCTTAGCAGTACATGGAGATAAGATGCAGCTATCATCACAATGATGTTTTTTTTAACATGTTTAAATAATATACTACAGTATATACATTGTCACAAGGCTTTCCTTAAAAAGCTAACTGGGAGAGCAGATGGTGAAATAAAATAAAAGAGGAAGTATCAAACTGAAATGGAATGTCTGACATGTACACTCAAGTTTAACCCTTTACTAAACAAAGGGTTACATTAAATATATTCAGCAACTTCTTGTACCACAGATCTAAATACAATTTCTTCTGTGGTTATATTTTTACATTTTCTCCAGAGTTTGTCTCTAAAAGAAATATGGCTTGTTTTATTATTTTAGAGGGATTTACACTGCTGGATACTTTTAACCCCTTAAGGACCAAACTTCTGGAATAAAAGGGAATCATGGCATGTCACACATGTCATGTGTCCTTAAGGGGTTAAACTACTTTTGATCTTTGAGCCAAACTTTGCAGATGTTAGTGTCTCCCATACAGAGTTATCTAGTTATAAAATTACTTTTTATAGTAATAGTTTGGGGGGGAGCTCCACCCTTAGTGAGGGAATGATGAAGATCAGACACAATGTATCTCCAGCACTGAGTTCCATTCACTCTCTGAGTTCTATTATAAAGTTACAATGTATCCAAAGCAGGCAGGTGATAAGACAGACACATACATACCTGTCCCTCCTCTATTGTCTGCCTGGATAGGAGGAGCTGCACTTCCTGTACACAGAGCCTCAAGCCCGGGGCATGATGGGACCTTGGAGGACTCAATAAGTTATTTACCTTTTCCTGACTTGCTGTCTCTGACCGCTAGAGGCCGCTGTAGCTGTACAGCAGTAGCTGGAATGAACAAATGAATACAGGCTCATATTGCTCATCAAAGCTCTTATTGTCATGTTTTATGCAGTTTCCATAGCTCCCAAGTGTCCCTTATTTATTTGGACAGTCCCTATGTTTGGCCCAAATCCCTCTTTTCTAGTCGCTCCTTTATTGTTGGAGAGTCTGAGTGTATAACAGAGTTCCACAGCAATAATACTCCCAGTAATGTGTCTGAGTGTATAACAGAGCTCCACAGCAATAATACTCCCAGTAATGTGTCTGAGTGTATAACAGAGCTCCACAGCAATAATACTCACAGTAATCTGCCTTCAAACTACAATAAATGTGTTTAGAAATCAGTCTGTGTAAACAGTGATGTATCTTCCGCGAGGCAAACAAGGCATTTGCCTTGGATGGCACGGCACTTTGCAGGGAGAAGCCAAAAAAGCCACCCCAAACGCCCAGGCAGATTCCTTGTTTGCCTCGTGTCCTGGGGGGCTCAAGAGCTGGCCACTTTTGAGCCCTCCCCCAGGCGGGCGGCGGGCAGTGAGGGAGCATGCTCACCTGAGATCTTCCTGCTCAGCACCCTTGCACGACGCTTAATGAAGCCAGGAGCCGGAATATGACTTCACTCCGGCACACAGCATCACAAAGCAGCGCACGAGGGAGCTAAGCAGGAAAATCAGAGCTCCCTCGCTGCCTACTTAGCCTGTCCGCCCACGCAGCAGCCCCACTGGACCGCAAGTAAGTAATCCACTCCAGCTCTCCCGGGGCGGCTGGGTGGATTTAAATTAAAATTTAAAAAAATAATAATAATTTGTGAGTGTTGGTGGAAATGTGTGTGTGTTGGTCAGTGAATGTGTGTGTCGGTCAGTGAGGGTGTATTTGTGTGTGTCCGAGTAATAGTGTGTGTCTATCAGTGTGTCAGATCAATGAGTGTGTGTGTATGTCATTGTTTGTCAGTGTGAATGAGAGTGCGTGTCTGTCAATGAGTGTGCGTCTGTCAGTGAGTGAGCATCTGTCAGTCAAAGTGCGGCCTTGACAGGAAGGGGTGTGGAAAATTTAAATTAGAGGGGTGGCCGAGCACCGTCCTGCCTAGGGCAGCACAAATCCTAAATACACCACTGTGTGTAAATAAGATACATTGCTCTTGTTCTAAATTACAGTTTACTTGTTTATATTGGTACTAGTAAGTCACCTAGATTCTCTGTCCACCCACACTCAACTCCGAAAAGTATAGTGTCCCTATTTTGTCTATTTAAAATGTTGGGTATAAATTCTAGATCACTAATTTCAGAGCTATAGAAAATAGAAAATTTGCTTCATACTCACGATATTTTCTTTTCCCGTATGTATGCCATGGCAGCACTACAGACGGGTATAGCACCGCACCCTTCTAAACTGGACAGGAACACCTCCTAATTAAAACAATAAAAGAGAGACACCTTCTCCAAAGCCACAAACGAGAAACCCCCCAAAAAAGGGTGGGACTGTAGTGTTGCCATGACATACATCCGGTGAAAGAAAATATCGGTGAGTATGCAGCAAATTTTCTATTTTCCCGGATAAATCCATGGCAGCACTACAGACCACAGCTAAGGATGTAAGGGAGGGCCAGAAAACAACCAACACAGAAATAGGATGCCCAGAAACACTAATTTATTATGTACATAATTACACCTCAGAAGTAGAAAATTTGGCAACATCCAACCCATAATGGTGAATGAAGGTGTTGAGTGAAGACCAGGTTGCTGTTGAACAAATGCGGTCAGGAGGAATAATTGCTGCAGCTGCCATGAAGAAGCCAATGACCTGGTGGAATGGGCCCTGAGACCCAACTGGACCTGAACCCCAGAGGCCTTATATGCCTGAGAAATTGCTGTGATTACCCAGCGACCAATAGTTGCTGCAGAAGCTGATTGACCCATATAATGACCATGATGAATGATAAAAAGGCTAGATGATTTTCTAGTGCCAGAAGTACGGTTCGGATAAATGGAAATACAACGGACCAAGTCCAGACAATGCCATTTCTTTTCCTCTTCAGATAAAGGATGAGGGAAGAATGCAGGTTAGACAATATCCTGGTTAACATGGAAAGAAGACATGACCTTAGGACGAAAGGTTGGAATAGTCCAAAGAATAACGCTATCCTCTTGCAGTATAAGGAAAGGATATTCAGACGAAAGAGCCTGAAGCTCTAAAATCCTTCTACCTGATGTAAGAGCCACCAGAAGAACTGTTTTCACTGTTAAATTCAATAAGGCAGTATGCTCTAGGGCATGGGTCCTCAAACTACGGCCCCCCCAGATGTTGCTGGGCTACAACTTCCACAATTCTTTGAATTACATAGTTAGCCAGAGAATCATGGGAGTTGTAGTTCAGCAACATCTGGGGGGCCGAAGTTTGAGGACTCATGCTCTAGGGGCTCAAATTGAGTACCAGACAAAGCTTGCAATACCAGAGGCAAGTCCCAGGGAGGAGAGCAAGATCTTACCGGAGGACGCACTTTCAGGTCTGCCTGAAAATATCTACATATATCTTGACTTTGTCTGAAATAAGAATAGGCTGATTCAGGTCTTTGTTCAAATATTGGTATGGGAACTCTATTTGAGGAATTCTGATGTGCCACTGTGCCCATCTTGTAATCCCTATTGTCGATGAAAGACTTCCTAAGAGATGACTACTCTTGCTGGAACAGACAGACGAGGAATCAGCTGGAGAAATTTCAACTGGAGTCTTAGACCTCTGTCCAAGGATAGGGATACCCTTGCACTTGCTGTATCGAACCTTGCACCTAGGTATACCATTACCTGAGATGGAGAGAGCTGATTTTTCTTGAAGTTGACTATCCAGCCAAACTTCTGGAGAAGGATATGAACTCGATCTCGATGGAGGCTCAGTTGACATTTGTCATTGGAGAGGACCAGGTAATGGAAAATGGTGATGCCTTGTAGACGAATATGAGCAATCAAGGAAATTAGAATCTTTGAGAAGGTACTGGGAGCAGTACTTAGGCCGAATGGAAGAGCCCATAATTGGTACTGCTGCTGATTTACTGTAAATCTGAGGAATTTCTGGTGAGGAATGGCGATCGGTACATGAAAGAAGGCATCCCGAAGATCTATGCAGATCATTCAATCCCCTGGGTAATGTAACCTGTAAAGTGCTGTGTACAGGTGTTAGTGCCGTGTAAATAAAATACACATGTATAAATCTATATCTACTTAAGTGGAGGCTATAGTAATTGTACTGCCCACTTTTGTCACAATCATCATTATATGAAATACATAATAGGGGTCCCAGCAACTTAAAAACGATTTGCCAAAAACAAAATGTGAAGGACTGTGCCCATAGCTTCTACCTATTTTACTTCCATCTGCTGAACGTGTACCATGTAAAGTGCCAAGTACACCTGGTAACACTATATAAATATCACCAACCTCCTCTAGATTATAACCTCATTTGAGCAGGGTTCTCATCAACCTATTGTTCCTGTAACAATTTCTAATTGTCTCATTTACTGTTACATGTCCCCCTTTTATAATATTGTAAAACGCTGTGGAATAAGTTGGTGCTATATAAATGACAAAAATAATAATACTACTAATAATAATAACATTGTATTTTCACAGTTATATTAACATTTACCAAGCTACAAACAAGTAATGTGGTGACATCATGAAAGCAAATAAATTAAAAAAACATTTTAAAAAAACACACAAAACAAATGTTTTTATTTATTTATATCTTTTTTTTTTAAATACCAAACATTTGTGTCTATGACTGTGCATGATAATAAGTCAGTTACACAATAATGTGCGCGGTCCCTTTAAGAGCCGGGAGATCACGTGACCTCTTGTGCAACTCCAGCTCAGAGTGGAAGTGGGAGAGAAAGCCCTCCCTCTTTGTACTCCCATTGGCTGCCATGCTGTGCCCATCAGGTTGGGGGAGCCTGAGGTGGCTGTAGATCCTGTAACAAAGGCCAGGGTGACATAGAAGGGGGGTGCTTGCCCCATCTCTGCCTCCAGTGTGCTTTACTGGTGTATGATCCTTCTGTAGATACCCCCCTCTGTATCTATAACAAGGGGCCCAGGACCTGCTTCAACATGAAGTGTGAAAACTGCACCAAATCGGTATGTATCAAGCTCTGATCTATCACTAGCACCCAGGATAGGGGGGGATTTAACCCTTTCACACAGCCAGCCCTGCAAGTTTGACTTTAATGGGCTGTGCTCCTGGGTTAATGCATGCTTTATACTCTTGTTTACATTGTATACATGAAGATTCTATTTTTAGAATGTCTGGCTTTTAGACAGGGTGAAGTTTAATTCTGAGATTCTAAAATAAGAGATTCTAAGATGATTTTAGAATCTAAGGTTTATTCACTAAACAGTGACTGGTGGTAAACTACAAAAAAAAATGAGGGCTCAATTAGCCAAGTTGGGAAAACAGCTGCATTTGAGACTTACTCCAGTACAGCTACTCTGGTCTAATGTTTGCAGTTTGACTTTCAGTACAATAGTATTCATTTTTTATTTTTTTTTTAAATGGTTATTCACTCAATTCTGAATTGAAATGTCAATTCGTGGGGGGGGAAGATTTTGGAAAATTCTCTAATTCAGTTTTTGTCACAACTTGACTATTTTAGTCTGAATTTTGACATCAGGTTTTAATTTACTACAGTTTGGGGTTTAGTAAATATAAATAACCGTGCGATTAAACTATAAGGGATTATTCAGTAAACATTAAGTGGTGAGTAACTCAAAACTAAATCACAAAATTCAGGGTAAAATTGTTAAGTTGAAATGGAAAATTTTTGCAGATCAGTTAATTTAACCCAAATTTTGCAATCTAATTTACAGTTCACCACCGTCTGCTCTATTGAATATGCCCTCTCTACGTGTGCAGCATGTAGTGTTACTGTCATATGGCCAACTAACAGGGTTTTTTAACAAAGTGAGAATTTCATTGTACAGCGCTACGGAAACTGATAGCGTTATATAAATAATAATAATAGGGTTCAAGAGTGCTTTGAAACTGCAGAATTTTGGGGAAATGTCATCCTAAAATTAAAATTTGGTACACCTTTTTTATTTGCACATCTTTCAGTGCGAACGTGTGTGACATTTACTCAGTGATATTGGTTGTTACAAGTGACCAGAAGCATTTTAAGCTAAGTCAATATTTTTGGATTAATGGGAAAACATATAAAAAAAAATTTCCACTTGTTATGATCAGCACAGCACACCGTGTGACCGCATTGGGTAATAGTGTTTTCTGAAATGAAAGTGTGTTTTTACAAAATTGCAAAACTTAGGCCAAAATAGTTGTAAATGTTTTAAATATTCTCCAATATCTAGTGAATTTTTAAAAGTTCAAAATGAATTTCAAATCCCTAATTTTTCTTTTCCCTTTACAATGAATCGTAGTGACTTAAAAACTGTATTGTAAAATTTAGGTACAAACAGCTGATTTGGGAAAAATATCTAAAATAAAATACAGCTTACCTGTTTTAGCGTGCATTTTGCAGTTTGGTTTTCCAATCCCTGTTTGGTAAATAAAATCAAGTGTTCACAAAACTGCCGATCTTAGGAGAAAATAGTTGAATTGTGGGGAAAATATCTACACACTATTACACGTCCTACTATTTCCTGAATTAGTGGTTTATTCAATAAACAGTGCGTTGACAAACATTGCAAAGTAGCCAACATTGCAATATAGCTAAACAACAGATTTAAAAAAAAAAAATAATATTTTGTTACTGGCTTATTTTGGGTTTAAAATGTTGCAACTCATTTATCAACTCACAGTTAAGTTATGAAGCAATTACTTTATCTCTATTTATGGATGTAGACGAATGTTAGTGTAGGCACAAAGTGTAATGGAATGTTTGGGACTGTAGGACACAGTTTTATAAAGTTTGACAGCCTGTGTGGGGTCAGACAAATTCTTTGAAATTAGAATCATAGACATAGAAACGTAGAATGTGACGGCAGATAAGAACCATTCGGTCCATCTAGTCTGCCCAATTTTCTAAATACTTTCATTAGTCCCTAGCCTTATCTTATAGTTAGGATAGCCTTATGCCTATCCCACGCATGCTTAAACTCCTTCACTGTGTTAATCTCTACCACTTCAGCTGGAAGGCTATTCCATGCATCCACTACCCTCTCAGTAAAGTAATACTTCCTGATACTTCTTTTGCTGTGGTAGTTTTTCTTCTTCTAAATTAAAAATTGCTTCTGCATCCCCCCCTTCCCATTCATGTTTTGCCCCTAAAGCTATAGCAACATTTGCACCGCGGGTAACCAGTAACCACAATGTAGCTGATATCGCAGTTTAGGTTTTAGGGAGCGAAATAATCTATGATTTCATAAAACAACCTCCAGCAGCTGGATATTCTAATATCCAAAGCTAAATTTTTACTTGCAAATGGCCTCTTGCAAAAAACTGTAAATAGTTGGTAAAGGAAGTATGGTGATTCTAGCTTTAGAGCATGGGTGCCCAGCCTGAACAGTGGTTTTTGTAGAGGGGGGACTGGGCAGGGGATTTTGTACAGGGGGGACTGGGCAGGGGATTTTGTACAGGGGGGACTGGGCAGGGGATTTTGTACAGGGGGGGTACTGGGCAGGGGATTTTTGTAGAGGGGGGACTGGGCAGGGGATTTTGTAGTGAGGGGGTACTGGGCAGGGGATTTTGTAGTGGGGGTACTGGGCAGGGGATTTTGTAGAGGGGACTGGGTAGGGGATTTTGTGGGGGACTGGGCAGGGATTTTGTAGTGGGGGGTACTGGGCAGGGATTTTTGTAGTGGGGGTACTGGGTAGGGGATTTTGTAGAGGGATGGGGCAGGGGTTTTGTAGAAGGTGGGGGGTTGTAGAAATGGGATTGGGCAGGGGTTTTGTAGATGGGGTGATTGGGCACAGGTTTTGTAGAAGGTGGGGTTTTTTTGAAGGGGGACTATGCACGGGTTTTTGTAAATGGGGCAGGGGTTTTGTAGAAAGGGGGTTTAGAAGGTTTTTTTTTTTTAATTGCCTACTACTGTTGTAGCAGGCATTAAAGAAAAATAGAAAACATTTTAAAAACAATTTACAAAAAATAGTGGTTGTTTAACATTTGAATTGGGGAAGAGGTGTGCCAAAAGCTATAGGTACGTCTCTGAGCACATTACATTCTGTGCTCCTCCTGCACAGCTTCCTCAGCGCCTCCAGAGAGCTGTCCACCGGGATATGACGTCATCCCTGCATCACTGCTGGGCGCGCAAGGGCCCTATGCATGAAGAGCACAGAGGTCCCAGACTCCATCCCAGCAGCAACCACTGGCCACCAGGAAGAGGATCCACTCCAGCGCTCCCAGAGCAAGTTAGGGAGGCTGGGTAGACCTCTTTAGTATTAAATGTGTGTGCATGTGATTTTTGTGTATGTGTTTTTGTCAGTGATTGGCTGTGTGCGCGGGGGGAGCAGGGATCTGTGAACATGTCTGTGATTATGTTTGTGGGTCTGTGATTTTGTGTGTGTGTATTTGTGATTGTGCGTATAGGTCTGATTGTGTGTGTCGTTGATTATGTGTGTATAGATTTGGGACTGTGTGTGTGTATTTGGGGCCAGTACAAACCTTTATCTGGAAATCTATTCATAAACAGGGCTATACATAGTACACGAGGTCACACATTTAGGCTGGATGAAAGGAGATTTCATCTTATGCAAAGAAAAGGTTTTTTATACAGTAAGAGCAATAAGGAAATTGAATTCTCTGCCTGAAGAGGTGGTTTTGTCAGTCACTGCAGAGGTTTAAACTGCAATTGGATAAATACTTACAAAAACATAACATACAGGGCTAGAATTTCTAATTAGTGGGGTAATAGCTGCTTGATCCAAGGAGACATCTGACTGCTATTTTGGGGTCAAGAAGGAATTTTTTCCTAGTTTGTGGCAAAATTGGAAGCGCTTCAGACTGGGTTTTTTGCCTTCTTTTGGATCAACAGCAACAACATATGTGAGGAAGGCTGAACTTGATGGGCACAAGTCTCTTTGTGTGTGTACTTATACACGTTTATATGTTTAGTAGATAGCTGCCTAATTTGATATTCTTAAATATGCCAGTCCCACACAAGGATAACAAATAAGGGAATTATCTACTAAACAATTAAAATATCAAAATTAAGAAAAGGGCTTTTAAATATATATTACTTGTATACATTATCTATGATCTATATTATATATTTTATGTGTTGCCCAAGACAATTCCAATGCGCTCAATGCGGCCCAGGGAAGTCAAAAGGTTGGCCACCAATGCTTTAGAGGGCCAATGATGTGGATTCGTATATAAAAATTGGACATTTTATCACTGGTGTGGCTATTGAAGGGCCAAGGCACACGTGGCACCGGGCTTAGAGCCGTGTGGGGGGCCTTGAATAAACGTCTTCTGCTGAGTTAAAAGCACTATTGCACTTTCTGGGTAAGCTAGCTGTAATTAGAACTCTCTTTATATGTGTGGGTAATTAATTGCAGCAACATGTGACCCTCTGGCTGTTAAACAAAAAAGTCAGGTGGGTTCTTAACTAAATCTCTATGGCTTCTAAGTTCTCTAAATATTTGTCTGTTTGCCCCTAAGCTGTTTTGTGTGCTTTGAAATAAACAGATGATCCTGTCGTGTTTGTTAGGTTTATGCAGAACTGAATGGCTTTTATATTTTTAACAGTATGCTATGATACTTTTTGAATGTCAAGTCATTTGCTAGCAAAGCATCTGGTGGTTAGAGGGCTGAGATATAGGTGTCCCCTGTAATGCTGTCATTCAGTTACATAGGAGCCCAGTTGAAGAGTTATTTAGTAAATAGAAACTAGACCTTACCCATGTGATGAATTCCTTATTACCCTTCTTCTGTCTTTTTCAATTAGCTTTCTATATTGTTTTCCTGTTGTGTGTTTTTTGTTTGTTTTTGTTTGTTTTTTTAAGAGTTGGGCAATGCATGAAAGATGCTGCCGATTACGCGTTAGAATTGATTAGTTTCAGGGAAAAAATGTATCAAATAGTTGAGAAGGGCTCCTTTGCAATCGAGGCTCTCCCTGCAGCGCATGAATACTGCATACTCTTGGTCATCACTTTTCGCATTCAACCCAACAGCACGCAGAAAGGCGTGCAGGAAAACGTGTTGGTTCTGCTAAATCTAGTTTGGTTAGATTAAAAACAGGTAAAGTATTAGGGGTCCAGGCACTCCTTGGTTCAAGACAGGCACTTTATTGGGAACCACAACAGCAACGTTTCGACCCCAAAAGGTCTTTGCCAAGCTTCTATTATACTATTATATACTATTATATATACATTTACTATTCAAGATTAAAAACAGGGTCATTTCCAACTTGTGATTAACGAAAAACCAATCAAAATAAACCATGTGTTTAGGTGTAGATTTTGCAGATGTTGCTGGGTGGCTGAACGTTTTCACTTTAATGTTAAGATGTCTGTCCTCAGGAATGCAGCAAAAAAAAGAAGAAAAATGAGAGTGGGGCGTCTGAAGATGCTGATCCGCTGGCTGTTGCCTTCGCAGACGGCGAGGAGGTGAGAACTGACTGCCCTCTATCCAAAAATCATCTTATCTGACACCCAACATGTGCTTTCTTAGGTTACCCAACCCTTCATGGCCTTATCTCTAACCCTCACCCCTTTCTCAGTCCCTCTCCTGCCTTCTGTCCTTGGCTGCTGCAGATAAATTCATAATTCATACTTGTGACTGAATTATGATGCAGACTCCAATCATTCCGATGCTTTGCCTTTCACTTATATTTACATAATTATTGATTTATAATGAATTTTGGAAAATGCAGCGTAAGGTGTTTGCAGAATGAGCTTGCAATTAAAAAAAAAAAAAAAATGTTTACACTTTTTTTTTTTTTTTTTAACTAAATGTTGATTCTAAATGCCGGTATTTCGGACCTAGAGTGCCGTTATGGTCGGGATCAGTCTGATATGCAAATAGTATCGGTTCGCTCTGTAATGGCCTAAGTGAGCAAAAACTATTTTGTGACCCGATCGTGGATTTACAGAGTTTCTCTAACCTTTTGTCCGTTCCCAGAGTTGTCATATTATCCGTTTTTATGCTACGGGCTTGTTCTACCCTAATCTATTTTAATAAAAAAGTACCCTTTCTGCCTTATTCTGACTTACCATTTTTACCCTTTAGGCCTTTAAATACATTGTATTCAAACGTTTCTTTATGTGGGGGGTAGGGTGGTTGGGAGGGTTGGGTGTAATAAATTGATTAATAAAACTGGGCATAGATGGTATTTTGCTAAATTCGAAATTAAAGTAATTCTAATGTTTCGTAACGAGTTTGCTGTATATGATGCTTAATATAAGATAAAAATAATAAGAGAGAAATCAGTTAATCAATACGGATTGCTTAATTTAATTCCCTATTGCAGGACATTAATTATGCATACTGTAGGGCAGCCCTTTTCAAGTCATGCCCCTCAACATGAAGAAATGATATGTGGCCAAAAAGCTTGGTGGGTCTGTCCACCTTAGCTGGGATCCAAGGTTTTGGCTACCTTGTTCCTTCTATTTGCATCTTTATCTTTTCTCACCTAGAAGTTTGTCTTTGAAACCATCTCACTACATTTAAGTCACTAATTACCAGCGGTTCCTTTCTCTCTCCACAAGAACGAGTTCCACCGACTCACTGAAGCTCGTATCTTTCTGAGTGACTGCATGGCCTGCGGAAACTGCGTGACGTCTGAGGAGGGGGCTCAAATCTTTGCTCAAAACCAGAAAGCATTTTTCAAAGTACTAAACCTTAACAAGGTAAGAAAAACTCATTGGAACTTGTGGTTTCCTCAAAACCTTAATTTAAAAAAATAATGATCTTTGTTGCTTTTGCAGAAATGCGACACGTCCCTGCACCGTCTGGTGGTTGCTTCTGTAAGTCCACAGTCCGTACCTTACTTTGCCGTCAAGTTTCGTCTGTCTGTCTGTGAAGCGGCCAGGAAGCTCTGTGGTTTTCTAAAGAGCCTGGGTAAGATACTGTTAATGCTGTAATGTTGTTGTGTTAGCTTTTGTCTTTGACCAAGGGTACAGTAACCAAGGATACACAGACGCCCTAAGTAACACATTCATTGGAAAATATAACTGAAAATGTTTTAAATGGACACCCTAAGCTGCATTAGCACTATAGCTTGCTGTAGTGGACGCGTTGCCCACAATGTCTTGGAGACAAATTCCTCTGCATTCTCTAATGGAATTAGTGTTTTATGCAGTCTCTGAAGATTGCTAGATTCTGTATGAGTGGACGCTGATTGTACTTGTTAGTAAAGTTAATACTGGTTTGATCGTAGCGTAAAGTAGAAAACCTCGCATTCTCCTTGGGGGATTTCTGAGTCAGTTTGAATAATTTAGTTGTGATCTGATCAGAGATCTATAAAGTGCTATCTCTGCTTCTCCATATCCACCTGGTGACCTGCTCTATAGAACTAAACCGAATACTTTAGGGGAGATCTTATCTTTAAAGGATCTTAACATGTATACCTGGGAGGAAAGACGAGGCAGGGGGATATGATAGAAATATTTAAATACATAAAGGGAATCAACACAGTAAAGGAGGAGACTATATTTAAAAGAAGGAGAACTATCACAACAAGAGAACATAGTCTTAAATTAGAGGGGCAAAGGTTTCAAAATAATTTCAGGAAGTATTACTTTACAGAGAGGGTAGTAGATGCATGGAATAGCCTTCCAGCTGAAGTGGTAGAGGTTAACACAGTAAAGGAGTTTAGGAATGCGTGGGATAGGCATAAGGCTATCCTAGATATAAGATAAGGCCAGGGACTAATGGAAGTATTTAGAAAATTGGGTAGACTAGATGGGCCGAATGGTTCTCATCTGCCGTCATATTCTATGTTTCTTACCAGGGATCTATAAAGTGCTATCACTAATTCTCTATATCCACCTGGTGATCTGCCCTATATTACTGAACACAATACTCTAGGTGAGATCTTACCAGGGACCTATAATATGGTTGTTGATGTCCCACGACTCTGCCTTTCTAGGTAAGGGCTATTAGAGATAATATACTCTCATGTGTCTTTTTCCTTCTTCTCTCTCGCAGGTGTCCAGCATGTATTTGACACAACAATTGCTGCTGACTTCAGCATTTTGGAGACACAGCGAGATTTCATACAAAGATTTAGACGGCAGACTCAGGATGAACACGCCTTCCCCATGTTTGCCTCTGCATGTCCAGGTATGCTTCAGAAGAGGACTTCATTTTGATCTTGCCCGAATATTGGTAAACTGACTTAGAATGATGGCTAACAGGTTATCATCCTTTCCATCAGTTTTGACAATCTGCAGATTTACAGAGTATCCATTGACTGACATGACTTTGCAGTCTGCTAGGGACAGACTGCAGTTGAATGGACGGCAACTACATAGACGGGTTTACAGCAGTCAGATCAGATAACTGGGGCATGACTCTGCAGTTTCGTTTAGTATATACATCATCTGGTATTTGTATCCCTAAGGTGCATGATCTAACAATAAAATTCACAGAATTGGCAATCACGGTACAGACTGTCTTGGACATTACAGCAATTAAAAACAATATCGGAGGAAACTAACACACCATGTACCCTGTCCATGTCAATAATGTGATTGGATGTGGTAAACACACTAGGTTATAGGTCATGGAGTGATATTTCTAGTGTGAAACTTGTTTTCGCAATCTTCCATGCCCAGAGCAGTTCACTCCTTTTCAGGAAACTGCTGATGTATGGGAAAAATCAGTTTTGCTTTGTGTACATTTAAATCTTTAAATGCCTTTTTATGAGCTCAGCTTTCGGGAGTTTGTTTCCTAAACAAACAATGACATGGCAAATAGTCTGCAATCTGCTTCTAGACAGCCACAAGACTTGCGAGGGAAAGGTGATCCATCCATTAATATGATCCTTTTCAGAAATGGAAACCTCGTTGGTCAATCCATCTGTAAACACATACAGAGGTTTATTCACTAAATAGCTAAATAAGAACTGAAAGGCAAAAAGTGATTTGTAACATTCTCTAAAAGTTCCATCTTGACTATTTTGGTCCGAGTTTTACAATTCAGGTTTCAGTGTTTAATGAATAAATCTACAAGGTTGTTGTTCAATAAAGCAAGAATTGTCGGGCATTTAAAATTCATTTAGAATTTTACACCAAAATAGTAGAACCACAATGAAGCTCACCAGGATTTTTTTTTTTTTAATTTTTCCTTTTCAAATTCAGCTATTGTGCATAAAACTTTAAAAACACGTTCTATTCTTGACAATACACACTTTGATGAATAACTTGGTGTACACATATATTTGAAAACTAGTTTTTTTTTGGGGGGGGGGGAGGAGTGATGTTTGGACTAATTCTAGTAAATAATGCTTTTCTACTCTACATGCATTTATAAACCAGAATTCTTTATTTTGGTATAGGTATTAAAAACTGTTTACAGAACACCAACACAGTTTTCAGCACTCGATTCTAAGCTACATAGTATAATCGAAAAACAATTCATGCAACAGGTATAGAGAGCTTGGCTAGAAAATGTATAATACAAGGAAAGACAACTGGGTATTTTGCAATCGACAGTGATACGAGTGAATAGTGTCTTCTTTGCTAACCTCTTGGGAAATGTTCTCTACTCCCTGTAATATGTTCAGAGTGTGGTGCAAATGGCTTGTGCTTGCTATAGAATACAAATTTAGAATTGTGGGTGTTTTTCCTTGTCTTACTCTGATTTTCATTTTTTTTCCAGGGTGGATGCAGTATGCCGAACGAGTACTGGGTGACTCTGTGACTCCACACATTTGCACGGCCAAATCCACCCAGCAGATCATGGGATCTCTGGTTAAAGGTTACTTTGCTTCTCACAAGGTGGGTCTGGGTTTTAAAATATTAATATTCTGCTATTTGGGCTAAAATCTAAAGTTTTGTATTCTGTATGTGTCGAATGTGTAAAAGTATGAGTGAAATTTTATAGCTCCTTTTATTTGCCAATCGGGCAGCCATGAGATTAGCAGGTTCCCACCATAACCTGAAACCGTGTGTAAAGGGGGAAGTGATAAGGTGGCCCCAGGCTTCCTGGATGATCTATTCCAAACTACTGTTGTAGGAACTACAAAGTAACACGTTGGTTCTACTGAGATTTAAAATGCTGACTACTTGCATGGCAATAAAGACAAGCTGGCGTGAATTGCTGAATTACATAAAGAGTAGACAATTTCTTTGTTAGAGAGTGGTAAGCGTTAAAAGATTTTGCTGTGAGCTGGTCGGCCGGGGGAATGATAGAGATTTCCCTTATAGGCCTACACCATCAATCCAGTCTTCAGTGACACACAGCGGTCGAGGATTTGCCAGGATCCCCATTGGAATTGCATTGTAAAACTCCCTCAATCGTGTTTTTTAGGGCTGGTTGAAGACTGGGATGTAGATTTATGCAGTGGTCATGGTGAGCACGGACTGCGATTTGTGAACCTAAATCTGTGGATTTGTCTTCTTCTTTCACTCAGAACCTTTCTCCTGACAAAATATTCCACTTGACCATAGCCCCCTGTTACGACCGGAAAATGGAGGCCCTGCGGGAAGATTATTACACAGCTCTGTATAAATGCCGGGATGTTGACTGTGTGCTTACCTCAGGTAAGTCTCTCTCCTTCTTTCTCTCTGTAAGCTGGACATGTTTACCCAACCAATCAGAATCTAAAGAGGTCAACATTCCGACTGACATGGCAATATTAAGCTTATGTTACAGTTTATTTTTAATTTTTGGTGGGGTTGTTTTTGTTATTGTTGTTCTTCATTAAAGGGGCACTTCATGCACTAAAACAGCTAAAGGAAGTTGTTATTCTGCCAGAAGGCCCCACGGCACATTCTTAACTTCAGCGGTTATACCATTCTCGAACGGTTTAATCCCAAAGTTGGCTAAAGCGCAAATGTCAACTCCTCCCCAGGCGGCATCCGGCTTCTAAAATTTCAGTTTCTGGAAGTGTGGTGTTCCGCTGGGCAGGTGGTCTGCTGATTGGCTGAGAGCAGTCATCTGACACACTCAGCCAAATAATGACTCCCCATTCACAAAACTGGCCTGGGAAAGGTACATTTCTTTCCAAGCCTGTTTTGCGAGTGTGGAGTCACTGCTTGGCTGAGCGCATCAGCTGACCTCTCTCAGCCAATCAGCAGACCACCTGCCCAGCAGCATGCCACGCTTCCTGAAACTGAAATTTCAGAACCCGCATGCCTTCTGGCGGTAGTTGAGATCGGCACTGGAAGCAACTTTGGGGTTAAAGGAACACTATAGTCACCTAAATTACTTTAGCTAAATAAAGCAGTTTTAGTGTATAGATCATTCCACTGCAATTTCACTGTCATTTAGGAGTTAAATCACTTTGTTTCTGTTTATGCAGCCCTAGCCACACCTCCCCTGGCTATGATTGACAGGTTTCACTTTCAAACAGATGTAATTTACCTTAAATAATTGTATCTCGATCTCTAAATTGAACTTTAATCACATACAGGAGGCTCTTGCAGGGTCTAGCAAGCTATTAACATAGCAGGGGATAAGAAAATCTTAATTAAACAGAACTTGCAATAAAGAAAGCCTAAATAGGGCTCTCTTTACAGGAAGTGTTTATGGAAGACTGTGCAAGTCACATGTAGGGAGGTGTGACTAGGGTTCATAAACAAAGGGATTTAACTCCCAAATGGCAGAGAATTGAGCAGTGAGGCTGCAGGGGCATGTTCTATACACCAAAACTGCTTCATTAAGCTAAAGTTGTTCAGGTGACTATATTGTCCCGATTTAACCCTCTTGAGGTAAGAGAGCGCTCAGGGGTCTCCTCGCACCATAAAATCTTTTATTTACATGAATTTGTTCTGCTGTCTCATGCTGCCTAACTTGCAATGTTACATTTTTGGCACTGGCAGTAAATAACAGAAGCTCCATTTTTAAACAAGCCCATCAATGCTGATTTGCACCAGTGTTTTGAAAAGTGCTTTACTGTCTTGTTTCTGGTCGTCAGGAGAAATCATGCAAATAATGGAACAAAGAAACTTTTCCATCAAAGAAGTCGAAGCCTCTCCATTAGAAAATGTGTGAGTTATCACTTCCTTATTATAATTTTATTTCATAGCAATGAGCCATATCCACAGTGCCGGGTAAATTGAGTAAAGAGTATAATAATGCTCACTGACAGGCTGAAACAAATGCATACAGGTGGGTTTAAGGACAGATGTACATTATATACAGTGGAAGATTTAGAGTATAATTAAAACAGTAAAAAGATACCAAATTCTACAATGGGTGTCAAAAGCGACAACACACTGACGTGAAATTTCTTCCATACCCGTTTTCCATTAATGGAATGTGGGGGGTTTTAGTTTCAGTGGTTGCTTTGTGGTTTTTCACATGGCTTGAATCTTAGCACACACGGCTTGAATCTTAGCACACACGGCTTGAATCTTTAGCACACACGGCTTGAATCTTTAGCACACACGGCTTGAATCTTTAGCACAAACGGCTTGAATCTTAGCACACACGGCTTGAATCTTAGCACACACTGCTTGAATCTTAGCACACACGGCTTGAATCTTAGCACACACGGCTTGAATCTTGGCACACACGGCTTGAATCTTGGCACACACGGCTTGAATCTTGGCACACACGGCTTGAATCTTGGCACACACGGCATGAATCTTAGCACACACGGCATGAATCTTAGCACACACGGCATGAATCTTAGCACACACGGCATGAATCTTAGCACACACGGCTTGAATCTTAGCACACACGGCATGAATCTTAGCACTCACGGCATGAATCTTAGCACACACGGCATGAATCTTAGCACACACGGCTTGAATCTTAGCACACTCGGCTTGAATCTTAGCACACTCGGCATGAATCTTAGCACACACGGCATGAATCTTAGCACACACGGTATGTAGTATTTTTAATTTGTTTTATTTTTTATCGTTTTTGTGTCTTGCTGTAAATGTACTATTAGTTTTTGCAATGTAGTACAAAGACAGGTATAGGATCCACCCGCTGAGTTTTCTGATAATACATGGTCTAAAAGCTGAATGAATTTCCTTCCTCTATAACGATTAACTATCCTGGTGATCTGTTGCATTCACCCTGTACACTAAGACAACAAGAATTCAAGCCATACAGAGTCTGGTCTGACAACGTCCCACTAGAGTGCATTCTGTTGCGTTTTTGGTTGTTTTTATTTTGTAGAAAGAAACCTCAACAATCACAAGTATAAGGTAGAGAGTGTTCTATGTGTAGAACATTGCAGGGGACAGACAGTTTCTTCTAGAAAGAATTGCAAGATTCCACTTGAAAGCAAAGTAGTTTTGCATGTGATCAGATTAAGTGTTCAAGCTGAACCTTTTTTTATTTTTTTATTTTAGTTTTTTATGTTTCCTTCCTTGTGTTAATCATCTGATTTCAGTCATGGGTTAGGTCGTCAGCCTCTATAGATTATTACTGAGATGACATTTTCCCGTATATAATATCTGTACTGGCTTCTCTTGCAGGTTTGCTGGAAACACTTGTGAGTTTGTTCGCCACGAGGGCATTGGCTCTGACGGGTACTTGGCACACATCTTCCGACATGCGGCTAAGGAGCTCTTTGACATGGATGTTAAGGAAATCACATACAAAACGCTAAAGTGAGTGAGCAGGCCACTGTGATGCTAAATATTGATCTTTACCTTAATGTAACTTTGGTCTTGTTGACCAAACAGAGACCTATTGCATGGTGAACCCAACGTGGTCCTGTAGTTGTCCTTGTTAAAAATATACAAGAGAGAGAGTTTGGGTGAGTCAACCGAGGGGACAGCTTGGGAAGAGATCTGGGAGAGTCATCCTGGGTTGTCCATCTTTGTCTCATAACAAGGAGCCTTGTCTAGATCATTCAATTCACTGTTTACAGGAAGCTCATCTCAAAATGTAGATCTTTATGCATATAATCTCTGAAAATAACCCATCCATGATAAATCCCTGAATAAATGGAAATGCTGTAGAATACTGTGTATATAATGTACAATTAGATTTTTTTTATTTTTTTTGTGGCGACTTTCAGAAATAAGGATTTTCAGGAAGTTTGCCTTGAGAAAGATGGAGAAACTGTCCTGCGCTTTGCTGCTGCTTACGGCTTTCGCAATATTCAGAATATGGTACTTAAACTGCGCAAAGGGAAGTTCCATTATCACTTTGTGGAAGTCCTGGCCTGTCCTGGAGGTAAGAATCTGAATATGGCACTAGGCAGAACTTTTATTCTAAACCTGTCACCTTTGCCCCCTAAAACATTGCCCCCTAAAATACAAAAGTGAAATGAAATTGCAGTGTCTACTGTCAAATACTACCATATACAATGTTCTTGTCTATGACTGCCAAATCTATTTGTGAAGTAAATCCGACTTTTCTAATAAAAGATTTATTTAAAAAAAAAAAAAAAGGATTTAATTGGAAAACATATATATATTTTTTTTTTTATGAAAATAAGTCTTGTTTGTGTGTGCATGTTTATTGCTTTGTTTTTATGAATTTGCAGACTTCTCAGATCTCCTGCCTGGTAATTATATCTACCTGCTATCTGTAAATAAATGTTATGTATAATTACCAGGTAGGACGAAATACTAGCAGTGGTGCACTGCAGTCAACAACTAATGAAATGTTGATTGTTCCATTTTTTTTTTTTTTAAACATATGCCCCAGAATTGCTCTATATACACAATGATCATTCTTCTGAAAATGTTTCCTACATTAATTGTCTGGACAGTTCCCATGCATTTTTTTTTTCCGGTATGTTTTCTTTGGGGATATATGGAAAATAAAACCTTGCTAAAGCTGCAGATATGCTGTCTGCAGCCTTTACAAGCCCTCCCCCTTTTTCCAATGCTGCGTGGGCCACTTCCGATGACAAAAACATCCCTTGCTTCTTCTCCATAACATAAAAGTGACAATTTCTATTGAAATTGGCACTTTTATAAACCGTCACAAATGCAAAGTTCCTTTAAGCTCATGTGTGTAACTCATTAGTGGTCACACACTCATTTGTACTTGAGATTCTTTGAGTTGCAGTTTTAAATTATTCTCTTGCCTTTTCACTATGAAATACTGGAGCCCAACCCACCAGACAAGTGGTGGTGCCCTTTGAGACTGCAAATTGGGCCAAGCCTCATAGCAAATCTTTTGAGTTCATCTGGGACATTGAGTTTGCAAAGAACTTGCTGCTACCTCTATTATGGAGAGGAACTTTAAGAGTCTAGCTACAATGTGCCCTCCTAGAATTGACTCTCTGTACTTGGCCCTGGATTGCGTACATTTTAGACATTTAATTTGGATACTAAAACTTTGAGATTGCAGAACAAACTCCATTGACTACCACTGTAGCAGTATATAACTCTATTTTTTTTTATTTCCTGTATCAGGATGCCTGAATGGAAAGGGTCAGGCACAGACTCTGGATGGAAAACCAGAGCGAGCAACTCTACATGAGATGGAAGAGGCTTATACGCTGGTCCCGGTACAGAGTCCCGAAAATAACCCACACATACAGGAGCTCTATTTGAACTGGCTTGAGGGGGCAGAGTCTCAGAAAACAAGGGAAATGCTACACACCAAATTGGTCCCCGTCTCCCAAGCTGGAGCACGGCCGGACATGAAGTGGTGACGTTCTGTAGACGCCCACCGAACATTCGTACTGTTCTATGCAAGGTGGCCCTTAACTCCTGCCCTCACAAATTCCATCAGTAGCCTCAGAAATTTTTTTTTTTTTCTTTTCAAATATTCATTTGTGGGCAACTTCATACTTCAAATCCCTTCCTGCAACCTGGAAAAGCTGTTTTGGAGAATCTGTAGCCAGCAACGTTAATATATTACCTGTGAATTTACACAATGGACCAACCAAAATAAGGTGGTTGATTTTGAGTTCTACTGGAAGAATGTTGTCTTATCTGCTGTAGGTTTTGGTGTCAGGCATCTGCGGAAATGAAACCTGAACCTGTTGTTCAGCAACGTTGGCGCTTGTCAGCTAAATAATAAAACTGTAAACTATTTGCTGCTAGATTGGGCTGGAAAAGTTTAAATTGGCAGTGCATATAACTATACTTTTTGTGACTGACAGGGACTGCCACCTGCCGAGGCCTGATTTAAATCTAAAATAATTAAGCCACATTTAGCACAGTGTGTTCCCATTATTGTCCCACAAAAAAACAATTGGTTGGAGACTATAGGTGTGCAAACCAACTGCCTTGATTGAAAATAATTTATAAGCTGTTACCCCTGCCTGTTTGTCTTTAAATAATAAATGGTGCTTTATGTCAGTTGCTGGCTTGCAATATGATACACCCCTAATGGTTCAGGTTTTAGGGACATCCCAATTCTCTCCCAACGGGGATACTATTACAACTGAAACTGATTATGTTCTGCGGGAGGTCTAGTGTAGGTATGGAGGACTTAATGAGTAATCTGGTCCGACTACCATTGCTGAACCAATTTATATGGAAGTTCCTTTTCTCAGGAGGTAAACTCAAATATCTACCTTTTAACCTGTACGTAAAGTTGATTAATATTCATGTAAACAGACACGTTAAGCACCGTCACTACTGCGGCTTTTTGTAGCGGATATTGTGCAAAGAGTCTGATTGCAGTGCCCCATAATGCATCCAACATTTGACAACTGTGACAGACTGTGAGAACTGGTTTATCCCCCGATAATCCATGATGTTTGCACCCTATTACTGCTGCTCAATTTTGTACGTCATTGTACACTTACATAGAGACAACTGCTCAAACATTATGATATAAAAATGGGTAAGGAGGAAGTCAGTACCTAACGGATGGGAACAGCCACTGCAATACACTGTAGTGGTTATAGTGCTTAGTGCGTCTGTTTAATGTGGTGCTGGACTCGCTAGCTATTTGATTAAATGTTGTTGATTCCCGTTTTGTCTTCAAAGTGTTCGACTTCCTTAAAACTACCAAAGAGGCTGGAAACTTAATTTGAAGATACACATATGCGCTGCTAATATCTGTGTAATATTTCAAAATACTAGCATTGTTCTAACTGGTGTCTAACATACCACGAGGCATGAATGTTACATTTCTCCCCGGTACCGGTAATTCTTTACTTTGTTTTCTTGTTGTCTTTGAGTTTGTGTTCGATGACTAGCAATGCATTCGTCCATAAACCATGTTTGCATGGGTCTATTTATTGTATTTGCTCATCGATGCACACACTTGGAATAAATGGTAGACCTTTGAAATTGTTCTGCTGAGTTACATTTTAATTTTATATTTTAATTCCAGTTTGCATGGGGTATATTCTTGGAGTGCCTATAAGAGCCACATGTGAGATTCCGGTATACTAAAAGGGACAATTTAAGCTCCAAAACCTCTTCATCTTAATCAGGTGGTTTTGGGGTAGAGACCTTGTCCTTACTCTAAAAA